AGAACCATCGGCGAATCCTTGTAAAAGTGTGGGATAAAGATCAGTCAAGAAAGGTTCATTGAGACCTAATTGCTTAGCAGAACGAAGAGCACGACGAATGATACGTCTTAATACATATCCACGTCCCACATTGCTAGGCACAACACCGTCACCAATTAAAAAGCACATGGATCTGAAATGATCCGCAACGATTTTTTCATGGGGGCTAGGATCAATGGCTGTCGAGCTCTAAAAACATACAAAAAAAATCAATATTCTATTCTATACATGTAATACATTGCTGCTTACCTTGAGACCTCGTTTATCCAATAAAGTTCTAAGTCCACGGATTAAATGTTCAAATTGATCGATTTGAAAGTTATTTTGTTTGCCTTGGAGTACGCAGACCATTCTCTCCAAACCCATACCGGTATCGATGCAAGGAATGGGCAAGTCAGAAATGACGCCTTGGGAGTCTCTAAATTTTTCCATGAATACCAAGTTCCAGATTTCTAACCAAGGATCCTCCAAGGAGGCGTCCTTCGTATCCCAAAAGATTTCTGTGCAAGGACCACATGGACCTTCACCATCGCCCATCGTCCAAAAGTTATCCTCGGGTCCACATTTTACAATCATCTCGTCGGGTAAACCTTGCTTTTTCCATAAATCGTAGCCTTCTTGATCGCCTTCCAACACGCTAAATAAAGTATATGTCAATGATAGAATAAACTACTAGGTTAAATCCAAGGCGGTGTTAATGTCAGCACTTACGTGACTCTTAAGCGATCGATAGGGAGCTTCAACTCCTTTAATAAGAAAGTCCAAGCGTAATCGATGGCTTCTGCCTTGGAATATTTTCCAAAAGAAAAATTGCCTAGCATTTCGAAAAAGGTGTGGTGGCGAGGTGTGTATCCGACATTATCGAGATCGTTATGTTTACCACCTGCTCGCATGCACTTTTGAACACTTGTTGCGCTTTGAAATGGGGCTGAACTGGGTTTAAGAAAATATTCCTTGAAAGGAACCATGCCTAGACTGACAAAGTTAGATCAGGTGATAACTACTTTTGTTCCTTTTTCTGCTTTTTACCTGCATTAGTGAATAACAGACTCTTGTCATTATGAGGCACCAAGCTAGCACTTTTGACAGGTACATGACCTTGCTTTTCAAAATACTTTATAAATTTAGAACGTAGTTCGGGGGAAGACAATTGCTGCATAAAGCGAACATGAGGACGTAATGTTGGTAAACCCGCTCGCGACAAGAGTCTTGCTTGATACATTGTAGCCGAAGAAAGGAGATAAAAAGGCCCCCGCAACAAATTACTTTTATTGCCACTTTAAATTCAGACAAATGAAAATTATTTTCTGACAAAATAAAACCACTGTAAAAAAGTTTCAGAACAAGATAAAAATTCAGATGGCTTAAAGTTCAAGGCATTTAACCCAGTAAACTTCAAAATGCCGTGTCCAGTCAATGCAATCTTCTGTGATAGTTCAGAAACTATCTTGATCCTAGGGTTAAAGTATCCAATAAGTGGAAAGCGGATTTCTTTATCTACAACCAGTACTCCCTCAATGGGATCCAAAATTGCTGAATATGGGGCATACAAAGACTTAACGTCTTTGCTTTCGATCCCATGGGCCACGTAATAAGAATGATGAATTCGATCACAAAGATGTTTATTGTGGCTGTCAAAGACATCCATGAAAGTTACAAAACGATTTTCGGCAGAAAACAATGATGTTTTTTGGAATCGCGCTACAACCAACTTAAACCCTGTAGTATGATTAATAATTCTCTTTCATGCTCCCGTACAGCGTAAGTTGTTTAAGTTGTTTAAGTTGAAAAGGGGTATTTTACAATCAATTTTGCACTTGACTAACACTGTCTGAAATTTTTAAGTGCTTTTGTAACAGGGCGTCTGAGTTTAAGTGGCAAAAAAGATTTTTATTTATTTAATGAGAAATATGTACTGGGGGAAGGGAATTGTTATATAGAAGGAAAACGGTGCTGTTATGCGGAAGCGCTTACAAGACCAGAGGAAGCCTCTTTATTTCCTTTGGAATTATTTGAATAAAGACTGTATTGACGAACTTGTTGGATAGAATTTTGGATTAAAGGCAATACATATTCTTGAGTCAAGTGCATGATATTGGTAGCCTTCTGTAAAGGAGCCAAATCATCCTTCAAAACTTGGGTACGAACAATTTCATACTCATTGGAAGCAAATGTGACGAGAGGGTTTACCACAATATGTAAAGAAGAAGGCAAGTTTGAGATAACGTGATGTTCCTTGACATAAGCAGCGGCGGAATCCAAGCGTTTGATCAAGTCAATTGTCAATTCATTAATGCGTTGATTTGCCTTATTTTGAGTGGAAGTATAACCACCTTTCAAAGAGACAATAAAATCATTGAGACGAGTATTTGCTATTTGGATAGAATGGAATGTTTCTTGGAGTGTTTCAGCCAAACGAGCCACGTCGGCTTTTGAATGGGGAATCGATTGCAATCTGTGAGCCAACCTTTCTTTTACAATGGACAAGACATTTCTATTATCATCCACATTCCTTGATGATTCATCCTTCTTGGGAGGCAGATATCGGTTCACGAGTTCAGTAGGTGCTTGTACCACACTTGTATATATTTCGGCTGCATCTTGACGGACAACAGGAAATTTATTTTCAACCAAATCAAGCGATTGACAACCCATTTGATCGGCTTTGAGTAGATGATGCTTGTATTTTTCAGCATACGGTGACGCAATAGAGGCGGCCATCTTGATAGTGGACTCCGCCTTTGTGATAGCAAAACGACTAATGGAGTTTTGATTGGCGTAATATTGAGCATCACGAATCAATGGAATAGAGAGAACGCGAGAAAAGAAGGAGTAGCTAGGAATTGGTTTATTGGCTTCTTCAGCTTCAACCACGGTGTGGTCTAATCAAAATTTGATTTAAAAACACATCCTTTTGCATATTGTTTGACTATTTATTTACCTGGTACTGAAACTTCTCTTTCGAGTACTTCATTTGGATTACTTGTAGGAATACCTTTCTTATTAGAGCGAGCGTTATTTTTCTTGGACATGTTTAAAAAGATTTTAATATGAGAGAAAAAGTAGCAGGTTAGCCAAATAAAAAAAACCCCTCTTTTTATATATTCACTGAGTGTAAAAATATGATCATTTAACATGTGAATATTTTATGCCGATGACGCTGTTCCTCTTTAAGATTGATACTGGGTGCACGTGCCTCTTTTTTTTCACCCTTTCTCTTTCTTTCCGTTTCCAACAATTCTCCGCTATCACTTGTAATTAGGAATTATATCTTTTATAAACAAGCAAAATATAAAAGTGAGATAACATTAGTGTAAATTAGTCTATAAAGATAAAGATGACGACAGATTCATTATCTAGTCCGAAACAGGAAGAAATAATTAGCCAGAAAGCAGCAGCGATCGTTGATAACCATATGACAAATGTCAGACATGATGACGGAAATTCAATTCAATCGTCCTTTCACAGCTCAATAACCATGGCAAGATGTAAAAATGGGGCTGGACCAAATTTGTTGGAAGAAGTGTGTAATAAGAAAAGAAATAACAGGTATTATTTAATTCTTTTTTGATGATGCAATCATATTTTAACCCGGACATACAAAAAAAAAACGTGGCATAGGCTAGTTACACGATTTCATCAAACGGAAAGGCCACAAAAATAAATACAGAATTTGCACATGAAATTTAAAAAGAAAATGGGGTGACTGAGATGCAATCCTTTACTTTTGGTTTTGGTTTTTTTGCTTATTATGGTTTTATTTCAATCATCGCTTTCCAACAAACTAAATTCGCATTGGTTTCCAAGCAAAAAGTTTCCTCTAAAAGTTTCGTTTCGCTTGTTCTTACTGTTAACAGCCCAATTTTTAAAAATCCGTGATCAAATCTCGCTTTGTTGCCATCAATATTAAGTAAAGATCAATTCGTGCAGCAGCAGCAGTAAAACCAAGATTATCTGAATCTAAAAAGCTGACATTGTATTGATCCCGAAATCACGTATCGTGGCATGATCTCCTTCTTTCCTGGTGTAACCGCAATAAAAACCTGTTTATTTTGTTTGGGATGTCCCTCTTCCGCTGTAGTGCAAACTGTGTGAAAAAAACAGGGTCGTGTTTTACTTGTTGACCAAACGTATTCCCCGTGTATACATTATGAGTTTCCTACGTAATATGGGATCATCTATCAAATGAATGTTATGTCATTCGCAAGATATATTTTAATATTGTTTTGGAAAAGATTAGGTTATATATTCTTATTGGGAGTTGGGTGTACAACCTTATCGTCTAGACAGCCGGATCATAAACTCATACAAGCGAAAACACGGCTTCCACATGAAAGCAGTAAGCTCCATTTACAGCTTAAGGTGATTGGTGGAACTGCAGCTTGGTTCGTCACACATATTGGAAACCATTTATCAACTCACTTTCTCTACTTGTGTTCTGTGTAAGGACGGAATTGTTCTTTTTTCAAAATAATGTTCATTCCTTTTTTTTAAAAAAAAAATACAATGACTAAAAGCTACATCACTGTGAATAAACATAAATAGGTCTTGACCCGATTTTGATTTTTTTTTTTCTCGATTGAGCGATTTTGTTTATATCGCTCACCCAAAAATTGTACAAGTCCTGCAATTTCCAATTAAAGCTATACGCGGTAACCTATGTACAGGTAAAAACCTTGTATTATTAGCACAAGTATTACAAACAAACCATTTTGTAGCAAAAACGGCACTTGGCATTTTAGGTTTGACCTTCCCAGTCCCATTGAATGGTCTATTTGGAGGTGATGCACCTGATCTTGCTTAAGGGTTTTGGAAGCTCACGTCCAAACGAGCCGTTTTATTCTTTTGATTGTGTATAATTCTCGTATACACTAATGTCTAGAAATAAAGTTTATTTATAAACCAGGGATAGTTTGTTTTATATTTGTATCGCCTGTATCGTCATTATAGTTAGCATCTCGCTGGTCATATAATAGGCTATGGTATAGGTTATAGCTCCAAAGAAAATAGATATAGGCAGCGCAGGAAGTGCCCTTCTATTCAACGTCAGAATAAGAATAGTCAATGATAGACCCTAAAACAAATTGTTAAGTGCACGTTTGAATGAATTTAATCGTTTGGCTACTTACAGTAAGGATAGCTATAATACACAAGCAGAGCGTGACTTCGTTTGTGTTCGCCGCTTTCCCAACAAGAACACTATAAAAAATAAAGTCACCCAAACCAAGCTTGATAGCATTTAAGTCATCGCAATCCTCTTCCTCACTATCATCATCACTCTCATGTTCAGGGTGAGCATGTTGAACAGAGCGTGAGAAAGTATCAAGTTCATTAGCGGATGTGTGTGACATATCCCCGACATTTCTTAACGCACCTTCTTCTTCATTTTCTATTGAAGTATAGCCTTTACTTCCCGAAGAGAATGGTACCCACCGAAGCCAGCTTATTTTTTTGCTACTGTTTGATTCATGTGTCCGATAACCTCCGATCACATCATTGTCGCTGTCTAAGCTTGCCATACCTGCAGAGTATATTAGTGCTGGAATATCCTCTTGTCGTTCCTCGGCTATCGCAATCAACATTCTTAAGGGACCTGCCGGGCAAAGTACAGCAAACAAATCTATAGCCATTATGTTTCATTAATAATAGATCGGGAAGAGCAGAGAACATGCATGTCATTTTCTTACCATATATTGAGACAGCTATTAAAACCGTCCATGTAGTCCATGGTGGCATTCTCAACATGCTGATAGACTTTTTGAAAATATAAGTTGTCAGTTCATAAATGAAGAACCAATGTATTGCTTACAGTAGCTGTGCTGACAGCAATCAGATAGGCCTGTTGTAACCAAAGCGGGCTATGCCAAAAAATGGCAATCACCCCGACGATAGAAAAGTTCCAGGTGCACAAGAGTAAAGTAATGTAATCCAGTGGTATTCTATATGAATCCATCATTTCACTAAAACAAAGACCATGTCAGTAGAATTCAGAATAGATATTATGGCCCTCAAATTCTTACATCCATAACGCAGAGGTTGTTACACCAAGAACCGATAGGACAGATAAGCCTAACCAAAAAAACAAAAACTGATATATCCTTTAAGTATCAATTACAACGACTATTAAATCATCAATTACCTTGTAGAAACGGTATTTAAAGCAAAGGACAAAAAAAAAGGTCATAATTGTGATGCCACAAACGACTGCAATTGCATTAATGACACTCCCACCTAGACGTACACTTATGCTGTCGGTCGGTAATTCATCATAAAACATCAAGGGGTTACTATTCGTGAAACAATAACGTTAAAAAAAAGTCGAGTGTCTGCTTTAAATATTTGCCTGATTTGTAAATTGTCGATGTTCAGCGTTGTCTCGATCCAACATACAAGGGCGAACGTTAGCAACAAAGGATAGAAAAGTAATGTTAATTGCTCGACGTAAAAGCTGATTGTTTCTTTTCGTCTTTTCTCATGCAAGGAATCTTGAGGGGGCTATCGATATATTGAATAGGTTATATTTTACCAGATCTACTCTAGTTTATACCTGAGTTGAGTCTAGTTGATCAGGCTCTTGTTGCAATAACGGGTCTGTAGAGTAGGCTCCATCAATCTCATCGTCATGAGCAGACATTTGAATGAGTCAAGCCTGTGTATATATTCCTTAAAATTAAAAACCAGCAAATTTATTTAAACTGTCTCATTTTTTTGAAACGCATTTTACTCCAAGCCCTAGAAAGTTTTCGAACCCTTTACAAACTTCTAGAAGTGGCAAGTTGCTGTTAATATAGGGTTTGGATCTTGTTGGTTCTGCCTCAATAAGCTTGTTGTAAGAATTTTCAAGGGCTTTTGCGACAGCTGTATCTATGAGATAATTTAATTTGAATTCGTCAGAACCTACTTGAATCAAAGAGCTTGTTCGTGATAATTTAGACGAAGCGTTTCTATCTGAGGTGTTCGAGGTCACATTGATATGATGATTGTGAAGGTATGTTGTCATATCGTCCAATTGTCCTTCAATATCATGTTCAAGCTGTTCAAGTTGCTCAATACGAACAAGCATCTTAGGGTCAGTGCTATTAGGTATCACTTCAGCAGCATTTTGGCGATTAGTATACAAATTCCCCATGCCGTTAGTAGCATTGTACCCCAAACCTTCCCTGTCTTTAGTATAGATCTCGTAATAACTTCTATCATCAGGCGAGACAATATCTACAAATGTGTCGTGATTCATTTCATCCGGATTATTAATAATTCCAAATTTGACATCTTCATATTCATCATGGTTGGCGGTTGTATGACCATCAATTGTGACAAAATAATTGTTATCCAGGGAACTTGTATGAAATAAATGGATATTGGTATCAATGACGTTCTTCAGTTCATCAATTTCCTGTGAAATAAGTTTCATGCGATAATATGAAGCGGATGGTGTACCAAGTGTTTTCCTCCGATTTTGGTTGCTAGTATCAATAATTGCATTACTGATGACAGCGGAGGTAGCAGCTTTACCATAACAGCATATATTATTGTCTGCAATAATACCTGTTGGTGTTGTATCGCCACTTCTATTTGTGTATGAAATGCTGCGATCTTGTTTCTTCGAATTAGGGATGATAGTTGGGACATGAGCACTGCCAGGATCGCGATAATAGATATCGTTTGCGTTCGTTGTATTTTTATCAGTATTACGTGTTCCTTTAAAATTTACATTGGTTGCGTCAGAAGAGCAGACTTTGCTGTCTCGGGTATTACATATTTCATCAAAATCACAATTTTTGTTAAACATAGAAACGCTATCTTCATAAGGGTTTTTATCTGCCGGCATTAGATTTTCGACATTGTTGGCTTCCTCGATAAGGTAGTCGTCGTCGATATACGTCCCAGGCATTAAGTGTTTACCGGGATATTTTTCACCAACATCTTCGGACGTCCGAAGGACTGTAGGTAATTCTGGGGCAGTAACATAGGACGTTTCATCTATTTAAATAAATTAAACACGTCAGAATGACGGAGGATAACCAAATAAACCGTGCGTTGGGCTACATACCGTCAAGACTATTACTTGGATTATTTTGGATAGCTGTTTCTTCAATTCGCTCTATGGTTGGTCTTAGGCATTCTACAAGGTTTACAAAAGCTGTAGAAAACAGATTGCTCTCCAACGTTTTTGAATTTTCAATCTGTTTCGAAGCTTCTTTACAATGACGTAATAAATTGCTAAAGTCGGACGATGGAATAACGTCGTCATCTAATATAGCTTCTTTAATACCAGTTTATTACACATGCTATAATATTTACAATTACTCAAGTTTTTTGCATAACCGGTTGATTCGTACTGTTCTTTTTTTGATTCGAATATGAACATGGCAGCTACAAACTGTTCCATGGTTAAATACGGACTGTTATTAACATCCCGAGCAGTGCGCAAAATGAGTTGCAGGTATTCTTCAGATCTGAAATAACCTATTACTTCATTTTCTAAAAAAAACACAATTAATGCTTGAAAATTTCTTTAACTTGCATCTTTGATTATACCGCTTAAGTATCCATGGTTTGATTGGTCTAATGTTTTAAATAAACTAACATATTTGTGACATAATTCCAAATTACTTTGAGTAGTTGTGTTGGTCATTAAAGTGTAACTGAGGAGGAGGGAAAGGAAAGAGGTCCTTTTAAAGCAGACGAGATTTATTGTTGTGTTTTCTAAAAGTTTACTCCGCTACTCAATTTCTGAAATCAGGTTTCACCAGTTTGTCAACCCAAGACAAAAAGTTGTTGACACATTTTTATAAACAAAAACAGTTTCGTATGTTTTTTTTCTTGTAAACGAACTTCGATTCCACTGATTAATTTAAAAATCAAGTAGGTGCATGTATCTTCAGGCAAAAATATAAGCAACAGTTAAATGTCACAACTACTCAGATAATATTTCAAAATCGTGATTGGTAAATCTATAATAGAAATTGATGTGCTCACTAAGACTACAAATATAATATGAACAGAACGTCTATGAATTCAAATAAAACAGTTTTCTGAAAGTTGATAAAAGATAGCACCCCTTTAAAGAGTTGGGGTTACTGACTCTGGCATAATCGCTCGCACGCATTGTTTTTTATTGGGTCTATGAGAATGCGGCTATAAACGGGGTGGTCTGACGCCCCTTTCATGGAACGCATTTGTATTAGCAACAAAGTGAACCAAAGCAAACAAAAGGAGTGCATTGAAATGACAGCAGTATCAAACTTTTAAAACTCCATTGACGTTTTTTTTTTTATTCATGTTGATGGGATGAAAAAAGCTTGCAAATCATGAATACCTTGTTTTGTCGTGTGTGACTGGAACGCCTATTTTTTTATCCCCGCCCTCTTTTCATGTGAAAAACAAAATACACACAGTTTTTTTCTCTTCTAACTCTTAAACATCATGACCATTTACACCTCACTCAAGGACTACGTTAAGAGACATCGTAATGGCTTATTAATAACAGCCACGATTGCCGGTGGTAGTTATTTTGCAGGAAAATATGCCACTTCTAAAATCAAGAGCATTTCAGAGAAATCTACTGCCGAACGATTAGCCAAAGAAAAGTAAATTCATGAGGAGGGGGCAGAGTATTGGCTATTTATTTTGGGGGTGCTAATGATATCATTTGTAGCTTGAAGCGTCGATTTCAACAAAACCAAAACGATTGTGTATTCACAGTGCTGTCCCTATTACCAACACTGGGCGATCAAATTTTGCACGAAATGAATATTGAAGAAGGGTGGGCTAAATTACAAGAAACCAGACGTCTGGAAAAGATTGAAACTCGACTGAGAAAGGAAAGAGAATTGGCCGCTTCTGCTAGAGAGGAGCAAGAAGCACAGACAAAAGAAGTGAGCGAGTCCGTGGTGATGGTGGATCATCAGGATGAAGAGCATAAAGTGGATAAGGAACAAAAACATGGGGAAAACTCCACTGGGTTGGATACAAGTGTCAATAGTTTATCAACCTCTTTTGTGGCAGAACAGGATCATCCCCTCCCTGCAGGTATTCTGACTAAAAAGGAAAAGAACCTTCTTTGGGATGAAATCAAGACCATGAGTAATAATTGTACCTGTTTATTCATTTATAATCATGCTAATGTTCTCTCTCTCTCTCTTCATCCAGGTTTTACACGTACTTTCACATCGATCTATTCGGTCACATTATTGACCATGTTGACACATATCCAGTTGAACCTTTTAGGCAGATTTACTTACATCTGGTCTGTATCTGTACTGAATAAGAGCGAACCCACAATTAGATTGCAACAAGAAGGAGCTGAACCAGATGTCGGATTCTTGGACCCACACATTGAGCGCATGTTTCTCAGCGCCAGTTGGTGGTTACTTCATCGTGGCTGGAAGGCAATTGCCGAACGAGTCTCAGAAGCCGTGAATGAAATAGTCTCCGAGTATGTAAACGTAAAGTACAAATGTATGTAGAAGTTATACTGATATAATATATCCTCAATAGTATACCTATCAAGGGATTTTTGGATTATCAAGATGCAGAAAAACTTGTATCTAAACTCAGAAAGCGCATCGAATTTGACCAAGATGGTCAACCCATCAGGTAAATTTTATCTTTGCAAGAGCAGTACGTTATGAAAAGTTTTTTAATAGGACGTATTAGTTATCGCCAATATATGTTGCCTGATACACGAGAAGAGGAATTGGAATTTTTGCGTGGTGCTGGATTTGAGGATTATCCTGAAGACGAAACATCCACCATCTCGCTCAAGAAATTATTAGATGAAACCAGGGATTTCATCGACAGGTAGATGCTTAATTTCGGAATAGAGTGAGAAGGAAAGTTACTGATACGCTCTTTTTTTTTTTAGTCCGGATTTCCATCCAGTTCTGTCATCATGCTTGGACGAGGTGTTTGCAATCTTTGATCACCACGCATTTGGCAAAACATTACTCCACGAGCCCATGACATCGGGTATCCAGGAAATTACAAATGCCGAAGCATTACATTTGGAACAAGGCAAAAAAGTCATTCTTGCCAATCTTTTACCCACCATTAGTAGACAAGCACATTTGATTATTGCGGGCAACGAATACCTGAACGTAAAGTATACTGCTAACTTTACAAAGAGGTTCCATTTCTAACATTTATCATTAGGCGTTTGCATATATCAAAGAGTTACAGGCCTTTTCCGCATTAATTTATACTCAGTACGGGGATGAACCTAACAGCGCGTAAAAATAAAAAAATGAATCGTAGAGTTACACGGATTTAAATTGACAGTTTAGTGCTTTGGCACTTTAATTATTTGACAACCCTGTTTATAAGGGAGAAGTGCGGGCTACTAATACAGTTTTCACAGACAATGTTTACTTTCAGGAAGGCCACTCGAGTTGCAAAAAGTAGGAAAACTGACGATAAATAAAACAGAGCCTAAAAAATAAAAAGTGAGATTAAACAGAGAAGAGTGAACTCATTGTAGTGTCTAATATCTCCTTTTGATGCTTTCGTTTCAAAACCTTGGATGAAGCAACGTGCTTACTTGTTTGGACGACGATATTTGTTAAATTGTCTCAGTGACCAGCACAGGCCAACAAACGAAACAGAATGCTTAATTCAGTCTTCATAGTCCGCTACAGACATTCATTGCTCAATGAAGCTGACTCTTTCTTTTCTAAATGTTGTACACGATGAGACTAATGTTGGAGGTAAAATAAGTTTTCTCATTTTGACAATGAGGTTCAAAAGGAATCTATCAGTGTGGTTTCGACTTATTTAAGCGTGGATAAGAAGCGAGATGAAGATATGGTTGATATGTCTGAGCCAAATCTCATAAAGTAGGGATCTCACTATCTGCGCCAATGAACAGTTATAAGTAGTTGTAACTCAAGTTCGAATATTTCATCTGTAACCCGTTTCTGAATATGCATGTTGCCATGGTTCCAAATAGCTATATAAATCTGGATAAATGATATTCACAGACTATATTCTGTAGCAAGAAACAAAGTGGTGCCCTTTTAAGGAGGGAATATCCAGACAATATGCTCAGCCAGTTCAATAGAGACATTGCACTACTGCTTTAAATAACCCTTTCAAATTCTCATGAGATAATATTTAACAACGATTACCATACTAAACGCAAGCTTGTTGGGTCCCTTTTTTTAACTTTCCCTAGAATACAGTCCATAGTTTATTGACCCATGATGCGATAAAATTGCTTGTCAACGTGTGTCAAAACTGAATCCCCTTGTAGCATATACTACAAACTTTAAATATGTCATCTGTATAATAGTTCTTGACGATGCAGCCCATAAATTTTGCTTGATCAGCGCGTTCCTCTTGAAAAGTAGTTAATCTGATCCAGGTCTTTTCTGTGCATAATCCTTGTCGATTTAATATAGCTTCTTTCCAACCTAAACCATAATATGTATTGATATGCATATATTTTGCAACTGATTCTGTTGATAGTAATTTACTTACGATAAGATTTACGACCACACTTGTCGACTGCCTTCAGTATACCCATTTTAATTTAACAAGGAGTCTTGGGAAAATACAACAGTCTTCGCTTATTTTAGCCAAGTATTACTTCCAGTACTTTAATTACTAAACCAATATTTAATTCGATTACACCGCGCATAATGAAAGGGTTTGAAGCGTCTGCGATGGTTGTTAATGAACGAATAGTGCTGGCAGATGATATAAAAGTTTAGGCTAAAATATAAAACGGAAGTAAGGAGAATGTCTACACCTACGTCTTTTTTTTTTCTACGTACGTCTATGATTATGCCTGTTTCTAGTATGTAAGGACTCAAACATATGGATGATTAAATAAGCAATTAGATCATCCTGACATAAGCCAGCTCTTCTTTATCAGCTTATAAATAAAACTCGTTCACACGATCTTCTGATTAAATAAACAATTGAATCATCCTGACATAAGTTAGATCTTGTTTATCAGTCTACAAATAAAACCCATTTACATAAGCCCCATAGATAATAACCTTCACGACTTGAGCATAAATATCAAATTTAACTACTTCATTTTTCGTCTGTTCTTATCAATCTGAATGTAATTGTCTTTACCTTTTTGTTGCATCTCGTTTATTTCTTCGGGTTGAATACGTGTTATCAATAAAGTAAAGCAAATGAACCTTTGTTTCGGATACTTGACCGTTGACTTGTTCAATATTTGATCAGTTATATATTTGAATCAAGTGAATTATTTCACAGGCAGATTCTGAGTCTGGATAAATCATGTAACTGTTTCCGTGTGTGATTTCAATTTCTTAGGCCCTTATTTCAATTATAACCCATGAATTAGTTGTATAACATTTTCAATTTTATTTTATTAGCGAAGTTTATTACTTTGATTTATGGCCAAATACTTGAGCCTTAACTACCTCTAATAAAAATACAATACCACACAAAGCTGTAAATACAGAGAGCTTGCTCTTTGACATTTTGTTTTTTGTTTTATTTGGCATATGTTCTTTCCTGTCACATATTTGACAAGCTTTTTTCTCAAGATCATCACGAAGAAGACTTATAAGAGCATACTATCAACTGTGCTGGAGAAAGCATGTTGAATGAACAGAGTTGTATTAAAATCAGTCTTTAATTTTAAAAAAGGAAGGCATATAAAAACAAAATTTATTTCTTTTTTTACGTACTATTCTTTTTTCTTTTTGTTTTCTCTAAAAAAAAATATTACACACACATACACATACACATAAATTATAAATTATTGTATACACTTTTTTTTTTCGTGAAATTCTCAATAAGTTGATATCTGTAGAGCATCGAAAAGAGCCATGACGACTGATGGCGGTTTGCCATTTGACTTACCGACAGTAAAAACGAAGGCTGATGAAGACCATGTACGTAAAAACAAGAGAACATTTAGTATAAAGGAAGCACCTACCTTTTACCCCAACAAGAGAAGAATTTAAAGATCCCTTGAGTTACATTGAAAAGATTAGCCTACAAGGCAAAAAATACGGTATTATCAAAATAGTGCTACCCAAAGATTACAAACCTGGGTTATGCACCCAAACAATATACTTCCATGTCAAACGCTCTCAAGTCCGCTTACCCAAAAGGTATTTTGCTAAATGAAATCTGGTATACCAAACACTAGGAAAATCTGGAGCATAATATCAAGAAAGAAGGTGCAAATATAGGATGGGATTATACAATAAGGAACGTAGCTAATTTTTAGATTAAAACCAATCTGGCTCCCAGAAATATTCAAACCCGATGCCCGAATTTTAAACCATTGGACTTGCAGCATCCCAAAATATTCATTTGTTACGTATTGCCTGATGGAATTCCACCACATTGATGGATTCTTATTTTCAGTGTCAATAAATTTACAGGACAAAATCATTTTGCATTAACGGTATATTTAATGATCAACTATTAATCATTAAGTACAAAACGATAAAGTAAAAACTGTAATACTTATTTCTCAAAGTTGTGTGTTTGATCTGTCTACAAAGTAATACAATTGTGCGATTTTTACGTTTTAGTGAGCAGCCAGACTAACTTTTTTTATTGTAGCTAATTATCTAGCTATTTAGCGACTAGAAGTAAAGATGTAAGCTTGAGGTTGATACTTCGTGTTATACCCTCATCCTTACAGTATTCGGCAAGAATGTGCCAAAAAGTTCACAAGACATAAAGCAGTGTACATTCTAAAGAGAAAAAAAAAATTAATGAAAAAAAAAACGAGTGAGTACTACAAAACTACAGAAATCCAATGCAAGCACTGCCCGTTTCTACCGTGAAAAACGTGCACGAACTGATGAAGGCAAATTCGGCCAATCAATTCTTACGTAAAGCTGCTCATTTAAAGTTGTTAGACCGGGAAAAAAAATCTGATAAAGAAATACACTAAAAGTATTCGCGTGGTTACAAAAGGATAACTTGTTTCCATTTTAAATCAAAGACCATAAGGGCGCAGTCAGGTTAAGGGTTGGACAAAAGACCAACGAGCGGGCCGAACCATAAGTAGCAGTCGGTGGATCACAAAAGAAGTGGCTCTCTTAACAAAAATGAGTGGCATGCTCACTATCTAAATGAAGCATAAACCCTCTTTATTGGTTAGAAATAGGCTTTTTTTTTTTAATTTTAATTTTAATTCAAATTTTTTTTTTCCTACAAAGGCTTTCCCTTTTTGAATCTCTTTTATTTTTACCTCTCATTCAAACATGGCATCCGATTCATATACGAAATTTAAAAACTGGTAAACGTAATTATCAGACAGTTTGACAGCACAGGTGTAATAACCTCAAGCAAATATGTACATTCAAAAAAAAAAAAAAAAAAAAAGTTTAGATGTCTGGGCCAAACAGAATGAAAAGGGTGTACAATGCCTAAGCAGACAAACACTGGGTTCACCATCCAAGGATTTAGACGAAGTGTTGGAAAAATGTAAGCGAAATATGTAATAAAAACGCTTCTATAGCAACGCGTTAACAGTCAAATATCAGTAAAACAAGTGCTGGACACCATGTTTGAAGAATACACACAAGTAGTTACCGACTTGGGCTTAGAAGAAGTGATACAAAATGATGATAATCTTCGTATTCCCAAAGAATTAAATGCCATTCGAAATTGTCTCGATATGTATGATCAAGAGTATATGGTCAAGGTAATTTAAGAAAAGCGTCTGTCTATTTATTTATTTATTTTTTAATCTTAAATTTCCCCAGGAATGCATAAGAGGCACCGTGTGCGGAGAAGGATTTGCAACAAGACAACATTTAGCGGGATGTATCGCCCTATGGAAATCCGAATCCTACATTGATGATGAATTGCAAGAAGAAATAAAAAAACTTTAATGGTATTCGTGTTTAGCATCACCAGTATGTGTGATGAACCGAGATTTAGCCAAAAAGTTACCCTAATAATTTTTATGAATAACATTGATGAGAGTAGAGATACATCACACGTACCACGTATAGCTCGAATCCAAAGAGCTTGGCTACATCTGTAATCTTGTGATGACTTTGAGACTCCCACCATTCCAATTGATCCATCACCGTATGCTTTACTTTTTCCAATTGATCTTTTCTTTTCATTTGTTGCTCCTTGAGATACGATATATTCAAATCTTTAGCAGACACACCACGGTCTAAATTTCGCTTCAAGAATTCATCATAATCACGCACAATGCGTGTAATGAGATCTGAAGTGGAAACACCCGTTGTACGTTTGGTCGGTAAGAACTTTCCTTGAGATTTCACAAACGCATAGACATCACCCGATTCAGTAGATTGATAAGGTTCAGCATCGTGTGCGACATAATCAATGGCATGCGCCACCAAGAACTCTTGGGTGATGACCCAAGGTGCAGATTCAATCACTTCATCTACCCATTTACAGTGACGCACAGACTCATAACGTTCTAGGTCTGTCATCACCGTCTTACCTTTACGAGCATGTGTTTCTCGGTCATCACAGACTGCAAATAGAGTCAATCATGACTGTTGTCAATTCATAAGTGTGTGTTTATAATTTTACCTCCGACTAAAAGGTGGACATTTGGAAAGGACTTTTTGGCTTGTTCTAGTGCTTTAGCATGACCAAAGTGGAATAAGTCGTAAATACCATCACAGTAGATTCTGACAGGTCGGTTCTTGGGTGGCTATGTATGATTTTGTATTTAATAAATAGCATTTGATTCACATAGTGTGGTTTTAATTATGATTTACCTGGTTGATCTTGAAATCAAACTCTGGTTGAGAACTCACGAGATCTACTTGATCTTTTATTTGTATCAGGTTTAAGTTTATTTGTATGCTTTTATAGGTTTTACCTTTAGTCATTTTTTGTTGTTGCAATAATCGGAAATAATCAAAAGAGAGAGAGAGAAAAAAAAAAGATGTTTTTTATTCTCTTGTTTCGGGTTGTATCTAATGGTCACAAGGAAAAAAAAAGGGTACCTTGATTTAAATTAGACGCGGTTACTTTTTTTTTTTATTGTAGTCAAGCCGGGGTAGTACCTTTAGAGCACATTTCCAAACTTTATTTGCAACACTAAGTTTGAATTGATGACACTTTTGCTTTTTGTTGTAGCAACATTAAATCATGATAATACAAAAGGCGGGATCAAACTAATCTATTTGGGAACATTTATGAAATTCCTAATTTCCAAATCCCGCCAAAAATCATTCCTTGCTTTCTTTTTCTTTTCTTTTTTTGAGAACAAGAACTTGATCGTATGCAAGACATGGTGTATAACATTTGGTAATTAAAGACAACTCAAAGGCATGTTTTTTTTACTTGAGCTTACTCATTAACCTTTTTTCTTTATAGTATGGTGTCCGATTTCTTCTATCCAAACATGGGTGGAGTCGAGTCTCATTTATACGAATTATCACAACGCTTGATTCAACGAGGACATAAGGTAAAAAGGTAAATCTTTAAAGATGTCGGGCTCATTTTGTTTTCTTTCTTTTTTTCTTTCTCTTGTCAGTATACTCATCCCTGTTTGTTAGGTCATTATAGTGACGCATGCCTATGGCAACAGAACAGGTGTACGTTATTTGACCAATGGTTTAAAAGTCTATCATGTACCGACTCAAGTCATTTACGCTGAAGCAACTTTACCTTCGTTTTATGGATTCTTTCCCTTATTTCGTCACATTCTTATTCGAGAATCCATTCAGATTGTGCATGGCCACGGTGCATTTTCTGCATTGTGTCATGAAGGCATCTATCATAGTAAGACCATGGGTTTGAAAGCAGTGTTTACTGATCATTCCTTGTTTGGTTTTGCCGATGCTTCGTCCATCTTGACCAACAAGCTATTGAAATTCACATTGAGTGATATTGACCATGTCATTTGTGTCTCGCACACCAGGTAAGCCATGACAAGAAAAAGAGAAAGCTGGGAAATTCTGACAATAACAACAACTACGAAAATAGTAAAGAAAATACAGTGCTGAGAGCAGCTTTATCACCCAGACACGTCTCTGTTATACCTAACGCAGTGGTAGCTTCCCAATTCTTACCGGATCCTTCAGTGCCTGATCCTAACTGGATTACGATTGTAGTGATTAGTCGATTGGTCTACCGCAAGGGCGTGGATTTATTAGTAGCGATTATACCACGTATTTGTGAATCGTATAAGCAAGTACGATTTATCATTGGCGGAGATGGACCGAAACGAATTGATTTAGAGCAGATGCGAGAGAAGCACTTGTTACACGATCGCGTCGAATTATTGGGACCCATCAAACATCATGAAGTGCGCGATGTGTTAGTGCAAGGCAATATTTTTTTAAACACCAGTTTAACCGAAGCTTTTTGTATCGCCATTGTTGAGGCTGCTTGTGCAGGGTAGGACAAGAAAATTAAGATCATTTATATGAAAGTGGAAGACTGGGCTTTAATAAGGGATAGAAAAATCTAGATTATTTGTCGTAAGCACTAAGATTGGCGGCGTACCTGAAGTTTTACCCAGTCACATGATTAACTATGCAAGTCCAGAGGAAGATGGTAATATAGAATAAGACGTGAGCGGCCTAGTTGACCGCGCACATTATATTTGCATTTGTATTCATCTTTGTTTTTGGAAACAGATCTTGTGATTGCTGTGTCCAAAGCGATCCATATGTTTCGTTTCGGTCAAATTGATCCTAGTCAGTTCAATGATCAACTGAAAGAAATGTATAACTGGTCCAATGTTGCTGAGCGTACAGAAAAGGTATAAATACAGAGAGAGGGGGTTGTTACAATGACCAAGCTAATAAATGTAAATAAAATAGGTATATGCGGCAGTATGTCAGACAAAGACGCCGCCCTTAATTGAGCGATTGAGAAGATACTATGGATGTGGAGTGTATGCAGGCAAAGTATTTTGTATGATTATCGCGTTGGATTATTTAATTTGGAAGTTTCTTGAATACTTGTTTCCTGAAGAGACGATTGAAAAGGCTGTGGTTTTCCCGTATCAAAAGTACCGTGCGTATTTTAATGGAGATTCAAGTAGTTATAAGATGCGTCATCCTAATCATAATGTGATTGTAGAAGAGGACGAAACAGATTTAATAGATTAACCGATTTGGGGCGGGGAATCAAAAGAGGAAAAAGGGAAAAGATTACACAAAATGTAGTGCATATGGTATTCTCCGAAAAATGCAAAATAAAGAAAGGAGGCTTTTTATGTATAATTTTTTTTTTTTTATTTCTTACAAATCACTATGTCAGTAGCTATTTTTAAATTTCTCTTTTGATATTTGCGCATAATGTAATGTTCAGCCAATATAAATCGTTGAGCAGCAATATAACCATTTAGACTCATTTCGATCCAAGTAGTTTGATCCAGCCTTGAAACCGCCACCCACTCACATAAATATTTCCAACATTTGACTAATTGTTCTGTCATCTGTATTTTTCCAAATAGAATCTTGAGTAAGTTCTCTCGAAAGGCGATTGGATTCACGGTATTCGAAAGCTTCTTATCTTGACGTAACTTTTCAAATTCGGTCAAGAGTAATCGGGGTGCATGATTGCTTTGTGGACCTCCTACTCTGCTACAATATCGAATAATCTCAATAAACACCCTGCATAGTATCACTGTAGATGGCTTGACAGCGTGTGTAGGTTTAGTTGCTTCCGCGGGTATATTGTCATTCTTTTCACTATCTTCACTCTCTTCGTCGTCATCCTCATCATCATAAACAGGCAGTGGTGGTGGTGGTGGTGCTTGTGATGGTACTGTCAGTGAATCAAGTAATTTAGGTTCCTGGATTAATTCCACTAATTCTTCATAATGTTCACAGTGCCTTGGTCTCACATTGTTTTGTAAGCGGTATAATTCATTAGCAATCCATTCAGTCATTGTTACTACAGTGCCTGTAACAGTATCATTAAATCGAACGGGATCAGGAGGACAGCTGGAAGGATGTGCAAGGTCTTTAAAACACACATTCATATTTTATATAAAGAAGGAAAGGTGGGGATATGAGTAATAATAAAAAAGAAAGAAGAAAAAAAGAGGATTCATTTGCTCCTTTTATATGAAAAATGCCGATGCACGAAGCCTAATAAGGCAAACGGCAGCCGGACTCCATAAAGAGTAATGGAGGAAATAGTGTGGCACAACACAAAAAAAAAAAAAGTTTTGTGGTCACCATTTGCTAAATTAGCCGAGTTAAATTCGGACCGTCTAAAAAAGTCAATTGTCTATTTAGGCTTTTTTTTTTTCTTTAATTGCATCTTATACACGAATAGGCTCATAACTACAGGGATAAAGTGAGTACCCAGAACGAATGACATCTTCTGGACTTCTCCCCTTTGTTTCAGGCAGAATAACAATGGCCACCATCGTCAGTGCAAACAAACAGCCTCCAAACAAGTAAAACACTTGCCCTTGACCCATGATGTTTCTTAAAACCAAGAATCCGGCAGACACAGCAAAATTAGAAATCATGTTGGATGCAAGTCCTACAGAACATGCACTGGATACAGCTTGCGTTTCCACCAACTCTGGTATCATCAGAAACGGAATTGGCCCAAGTCCAATAGCAAACGCTGCAACAAATCCAAGAATGGCCAAGGCTGACATTTGATTATGTCCGCTCTCAATACTCCAGCCTAACAACATTCCCATCAAAGCCATAGTGCATGACGAGACCAGAAATAAAGAACGTCGTCCCACTTTATCCATTAAGCTTGCAGAAACCGTTGTCATGATCAGATTGACGACAGATATAAATACGGTGATCTTACCGGAGGATTCGGGAAACACAGATCCCATAATTGAGGTTGAGTAAAAGATGACAGCATTAATCCCTGATAATTGTTGTGCCAACTGCAGGAGTAACACAATCATTAACGGACGTCGATACTGAGAAGAAATCAGGAATTTCCAAATGTTTATATTTGTTGTTTGTGATACAATGGCTGTTGTTTCTTCTTCTCCAACCTGGTTGGACCAGTCTCTACGCCATTCATTAATCTCTTCATCCACTTCATCCACAGAGCTACCCCTTAATCGAAGCAAGGATTGACGCGCCCGATTAAATCCTCCTGGCAACGAAGCAAGATAACGCGGGGAATCCACACAAAATGGTAATAAACAGGATTGCATAACCGCCAACAAAACACCAACTCCTAGAATATATCGCCATCCTGTGAGTGTAGACCATGAAAGACTAATGACTTGAGCAGCCATAATACCTACCACAATCGCAAGCTGATTTAAAGCACCAAAGAACCCACGATGGGATTTAGGAACACATTCAGCTAAATAAGCAGGTACGACCACGGTAACAACACCACTTCCTAAACCAGATAAAAATCTACCCAGCATCATGGTATGTGGCGTTGCTGCCAATGTTGTGATGAGGGAGCCAATCGCTAACAATCCGTTCGTACCAAACAAGGTCAATCTTCTACCATATCGATCATTGAAATAAGACGCACTCAGCGCACCTATTAATCCTCCTGCTGTCAATATTGACACCACAAGTGCGTATTGCGAATCCGCCATGGGGATACAAACAGGTAAGCCTGCTATAACTACAGTCGAAGGGTTGCTACATTTCGAAATAACTTGCTGAGGGGTGTTTAGTTCGCCATTATGATAACCATACTGAAAAGCGCCCTATATATATTTTTTAAACATGGAGTCATTAGTCTGCTTATATAAAAAAGATAGTTTATTATATAAAAGAAAAATAAAGTACCAGCAGTATGGATATGACTACAAAGATTAGGTATGATGTAAGTCCTGTGTTGGACATTGGTTATACTAATGGTTCAATTGAAAAAATAAAATAAAATAAAAGAACGGGCTCGTGTGATTAAAAAAGGTATAAATAGGGGGAGGAGTCATTTGAGAAAGAAAGAGGGGTGATATTCTGTAAAAGGAAATTTATCTGTGTGTAGGTGTGTGTGTGTGCTTTTTTACCGTTTATTATAATGCCTTGAAGATACTTTTTTGTGTGATTGTTGATGATGATTTTCTAACTTGCTTTGACTAACAGCAATGGAGATAGCTACCATGGGGTCCCCCTTAGCTTCATCCAAAGCGTTTTGTAATAAAACCAAATCAATTTGTGGTAATACATTAATCATGTAATTTAACGCTGTACTTTGACTGGTAAATTCACCTTGACTATTGATCGTGGTAGTGCTGCCAAACGAACTTGGTGTACTGGAACTGGATCGAGGGGTACGAATAGGTGAGGATACATCTTTACCGTAGTTCGTACACAAGGGTGATAATGTCTTGTTCATGGCATCCACACTGGATTTCTTCTTTCGTGGTGTGGGAGAGGATGCTCGTTGATTCATAGTCGTTAGTCGAATTGCAGCAGGTGTTCGTATCTGTTGCAATTGATGATCATAGCGTGGTATCTGTGTAGATCGAGATAGACTTAATTTACTTAGTGATTTACCAAATAATCCACTGCCGCTGTGATAATTAGAAGGTGTATGAGGTGTATAATAATTGCTACTGGAAGCCAATAAAGACTTGTTGTCCATGCGTCGTGTACTTGATTGAGCCCCACCTGCTTTTTTGAGGAACATGGAGATAGAGCCACTAAAAGAGCCACTCATGCTACCAAAGGTATTCTCGGAGAGAGGCACTTCAGGCGATACAAAACGAGCAGGGGGAACATAGCCTTCCAACATGGGCTCTGGTTTTCCTTTTTCTCGGTTCGCTTTACACCAGGCAGGAATGGGTGATTCTGCCTTGAGACATAAATCCAATGTCTTTTCATAAAAGGCTACACGTTCATAGATATCGGGAATTCGCATCATTTCATCATAGGATCTTTCCACGTATTTTTGAGGTTGATGGAGCTTCCCTTGTTGTAATTGTTGCTTGTGCTGTAATTTTTTTTCGTTTTGGCGTCGGGCACTTTTGGCAGATCGTTGGGATTTCTTACTGGAGATAGAGGTGCGTCTGGAATGCGATTTTGAACTGCTACCGGTATTGGGAAGCTGATCATTCAAGAAGAAGGAGTCGCTGAATTTAGGTGTAGGAGAAGTATAGTTTTCGATGGGTGGTGGCATCACTTCTACCTGAATCTTTTCTTCATCCTCGGTCCTGAAGATGGTACGTGTTGGTAAAGTAGGTGATACTTTAATCTCTTTAAACTGAGTCAATAACGAAGAGAAATCATCGGATAAATTCAGCTTGTAAGAGAGAATTGAAAGAGGTGCTTCAACCAGTGTCTTTTCCTCTTCCTTTTCTTGTGGAATAACTTCCTCTTCCGCTGTCTTTTCTTCTACTATCGGTTCCTCTTCCGTCTTTTCCTGGATAAACGTGGGCTCCTCAGACTCCGTCTTTTCATCCGGTTTTTGTAAGATGGTGTGCCTTGTCAAAGGAGTTGCTAGTGCTTGTTCTGGTGAAACCATCGTAGGCGATCCTGCTGCATCCCAAAAATTGACATTTTAAATTCTCCGACATTTTTTACATTTCATGTGCTTCATATATTTACCATCAGCTGCAAAGTCATCAATGAACGACTGTAAATCACGAATCTGATCTAGGACATCTGTTTAAGTATATAAAAAATCCAAAAGAAAGAGAGAGTAGAGACAAGTAAGAAAGGGTAATTAAAGTTGTATACATATTTGAAAGGGCAATTGCTGTGTTTCTGCATAAAACTCGTACCTTTAGAAGCCATTTTTAGGGGCGTAGATTTGTTGAGGAAAAAAGAGGAAGAGAGAGAGAGAGAGAGAGACTAAATAAAATAGAAAATTGCTATTCAGTCCACCATAGTTTTTTTATTATATTTCAATCACTTAAAAATGTCCTCAACACCTTAAATTCCAATATAATTTAATGGCCCAACTCCCTCTCTCTCTCTCTTTCCTTTGCTTTCTTGCTTGCGAGCTCGCGCGCTTGTACTCCTAAACGTTGATCCGGGACTTTTTAAAAATCTACTCTGTTTTTGTTTGTATCATGTTTTTAACTAAGCCTATTAATTGTTTGTACAAACATTTAATGCGTGATTTCCTCAAATCTCTAACTATATTTTCAATTGAGAAGGGTTGTGGCAGATCATCATATTTAATAATAAAAAATTTAGAATCATTATAGAAATGTTGTATTTGTTCTTTTGTGGAACCCCAATGATTTAATGCAACGTGGCACGAAATAAGACATGTATAATATCTACACGTTACCATACACAAATCACTTATGAGGCGCAGTCTGTAATAAGAAACTTTGAGTCTGCTGATATAACCATAGTTAAATCCCAATAAGAAGCCTCCAACCCCCTTTTCTTATTATGCCACTCCATATATTAAATTAAGCAACATTTTTTTTTCTTCGCTTTCTTTGTCAACATTGACCACGCATGTAGCCTCGTCCTTGCTTTTTCATCCATCTCTCTATATAAAAGAGGATGTTTCCGTCGGCTAAAGATTTACCGAATATACGTCTTTTGTCCATTCATCCGTGGATTTGACCTTTTGGTTACAATTTATTGTATAACAAACATTGGCTTTAATAGCATGATACAAGGCTTGCTTACAAAGATTACAAGATGCCACAATGATATCAGCGGCGTTTTCTTTGGATCGAAGGGGGGGGGGGTAAAAAAGTAGAATAGATTCACTTGTAAATCTGTTATCTGTCCAACAATGTTTGATATTTAACACATCACATGTAATTTATCATTACATCGCAAACCCTTTTTTTTTCTTTTGGAACGGAGGCCTTATATCAGACTATGATCTTTCTAACGGATCAGTCATCAATGAAATTCGTTCATGGTGACGAATGATCGGTGGTCAGGGCAACAAAAATAAAAAAAATCCAGACAGTGAATATAAGGGGGACCCCAAGCTGCACCAGTCACTTCATAACAATGCCCTAGGAAATAGAACATTCCCAAGGAAACGGTATAGCCTCAAAGGGGAACTCTAATTCTATCTTTAGGCGTCATGACGTTTAAAGCCATTGATTGTAACAAAAAAAAAAAAAATAGATCCCGTTTATTTTCTTTTTCTTCTTCCTTTGCTGTGTTTATAATAGGATCGCGATTAAACTCTGTTTTTAGGAAAATGACTCTATCTGCACAAAATATAAAAGGTTTTTGTCAGACGCTGACTACGCAGAATTTTAAGAATCAGATAAAAAATTGATTACCGCCTACGCGCTAAAAACTCGAATCCATGTCTGAAGCAAAACAAAAAGGACGTTCCGAGGATTTGTATTATCGTCGTTCATTATAAAATGCTTATACATCATTTTAGTGACTTCATTGAGAAGCTTTGTCATCACTCCAGTGACATCTTGACTGGCCAAAAAGTTGAAGCCTAATTATGGTCATCGTACCATTCCTTTTTTTTTTGGCTTTGTTTCCGCCAAAAGACTTCGCCGCGATGTGCCACTTTTGCTGGAAAAAAAACACGATCTGCAAATAACTCATTTTCGTGCCTTTTCGGAGGTTTAAAAATAGTAAAAACAGTAATAATCCCCCCACCTGCCAAAAATATAACCATTTTACTCTCGCCTCAAAATTAATTTCAGTTGTTACTCATCAATTAGGACAATCAATTCGGATAATCCTTTTATTTTTTTTTTATTTTCATTTTTTTAGCCTAGAAAGATTTGCCTTGATTTAATATTTTTACCGTAGTATTCTTAGTTTCTTGATTTTTCCACCTGCGGCTAGACTTATAGACCTTGTCAAAATCCACTCCCGAATCTATCTCTGGTTAATTCATATGTGCTACTTAACCAATCTAAAAATAGCAATCTTTCTAAAAAAAAAATTGAGCTCGAGTAGTGATTTACATAGTAATTTTCATCATGATAGAAGACTATTCAGTTCAACCATTTTTTTTTTTCATTCTACATATTCCATTCTGTAAGCAAATAATCATTCATCCTTTATATTTTTCTTTTAAACTAGCTCTCAATTGTTTCGTTAATCAAGTTAATTCTGACTACGCTTTTTTTTTCTTTTTTTCTGTAGGCTGAGCTTTATGGGTTATTTTGATGCGTGTAACCTCCAGATATAGCCTAGTTGATCCCCAATTATAAGTTTATTACCCAAAAAAAGGTATTCTTGGGATCAAATTAGTTGACCACTTATTAAGTCGTCTTAAAACCATAATCCCATGAGATACGAGGGCTTTTTATTTATTATCGATCTTTTTTCTTCTTCTAAATACTCAACCCTCAAGGAACACACGGAAAGCTCAAAAATATTGTTGTGTTCTCTAAACATTAGTTCGCGTCAACAACTAATTGCAAATTTGAAATAACTTCAATTAAATTCAAGATAAATGAACTCTTAGACATTTTAATTCGGGACACAATCTAAAATAAACGAGTAACTATATCATCTGCACCTAATTACAAGCAATAAAGCGTCAGGACTTTCAATGAAACTCTATGTAAGTTTAAATAGCCAAATAAGTATAAACCCTATTTGTAAACTGCCAATCGAATACTTGTTATTGATTATATCCTGGATTATAGTATTAAAAATAATGACATATTAAGATGAATAACCAAACAATATATATATATATATGAATCACGTATTAGTACGCTTAATTTTTTTGGAGTCGTTGAAGACTTTAAATAATTTTGTATATCACTTTGTGACGAGTAATAATATTATAATGCTATGTCAAGGAATACATTCTGACATACCGCAAACATAGCTTTTAAATATTTCATGCATCTCGCTGTCGCTGTATTTACTCTTTCTTAATATCTGGTTTTTCTTGCTTAATGCACAGAGACAATGATTGAATGTTTAAAAAAAGTTAGGCTGTTGTATTAAGCTACCACCTATAGTAAGAAGGTCTTGCTTTGAACATTCGTGAGTGAGCATTCCCCTTATTCGATTTAAGCAGACGATAAATGAAAAGACTAATTTTTAATCGTGTTTTATTTTTAGGTGGGTCGTATACCTGGCATTGTTTCATCACTGCTTTAATAAAATATCCTATTGTGTTAGAAGACAGTGAGAGAGAGAGAAATTTTACAACCTTGTTAGGGTTGTTTCAATTGCATTTACAAGCTCTTTATTTTAAAAGAAAGATACCACCAAGTTTCTCAGTTTGCGCAGCAGATATGGTCTGTATATTCCATTCACAAGCAATGACCCCAAAGACCATCTCTCTTTCACACAAAATACAAGACATTTACATTAAGACACATATTAGAAAAGACAAAGTGGTTTTTATTATTAAAAAAAAATGGAGACTCGCTAGCCAGTTTCAATAAGAGAAAACTGCCCAAGTGCAACTGCGAGGAAGTCAGTCTCCGTGTGCACTCACCCACTTTTTATTAGTTTTGATGGCTCTCAAAAAGGGCTCCCGTGTATCACCACAAGGAGGTCAAAACACCATGTTCTCAATCTATGAACGTTCTACCCCTTGGGGTTTCATTTATTCATTGACCAATTCCGACTTACACGACGAGGGACCTATTTCTTCCAAACTCAGGAGTACACAACCGGCAAGTAGAATGTTACTTTCGAATCACCAAAAAGACAACTCCTACTCTTTAGCTAGGGCACCTGAAATATGTTCCAAACGGTAAAAAGTGAAGTTGAATTCACCTTGAGTAGCTTGTTAAATAATTTCCCCTAGACCGTTCTCTACATTAAACCGAGTGGGGAAGGTGACGTTACCCAGAAACTAATCATAATCGTCCAGTATCCCAGCAAAAAAAAAGCCACGAAACCTGGCATCTTGGGAATCATCCAAAAGCACCCAGTGAAGAAATGCCTAGACAACAATCACCCCAAATAGGCACACGATAACGAAATACCTTGACGAAGCAACTATCCTGGAGCGCAAGTGGTGCCGTGTGACTTCAAGTACAAACACCAAGGACTCACCCTCAATGAAGACTTTTGGCACGAAGAAGAAAGAAAGAAAGAAAGAAAGAAAAAAACGCCCAAAATTTTTTTTAATCACTTTGTAAACAAACAGTTTGACGTCACTTGTTTGTTCGTCTGTTAAGCATATAGTAGTAATCATGCATGTTGTCAAAAGAAAGAAGCACTTCATTTAAAAAACCAGCCTCTTTATGCGTTAATTTTTATACAAGTCTTTGTGGTCGGATTTTCATGTTGCAGTATCTCCTTTTTATGCACTTTGATTCGGGTGTTTGGTATTGTTTTGTCAGTCTTTGGATAAAACAAATGGTACTTATGCTTAAAAGTTCGAAGGTTTTTTTCTGGGTGCTTACGGAAAGAAGATTGATCCGATATGGATGCTTTAATTTACATAATTGGTCAGTATAATTACAGACTTCCACGACGGTATTAGATTTTGCTTGTTAATCGAAACTGTAACATCAATTAGACTATGCAATGTTAGGTATTAGCCCACCAATTTCATAAGCATCAAGATTACATAAATACCAATAAATATCAAAACAATAACATGATATAAGCATCGTGATTATAGAAATGCTAGTAATCATATAAATAATAACAGCATATGCAATGCTTTCGTTTTTATTATGCAAAAAAAAAAAAAAAAAAAAAATAAAAAAACAAGAGACTAGAACCATGATGCATTTACGAAAACTAAAATTCCACGGTTGGGATCAAACGCATCATCACCCATGAACTTGATAGCAAGCTCCATACTTTCATCGCTATTTATGACCACATTGTTGTGATGTACATCGTTTCCACGCGGATATGAATATTCGTTCCATTTATCACTGCCAGTTTCATGAACGATCCTTTGACTTAAGTCCTTGAATGTAGCATCCCGTCTTAAGCCAAACACATACTGTTTGTGAGTGAAGTTGTCAGGCAAATAGGTAATGCACCAATATACTGAAGTTTGGGTTGATTGTGATTCATCAGTAGGTCGTTCAATCTTCATTTTTTATGAATTTTTTGCGAGAGAAAAGAAAGGCTTAAAATAAAACTCGCCAGGGAGTATTGATAAACGAAAATGATCGATTGAAAAAAATAGCCCGTTCCATTTAAGTATAAGCGCTTTGATTTATATTACAAATATCTCTTATACAATTGTTTTTTATTGATTTATACATATTTTTATATTACTATATTTTTGTTTTTTTATTCCATATCCATATCCATGCTCTTAACAACTGTAGATTCTTCAACGGACTTGTCTAAACCACCTCTATATAATTCTGTATTCCACTTGGGGAAAATACGCTTGTAAAGACACATGGTGATTGTGTCTTGTTGTGTTAATGTTCCATCGAATATACATTTCATGTAACCATGAGTACCCAGCGATTCACTAATATGACCGACACGACCATATTTTGATGTAAGTTGAACGGGTTTAAACCAGTAAATATCTTCAACGTTGAAGAACATGAATCGGATAACAGCTGATCTCTTATGACATTTGAAGGGATGACCACTCAAAATAATACGCTTAGCGATAATACGCTTAACATCGACATCCATGAATGTACCTGAAGATACCAAAATAGGTTCTATCAAAAAGGGAATGTCAATACCGACTTCCTGTTACAATAGAACAATAATATCAAACTTACCATTCACATTGTCAGTTTCTTTATAGAACATAACGGGCATTTTTCCAAAGACAACAGGACCATAAACTGTTGCAACATAGGAGCGACCCAACTTTTGGAAACGTTCGAATTTGTGAACATGGTTGGTACCCTTATTTGTGTTTTGAGAATAAATGGGACGAACGTTATATCTTCTGAAACCCATATGCATAACCAAAGGATCCTATTTTTAAACTTTTGTTAAAAACAGCTCTACATAACGCTTATATTGTATTCTTACCTTTGATCGGACAGTTCCTTCATATGCGTTATCACGTTGCACTTGCAAGTTGATGAGGGACATCTTGTGTTCATATTGCAAGAGACCAAAAACAATGAAAGGTCTAGTTTTATCGTAAGCCTCTAAAAAAAATATACATTAATAACTTGTATCTTCTAAAACTTCTTGTAAATCAACTTACGGAAAGCTTGGATAGGAACATTGCTAATGTGAATAGTGATTCTTCTACCGGGTTTCACGGCACCTACAATAGCTTGGTTGATAACACGCATCTTGGTACGACCAAAGTTCTCGAAACGGAAGATTCTTCCGTAATCGATAGGAAGGTTCTCATAAGGATCCCAAGGAGAAGTTCTGAAGGATTGAAGACCACGATAGCGAGCAAAACGTTCTCTTGCGGTAATATGCATAGGTGTATCAATCTCGTCGGGGAAATCGTTATGGTTTTCGAATTCGCTCTGTCGGTTTTTGAGGTATTCTTCATACTGTCTAGCTTCTTCCTCGGCATCGAATTCATCCTTGTAGCCATCTTTACCCTCCATCTCAATTTCCTCATAATCATCCTCATCTTCTTCAGGATAAGCAGGCTTGACGACATCATCATCATCCTCATCGTCCATCATCTTATCCTCCTCCTCTTCTTCTTCTTCACTATAATCAGCATCTTCTTCATCGACAATCCAAGCAGCTTGATAAGATGAGGTACCCTTGGGGACACGTTTCTTAATTTGATCATCACCATCCAAGTTACGCATACGACGCACACGAGCATCGGCTTGAGCTAATTCTTCCTCAGTGGGCCAGGTTTGCTCATTTTCCATCAAATCAGGTACATTTTCAGAGATTAAATCATCCTGTTCTTCAGGCTTGGGGGTATCAATGACATTGGCATCCTCGTCCATATCACCATGAGATATATCAGCGCTGGTGATCTTCTCGACTTGGAAATCACCAAAGTTTTGGAGATGTACAAGACGGTTAGCGTTGAAAGGGTTACCACGAGCAAACCCGGTGACTTTGAGTGTTCCAAGTTCGGCAGAAGTAGCATCAAATTCAACATTTTCAGCAAGCATATAAGGATGATTATCTCTCCAAGACATAGGCTTAGGACGTTGAGAGGTAATATAACGCAAGACACTGATACAGTCATTATCATTATCTAAAGTAAACAAGTGCTCCTGTTCAGGCACGAATTGTTGGACAAAAGACAATAGAGATTTTCTCAAACTGGTGCGAAGTTTGACAGGTGTGTTTTCGATGTTTTGAATGACAGGTACGACATTGACAAGACCTTGGTTTAAGACACCCAAGAGACAGTTGATGCCAAATTGATCGACTTCGACATCGGCAGACATCAATAAAATACCAAAATCGGCAACCTTAAAGGCATCGAGACAGTCAATGAAGTTACGCTTGAGAGGAACCAATTGAACCTTTTGCTTGAAGCGTTCTACGTTTAAAATAGTTGATTCTTCTGTAGCATGAGGAGGCATGGCTTCACTCAAAGAAGCATAAAGAGCTTCGATGGCAGCACCCACTTGGCTGTCAGGACATAAAGGTAAAACAGGCACGATCTTGGGTGCACCTTGACGTCCTTCAAATAATCTACTGATACGAGTGATGTCTTCACGCTTCTTTTGTTGTAAAATCTTGGCGGCATGACGACGATCGGTCTTGGACACAGGCTTGAGAGCGTTGGCCTGTTTGACAGAAGTACGGTTGATTTTACCTTTGGAAACTTCTCTCAAAGCACCTTTGGAAGCATGACGACTTTTGAAGGGCTTGTTAGACTGATGGGAATTACCAGCTCTATGACGATGTTCCATATTGACTGAAGAATATAAAATAACTGTATTCAAAAGAGGCTTTCCTTATTTTCATGTTAAAAACTTTTTCTTTCCCGGCCGCCGTAGAGCAGTCACTTTTTTTTTCTTTCGAAAATGTCAAAATAGAAAAAAAAAAGTCGAGGAAAAACTTCCTTAATCTAGAAGCATCATGAGTATAAAAAGCATCACCCCTCTGTTTGATTTAAAAGGCCATGAAGCCTCTGTTCTTGCTGTCGAATATGCCAAAACGTCTCTTTTGGGCGAACATATTTTAGCTTCGGGCTCTGGTAAAAAAAACAAGGCTGTAGTCTATTTAAAGGGCATTTTTGTTTAAACGGTTTTCTGTAGAGGATAATACCTGTCGATTGTGGGACATTCGTTCCCAACAAGCCGTGAGAAAAATCAGCTTGAGCGAACCTGTAAAGTAGCATATTCAAACTGCTGTCTACATATCTGACGTTTTTTTTATTTTTATGCATGAAAAAGGTTACAAGCATAAAGTTTGGTAAAAAATCCGGATCTTCGTCATTATATTTGTCTTCAGGCACAAAAGTACGAAAAAAAAAAAAAAAAGCATATATGGAGATATACTTATTATGTACTGCAGGTTCACACTTTTGATTTGAGATCAGAAGGAGCTAGTTTCGCCCAACCAATCCAAACATATGAATTCAGTAATGATGAAATTAACAGTGTAATTTATATATATATATATGCATAACTTGACGCAGCATATTAAATATTACTTCACAGATCGACGTGAATGAAAACAACAAATATTTAGCAACTGCTGATGATGATGGCGTTGTGAATGTCAGTAAAGTATACGCTATTTTTATATGTTTTTAATTAGAAACAAATGGTTGACCGTTTTACTAGTTGATCTTGGTAGTCATAAAATTCATAAGAAGTCCTCAAAGAAGCACAATAATGTAAGTCCATTGCGTTTCTATAAATAAATAAAAAACTAATCTTTGGCTCATACTGCCCAGATCTGTATGTCTGTAAGCTTTCGCGCAAAGAAGTCTTGGGAAGGTAAAAGCAGCAAACCATTAAAGAGGAAAAGTAACTCATAAAGTATTAGTATGGTCCGGGGGAATGGATAGTAAATTATATGAATGGGATTTCTCTCGTGGGTTACCTACCAACATATACGATATGAGTAAGTTACAGTGTAAATAATTCCTGTTTTGGCTATTTATCATAAGCTATAGATTCAAAGGAGCCCACAACCGCACAAATGTTCAATCCTCCTTTTGTTTATAAAGTGGCTACATCACCTGATGGTGAATGGATTGCCGCTAGTCTCGGAGATTCCACTATACAATTATTATCACCTCCAAACAAGAAGCAAAAAAGATTTGAATTGAAGGAAATTAGACTTTCTGATGGTCATAATTCAATGGTCAACTGTTTGTAGGTTTTACACTATATTATTACTATTCTTTTTGACGATTTTTTTGTTGTAGGTCCTTTTTGACAGGCACTAAAAATGAACTAAATCTTATCTCTGGCGCTGCTAATGGTAGAGTAGCCATTTGGAACCCTAGCTCCAAGACACCTATCCAACAAATGTATAAATTGGATGATGCGATTGGTAAGGTCAATGATTTGGAAGCATATATTTTTGGTGATCACGTCCAAATTGCAGTTGCTGGTACAGGTGAATCCGGTGATTTGGGTGCATTAAAAGTTTACCATTTACAATAAACACACTATAAATACGCTCCGGTCTTTGATATACTGAATAAGATTTGCTTTTTTTTAGAAAGCCAATAAGCAATATTGATCTTGATCCTACTATCTTTTATCTCATTTTCTGTGTCAAACACTCATTTAAACTGTCTTCGTATGAACCAAACAGCAATTTGTAGCTGCTGTTGCTGAGACATAGTTGATTTCAGGTCTCAAATACTATACGTGATTATTAGCATAGCATCCCGACGTTAACCAGCTCTTCTATAAGAAGCATTCGCACACTTTTTCTATACGTTCATTCTTTATGAAGGAAAATAATCTTGGAAAGGTTAATTTATAATTACGCCATTTTGACCAAAGTGCAAGCATATTTTATTGCATCTGTTTTCCTTTTTTTATAATCCTATTTTTCTGCATCATCTGTGGGTCTCTTTATTAATGAAAGATAAGCAAATTCGTCGCAGTTGTTTCTCAATATAAAATATACTCGCTGTTGTGCTAGGTATTTGTTATCTGCTTTTTGGTTTGATATTTCAAAGTAGCCAATTATAAAATGTATGCTATGGATATGGGTAGTACATTCTGTTATCTAGTCAATTCACTGACCTGAAAATTTTGTAAATTTTGGCAATAAGCCTTCGAATTATTAAAAACAAGCTCTCATTGTCTTTATCCTCTTGGTTGTGATATATCTTGGGTTAAGCTGTAAACAAGTACGTCGCTACTAGATACGGAAATACTCTATTTTAAATGGAAAATCGATATTCTAGCCAGAAAAAATTGGGCAGGTCCCATCGGCACAAGCCTTACCGACACCAAGATTCCGATGCATGTAAATATGAACTGTAGTAACTTCACTGTTAAATGGTATCTGTCTAAAAGCTGCTGTTGCTGTGTGACCGGTCACAAAGGCGTGACTTGTATTTTTTATCTGAGCCTTTTTTTTTTTTTTTTTTTTTTTGTTGTAGGGAAAATAAACAAAAACGATTGCACTACTTCCTTTTTTAAAACTCGTTTTACAATACACATAATATGATTATTCCAGTTCGTTGTTTCTCTTGCGGTAAAATTATCGGTAACAAGTGGGATAACTACTTATCCTTATTGCAAGCCGAGTATACTGAAGGGTAAAAATAAAATTAGAAAGAAGAGCTTTATGCTTTGACAATAGAGTCAAATTTTTTTAACATTATATATTAGTGAGGCATTAGACGCTCTTGGACTCAAGCGTTATTGTTGTAGACGTATGGTTTTAACCCATGTCGATTTGATTGAGAAACTCTTGCATTATAATCGTAAGTGGGACATTTTAGTTTTTTTTTCGAGAATGAAGGTGTTAATTTGTTTTCTTGTCTTTAGCTTTGGAACGTTCAAGAGATCGCGGACGTGCTTAAGAATGTTGAAATAAAAAAAAATGTATATGACCCTTATTTCACCCAATTATTCAACCAATTTCAACATGACGACCCTTGTTCTCCTTATTATATTACACATCACGCACTTTCTGTCGCATTCTCTCTAGACACCTTTTTTCCATTGTTTTTTTTTCTTTGTACACAGTAAAATAAAACCAGTGTTTCCATTAATAACAGTGTTTTTTTTGAAATGTGTAGTGACTGTCCCCATTCTCCTCACGCTTTTAACATATAAAAAAAAGTCGGGTTAGGATTTTCGTGAATTTTTTGACCTGGTTTTTTCTTCTCTTAATCTTTCCTAAATGCTTACAGAATTAGAACGATATGAACCATTTGGAAAGAAATGCATGGAAGCAAAAGCGCACTTTACGCATGATACCCAAAATGAGTCCATAATGGACTTTTCAAAGATCACCTTTAGTTCGTCTCAAGTGACAAGCGCCGCACCTCCACCTACATTTCACAAGTTATTCAGCATTTCGGACACTTCGACCATTAACATGGGCACAGGCTTTAACGAACGTAAAATCAACCACACAGGAAAACTAGAAAACTTAGCATTGGACCTAGAACAAGAAATATACGTTCAAGGTTCGACAGTTGTTTGGAGTCGTGCAGGATATATATTAAAGACATTTGATTATAGCAAAGAGAAACAATTAATACAACAAGTTTTATTTGCTTGGTTCCCATTTCATTCAGCTTCGGACCCTACAAGTAAACCCGCAGCAGACATCAATGCTCACGATATGGAAGGCGAGGACCGCATTGTAGATGATTATTGGCAGAAAAAAGGTCCGCAATCCATCATCAATTACAATTCAGTTGGTGCAATTATTCAAGATACTATACCCTTTGTGGAAGGAAATAAAGTGCAGCGTAGAACATTATGTATCGTATTCCAAAATAATATCAGGATTCATTGCGAAGATGGTATGAGCTTTACATCCCAAATACCCTTTGAAATAGGTGATGTCGTGCCATTGGATGTCGGTTTATTGGTGAGCCGTAAACATGAGCCAAAAATCAAGAGCAGAAATAGAAAACCCCTTCAAACAGGAGCAGCCTCTTTCTTTGTTACTGTTACACATCCATTAAGGGGTGCCTGTCCTGTCAAGACAAAGGAAGTCAGTCATACTGGTATCAACACTCTACCAGAGCAATTCACCAGCCCTCAGAAATTATTGTTTGCAACTACAAAATCCTCAGAAACGGGCAGGTTACCTGTTATTGTCACATTAAATATCAAGGAAAACAAACATTACATCTGGACTTATGATCGTCGAAAAGAAAAGAATCAATTACCAAAGACAGCTCAAACACCAACAACCAAGAAAAGAAAGGCTTCACAAGCTTACGTCAGCAAAAAATTGCCTGGTACACTCAATAGAAAGAAATCCAAACTAAATGCTGCAGATTCTCCACGCGCGCAATTCCACGAAGATTACATTTCTGATGACGAAATGTTGCATGAAAATGAAGCAGAGCGAGATCTTTGGCATGAATTATTAGACAATAGCGAAATCACACTTCGATTATTATGGAGAGAATCTCACGGCACAAAGTAATTTAGCATTCATCACATTGTTCAAATATACTTATCATAATACACTTGTAGAATGCCAGCAAAATTAAAAGGAGTCAAAGATGTTAAATCACAATCGTTTTTAATTCACGACCTTAACGGTCAAGAATTAATCTGTATTTTAAACAACACACTTGGTAGCCTTCAAGTAATTAATCTCAGTAAAGCAACACAGTTATTAAACGATTGCATCGAGTTTAAGACCCCCGCCAAGTTAGCTATACCTATCAATGCAACCCGAGATAGCTACAACGATTTGTTATTTGTAGACGCAAATGGATCGCTTGAGATTTACGTGGATAAGGGGGCTCGACTCTCCTTGACACAGCCAAAGCAAGGAAACTTGGTTAATCTGATTGATCCTGTCTATGATCGATTTACGGCCATCTACGAAAATGGGCAAATGTTTCGTTATAGGTTGCAACTCCGACCCAAAACTTCCTTGGTACGTGATTGTCTTGCTGCTATCAGTTGTGCCACATCCTTCTATTTCCCTAAAATATGGTGTAGATACCTCAAGATAGCTCATATCACCCCATTGGTGAATGACAGTGATCGTATTCATGCGGATGAATGGCAAGTTTTCTTTGTGACTCTCTTGTCCTTTCTCTTATTGAAGAAGCAAGGCTATTACACCGGCACAAAAAAACCCGCGTCTTCACAGGCAGCAATCAGGGATATAAAGTTACAGCAAATTAAGGCCTCCAATATCGAATACATGACACAAAAATTGGGATTTATGGCGATTACACCTGAGTTGAATTACGATTATCTTTTAGACGAGAATTATTATCAAGGTGTTCCTGCACCATGGATTGATCGAGTTATCACGTTTCGACCAAAAGATCATATGGAGGAAGAAGTATATTTGGATTCGTTTGAATTTACAGAAATTGTCAAGAGCTTGCATATTATTTATGAAGATTACCGCATCAATAAATCTATGAAAATGCAAGCAAATTTACTTGGCTACCTATTATTACAATCTACCGTCATTTTAAAGAATAAGGACTGGATTGAATACTACAAAAGCCAAGGGTTAAACCCTTTATTCACTGTAAATTGTAAGTGAAAAAAAAAAGATCATAAGAAATGGTATTCATAAAAGACCCCCTCTTTTTTTTCTCTTAGTAACACTTGTGGGTGATGAACCAAGAGAGATCCTTATTGAACCACCGAATATTCAAATATGCTTAAGACAAATGACACCGAATACCTCTTCAAACCCGACTCTATTAAGTTCATTCGGTGTGAATACCTTAGAACCCGCCACAGGTCATTGTCATCACAACTACGCTCGTACTGTCAAAAATCTTTGGTCTCTCTATGGTGCCATCAATACTGGTGAAAAGACTATATTGTTAGACCGCATGGTTGCTGAACGTATTACAAGAAACGACATAGAGATATTGATTGATACAGTCTCGTTTCCGATTTTGGAAGCCCTGGATTATTTAAAAGAAAATCCAATGATCAATTGGTCTAAAGAATCGTATACGGTGATAGGAAGAAATGACATGTATAAGCAACTCAAATTAAAGCCTACTGTGTGTGATCCCAATACGGATATATTTAAGCTCCCATTTCAAAAAGTAATTCACGACACATTTGATAGCTCTTAATATCTATTTTTTTTATAGTAAACTAATCCCATACCTTTACAATAGGAATCTGACCATTCACAATCTGTCAATGATTTGATCGAAGGCCGCTCCGCCGCTCCTGTCATTACATGTCCTTACAAGACGGATATATTAAATATGGAAACCGAACGTTTACGATTTGGATTTGGAGGCGTGATAGAAAAAGTCCGCAACATGCTAGACGGGTCACGCATTCCAGATATTGAAGTAGAAGTTCTACCTGATACATCGTAAAGTAGTAGTAAAAATTTAATATGAGACATGTGTATACTGACCCTAATTGTTCATATAAAAACATAGAGATGACGATATTACGAGAGAACATCAAGCTCATGTTATCTTGGCGGTGAAACGTACATTATCTGTGGGAATAGGTCGTGCTATCTTTGCTTACGGAACTTATGTGCCTGATCTAACGCGTGTACCACCTATCGAACCTCTTGTGTTGTCAGGCAAGATACTCCCATTGCGCAAGATCGTCAACCTAGACGAGCAATTCTATGGCCCAGATTTCTTGCACTGGCCCGAATTTCATAACGGTGTTGCTGCAGGACTCCGCATATCGCCCAGTAATAACATAAATGATTCGTGGATCGCATTTTGTTATCCTACGGAGCTAGGTCCTGAACATGGTGGACTTTTGCTTGCGCTAGGTCTGAACGGTACTCTGAAAAAATTATCTGTGGTAGATTGGTATCAGTTTATCTCACAGCCCTGTGATCTGGTTTCAGTCGGGTTTCTCTTGGGAACAGCAGCTGCATTTCGTGGTACGATGGACGTGAAAGCTGCCAAACTAATATCTGTGCATGTTCCTGAACTTTTACCGGCAGGATCTAATAGTTTTGCACAACCTATTTCTGTACAAGCTGCTAGTATATTGGGTATTGGACTTCTTTATATGAACTCTTCCAGCCGTGTCATGACCATGACCATGTTTAATGAAATTGGAAAAAATGCTTCTACCTCTAATCCAATCTTGAAACCCGGCGCCGAAGTCTTTGCTCTGTCTGCGGGATTTTCGTTGGGTTTAATTACGTTGGGTGCTGGAGATGATATCTTGCGTTTGGATCCTCAAATGTGTAACAAATTGAACCATCTGATTACGGGTAGATCTGTCATATTTACCGAGGATGGCTTGGAAGAGAAAGTAGATCAAAATATTGCTACAGATGTCACTTCAGCAGGTGCGACCATTGCTCTCGCTCTTATGTATTTGAAAACGGAGAATGTACGCGTCGCACAAAGTATCGATATGCTGAAGACAAGGCCTTACCTTAATTACGTCCAGCCTCACTATTTGTTACTTCGTGTGGTTGCTAAAAGTTTAATTATGTGGAGCACCATTTTACCTACAGAAGAGTGGATCGAAAGTCAAGTACCAGAGTTTATTGTAGAAGATATGGACAACCCGGATCTCCCTCCTACAGACCTTGAGGTGACAAAGCAAGCCATGTACAATATCATTGGAGGAGCATGTCTTTCCATTGGGTTGCGATATGCAGGTTCGAAGAATGAGGATGCTCTCCAGTGCTTAACTGTTTACCTGGATAAATTCGGCAGGATGTTGGGCGTTCCCGAATATAATCCACAGCAGAAGATTACTAGAGTAGCTATCCGAACATGCTTGGGTGTAGTTTGTACAGCTGCAGCGATGGTAATGGCCGGTACGGGTAACCTCGAATTATTGACACGGCTCGAACTTTTAAATGATCGCCTTGCACCAGATATGGACTATGGTAATCATATGGCAGTAGGCATGTCACTGGGTATGCTGTTTGTGGGTTTAGGAGGATACACATTAACAACAAGTAATGAGGCCATTGCAGGGCTATTGTGCGCGTTTTACCCTTTCTATCCTATGAATTCGGAGGATAACCAAGATCATTTACAAGCGTTTAGACATTTATGGGTATTAGCGGTTGACTCGCGATGGTTGATGCCGTTTGATGTTGATAGTAAAAAGCCTTGTCGGGTGCCGATGCGTCTTGAGATATATGAAGATAATGGCAAATCGCTATTACAAAGAAAAGTGCGTCATATGAGGATTGAAGCTCCTTCGGTCGTGCCTGATTATAAGTTAATTAAATCCATTCATTTGGATGGTGACAGGTATTGGCCACTATTCATCAACATGGGGTCGGGCGAATATCAAGAATCAATCATCAAGTCCGGCCTAATGTATGTGAAAAAGAAAAAAGGAAAAAAGAGTTACGAAGAGGTAAAGTTAAAAAGAAAAAATTTGGACAAAGTGCTTAACACTTTTTTTTTATAGGATCCATTTGGAAAAAGAAGTCTAACTTGGTAAATCTTTCAATAACAATAATAATAATTACTGCAAAATAAATCATGCAGCAATTTTGTTCGTTTTTATGTATAAATATTCTTTTTGTATTTCTTACTAAATCTACTTGGGAGGGCTAAGTTGAGAAAAAAAAATTGTGTTAATGCGACAGATCATAAAGTATACAAGAATAAAAATAAGGTCTTACTTGTAAACGATCTTTCTAGTCTTAATAGGAGCCCACTTGAATCTCTTCATGTAGATGGACAAAATAGTCAAACCAACTAAAATAACAGTGGCCTTCATACCCATCTTCTTACGGTCATCATGCTCAGGCTCGGAAGTCCAGGCAAGGAAAGTAGAGACATCCTTTGCCATTTGAGAAGTGGTAGCGGGAGTACCATCCTCATATTCAACGACACCGTCAAAGAGAGTACGGGCCATAGCAATGGCACCACCAGGGAAGTAAGGGTTATAGTTCAAACCTTCACGAACTTCAACACCTCCGGGAGCATCAACATAACCTGTAAGAAGAGCAAAAACGTAATCCTATTACAGAGTTTTAGTTCTATCTATTCTACACACACTGCAATACATAATCATTTACCTCACCGCCATGACGAGCCTTACAGATCAAGGAAAGATCTGGGGGAAGAGCACCACCGTTAGCAGCACGAGCAGCTTCATCATTAGGATAGGCCTTGGGCATATAATCGGCGGTCTATACAAAACATGTCAGATTCATTTCCCTTTCTTTTATCTTGCTATCTCTCTGTCTATCTTTGAAGTTTCCTCTTTACCTTGCCTGGTCTCATAAACATCTCACCTTGCTCATCAGGTCCATCTTGATATTCGAATTCTTCAGCCATAGCCTTGACTTCGTCCTCGGAGTGAGAGACACCAATCAAGTTTCTCCAGGCAATACGGTCAAGAGAATGACAGGCTGAACAAACTTCTCTGTAAACTTGGTAACCACGACGAATACTGTCAATTATAAATATTAGCATGCATATATTTTTCTGTATTTAGATTTTACGTACGAAGCGTGATCAAAAGTGTCGAGAGGACCGGTATGAGGCCAAGGATGGGTGGGAGGGTGAAGACCCTCGTCAGCCATATTGGCAGAGGCATCAACATACATGTAAGTCAAAGCAGTGGCGCCAATAATACCAGCAGTTACACCAGTAATTTGCTTGGAGTTCTATTAGAATAACAATTTAGTACATGAATGAATCAAATATAAACGAAATGAATTTACAGCAGCAACAGTAGGCTTGGTGGAGGCAAAACGAGTCTATTTTTTTTTTATTTATTTTTTTTATTTTGGAAAAGAAAAATATCGAAAGTTTAGTATTCCATAATTGGTGTTCCATTAAATTTATTTGATTTCTTTACCTGCATGGAGAGCTGTTTGACGGAACGTCTAGCAGTTTGAGAAGCAATTCTAGAGAACATGACTTCCAATTATAGAGAAACAAAAAAAAAAGAGTAGGGAGGGAGGGTGTTAACTGACAAAAAGCAAAAAAAAAAAAGAGAAACAAAAAATTGAACAAAAAACACAACAATGGGTTTACTTGCGGGGTCTTAAAACAAGCTTTCATCTGGCCCAGTTAATCCCCAGGGTGGAGCATCGGCCGTTGGTATAAACGTCACGTTTAAAAACCCTTTATGGCGGAGAGTCAAATTATCAAAAAAGCTTAGGCCCAGGCACCGCTTTGTAATTTCACTCACAATGACCTATTTAAAAGTACCAACAGCGTGTTTTTCCTTTCATTTACACGCAAAATTCAATTTTTGAGTAAAATATTTGTCAAGTTAATTCCATAACTGTAAATATGTTATGTGGCTGTCTATGTCTGTCGTATTCAATAATATACTCAATTCAAGATATCCGAGTTTAAGGTTTGCCAATATACTGTTATTCATACATATTGGATAAAACAATTAAAAACACACTTTATGCATCCAACCATTTAAAAAAAACCGCAGATATGTTGTCTAAATACACAAATAGAAAATAGTATGATACATTTTTTTGTTTAAGGCAATCTAATGGTTCTGATAGGATCCAGTCTAAATTTAAGATCCTTCAAACGAGCACTAACAGGATTCCATTCATCAAATAATTCTAATAGCTTGCGTAAATCATTTTTCAATCCTTCATCCGCTAGAATGCACTTATCGGAACATATTCCATGCATCGCCCATGGTAAGTAGAATGGATTTTGCTGTAATTTTGCAACAAATGGATCCATTCTTGCAAGAATATGTGGGGCTGCCGCTGTTAGTTTTTCATTTTGAGGATCCAGATTGGCACGCATGTATTTTCCAAACGGAGCTGTTTCAAATGTATAGCGTACAGCTGTCATATACACTTGTAGTTCTTCATAGATGGTCGAGTGTCCACCTTCCAGCGCATATAAACTCCCCGCTAACACCTCACTAAGATGGGTCAATAGGTCATAATCTTGTAGTCCAGCGTTACGTAGTCGTAACGCAAACACAATGAGATTGATCAGAAAATCATCCTGTGAATATATGTGACCGTCAATATAGATAGATCTGAGGATATTGGGGTGGTTCACAGATGACATAATTGCAGAATATAATGGAACCACTTGATCTTGCATTGAACCTGTCAGCACTACCTTGATACCGCATTTAAGTACATAGCCAAGCGAATGACGGAACTTGAGGGATATGGAACTATTGGAATCCATAAACTCGAACAATTCACGTGCGGCATCTGCCTCAAAATACTGGATGATGCTTTTTTTAGTTAAATCTACTTACACTGAAAAAGATTGATAACAGTTACCTTTACGATAAGACTACCTTTTAAAGCGGGAAATGGACCATGGGAAATTCCTGCCATTGCTAATAAACAAACGGATTGTCTGATAATATGTACATGACCTCTTTCGAGGAGCCTTTGCAGTAGCATGATGGAGACGGGTGTGCCTTGAGAATGTGTTGCCCATAAAATAACATCTGCCGATGATACTGCTTCGAGCCAAGTCGAGTTCTCTACTAATTTGGTGTAGAGTTGGTTGACTCTGTCCTCTACTTTTCCTTCGCCCTCCAAAGGCACCATAGTAATAGCATTGGGAGGTAATGTGACACCATGCTCTGTTTGGAAATAAAGTTTTACACCCGAAGCCATTTGCTCACAGAATTTTGATGATGTACCGGTTGGTTCTCCAATCATACTACGCACGAGCTAAAGGAAGGGATAAGAAATTTGATGAATTTTAACTTATTTTTTTTTTGTTACCTTCATAGGGAACCAACCATGTACACCCACCACTACAATTCTTTTGTCTACAATAGTCTTGGGATCTGAGGATTTCATATCATCGACAAAACTAGAAAATTTGGCTCTCATTCGTTTTGCTAACCAACTAGAGTTATCTTCGGGTTGATCAGGCGGTGCTTGGATCAAGATTGCATTAATAGCGTCAATTGCTTTGGTAATGATATTACTTGTAGTAGTAGGTGGCACAACGTCGGATAGTTCGGTTTGAATAAATTGTGAGTCAAATGGTGGCAACACCTCATTTTTTTTTCTGGGGCGTAATGATGCATTCGATGCCGATTGTCTTAGCGTTGGTTTTACACCATCTGGATTTACAGTAGTAGTGATAGGTAGAGATGCTGTTCGTTCTACTTTCGGTATCGGTTTATCACTCATTACTGGCAGCGGTTTCGCAGGTTGAATAACGTTTTTCTTGGCTGGGAATAAGAATGAAGTCCAAGAAGACTCTCCAGATGTTTCAACCGTTGTTGAAACTTGGGTCTTCTGTTCCACAGTTTTTTGCGGCGGTTCTTCAGACGGTAATGATGTGGTTGTGGTTGTAGTTGTGGTTGTCGTAGTTGTAGTGACAGTTGTCCTTGGTGTTAATACTGGCGGTGATTCCTCCAGATCATTATCTGCACCCCTCACTGCTAAGATCTTGTTTTGGTCAGTGTTTGAGTAAGATGAAATTCCAAGCCAAGCCAAAAAACCCCCTTTATTCTCTTGTTGTGTGATAGCTTTATTTTCGCACGTGGACAATGTAGGAGATAGTTCTTTCGCTATAGCAGTTTCGTCTCTCTGTTTGTTCAGGGTCTCAAAGTAATCATCATCCATATTCATGGATGTATTCCTCGTGTTTATTTCATCTTCATAATCGTCTTCTTCTTCCATGTCAGAACCACCCGCAGGTGACGGTGTATCAATTCTCCTAGCTAAACTTTGAATAGCCGCTGATTGAATCATATTATCTTCCTCTTCTTTACAATCAAAAACTACATTTCCATTTGCTGACACACTGGTTGGGAATGCAGCTGCTGAAGCCTTGGGTGAATGAGCTAATCTTAGTAAAAATGAATTTGAAGAGTTGCTTGCGATAGAGGAAGGTGGACGCTGCTTTTTTTGAATGGCCATGCTTCTTGGTAAACTGGAATGCGGAGTCATGATGCCTTCTGTTTTCTGCATAAACGGAATCGGTCTTGGTTTACTGGGCCCATTAAGGGACGACATGGAAGTCTTTTTGGCTAATTCGATTGCGAGAGATTTAGAAGCGGACCGTAAGGGCTCATTGGACGTCATGGCCTCAGGTTCATCACACATGGTGGCCTCGTAACTGTTTAGGTTGACATCGTCAATAATTACGCTCACCGACGTTGATTTTACGCTGGGAGCCACTTTGGATGTGATGATGGATTTTTCTCCATGATTTTTTTGAATTTTTCGCTGTCCTTTGGGATCACTTGTATTGACTACAAACCAACTAAACATGAAGAAAAAAAATGGTTAAAACAAACAAAATAAAATAAAATAAATAAAAAGGGCATATCCTATCTATTTATTAAGGGATGATTGTCCATGTGATCTGATCAACTTTTACCCCAAAAGTGATCCTATTCATGACCGGGTGAGTTTGCCCTGTTTATACCCATTGTCCTGCTCTATTTTCTTACGTGACTATACAGCTCATTCTTTTGTTCGTCATCATTGTCGGTTCCTGGTTTTTGTGTAATGTCGTGATTTAGAACTTGATTGTGCTACAAATTATGCACAATAAAAGTGGTTTATTGGTTGTTCTTTAATATAAAAGGGGAGTTGTTTCGATAAATTGATAAAATGAATAAAACAAGCAGGTACCACCCCACAAGACATTATTTAAACGGAAGCTGTCACTGGGGGTACTAAAAAAGTGACCCGTGCAAATCCTAAAGAGGTGGATAGATCTAGTGAGCCAATCATTAGACACTTGCTTTTGGTGGGCCAAAGAGTCATACGTGGCTACTCCCTTGACTACCATAAAGGATACGCATTAAATATAAGGGGAGATGCAGTACGTCCGAACGTACTTGTAATTAATGAATACGTTAAAAATAGTTTACGGTTGCATAAGGGGACATTCATGCACCGCAGCTTTGTTTCTGTTGGTGAAAATCTCCGTTGGGCGTCTAGAAAGTTAAACTTCAATCCCACAACCATTCCTCTAAAAAAAAAACCACGGAACATCTGATAATAGTTGGACACATAATGTATTGATGATCTTCACCGCAAACGACGTATCCTCATTTGTATTTCACATGATAGACACATTTAAGTGACAGGATTCTGCTTTATAATTTTATGGACTGAACATTACACACTGTTGTAGTCGCCATATGTAGTATTTTCATTCTTTAACTGCATGGAGCATTTGCCATCACTTTCCCCAAAAACGTCAACATTTAAAGTTTTAGATAATTAAAATGTGTTTGGCATAACTCTATTAGCAGATGCTGTGCAATATTTTGTTTGATGCACGAGCGACTATAGTTGTATCAAATTTAACTTTAAAAACACTAGTGATGCATCGGTGTTGTCGTGAAGTACATACAGAACTTTCAGCTTGTAAAGATGTTTTGGATTCATTCAAGTTCAGGGCTTATTACTTACGGAATCTATTTTTTTCTCAAGTAGTGATTAAATACGTGTACCTAAACTCCTACATGATAAATATGTCAAGTTTAGTTAAAGTTACTCCCATAATCTCTTAGATTATTTACCCAGTTTCTTTCAGCATGTTAGAAGTTCTATTTGTATATGTTAATTTTTATTGCAAATTCAGGGTTTATAATTAAATACATGCGAATCACCCTCACCTGTTGAAACCAGTAACAGTGTCCAGTCAATAGCAATCTGCATTTACTTCTAAATGACAAAACATTTAAGACACCATTGATATTACACCGAAAATAGTATTTCGGGTCACTAATTTTATCGACTGCAAAAATACAAAAATGAAGGACATTTTAAAAATGGACGGAAGTAGCGGTAAAAAAAAATTATTGCTGCCTATAAATAGGATATTCTATACTTGCTTGTGCTATAATGCAATAGTTGACTGTGATTCGTCTCTCATGAAATATAATGGACACGTGAGAAGATTCAGGCATACTTGCTTACCCTTGTCAATCTTATCAGATTACTACTCAGCTGCAGTAGATACATATTTAACTTCAAAATTAATATTATCTCATGAGAGGTCACCAACTAATTTTTTGGAGAAACACTTATCGAGATATAGATAGACACCACTAAAAAGACCCGCGCAAAATCCTTGAACTGGGAATTAGATGTGGATGTACCCAGCAAGCCAATAATCAATGCTCACATCTGTATTACTAAAAAAAAAATTACTGGCTGACATAGAGGATACGCAAAATGCACTTCATTAAGATAAGAGGGCATGTGGTATTTTTAAACATATATACTCATGCATTAACACCTCCAATGTGATATAGTATTGCATTATTAAAACTAATACAATGCGAATTGCATGGTGAGGAAATTAACGCCAAACCTTTTTTTTAATTTACGAATATAGCATTCATTATTATTTTTGTACAATTATTCTTCCAGAAAGAAAAAAAAAAACATGGTAGATATTATATTAATTGCATTTTTGCAGTAAACAGGCCATTTAATTCTGTTAGCACTTCATACGGCTTAAAATGAGCGGAATATCTGGTCACTTTTAATAATCTAGTCAGTGTAAACCAAATATCATGATTTAAGTTCCACGAGATTGGCTTGAGCAATTGAGTGACATAGTTATATCTCGCGTTGTAATGAGCTGATCCTAGACTCTAAGAAGACGACGCTCTTTCATAATCAACCCAGTCTTTTCGTTTATTGGTACTTGATATGCATGAAATATTACCATCAACCCTCGGACATGTCAAAAGCAAAATACCCAAGAAATGCAAGTCAATTAGTCGATTATTTAATGGAGAATGAAAGGTAGATAAGTTATTTTTGAATGAAAAAGATATATGGTTATTTTGTTTGGGAGCATTGTTATTGATTTTAATAAATTGACGTAATCAATGACGAAGAACAATAAAATTATACTGACATGTTTGATCTCGTGATCAGTTTCTTTAGTTACTAAAGCACCACAATCTCCAGCTATCTTCAGAACAGATGCAAAGAAAAAAAAAACGCGCAATTGAAACCAATTTATGTACAGGCCTAATTATCGACTGTTCCTAACGAAATGAAGAAAAAAAATCACACCGTCTACGAATTATAGCAACGAACGATTTCCCATTTTATCATAATCCGCTCTCGCGCATGGTATTTAAAGTTTTGCGGTTTGTGGCACATGTTAAATATCCGCTTCAGATCAAATATTCCCAAAAAAAATTACTGTGGCACAGGTCATAACCACTTTTTTTTAAAAATGTATTATGTTATGGAAATCAAGAGATGCTTATATAACTTTTGATAAAATTGGAACAAAAGTGTATTCTGTTATTTAGCTTGTGTTCAGCAAAGTCTAAAGCGTACAGTAAAGATTAGCGGTGGGAATTAATTGTGCTTGTCACACCATAACCCAGGGTTCAAAGAGACTACGTGCATATAGTAATAAATCATACAAGTAGATGTATAATCGCAGATGATTATTGTGGGTTTTTTTTCTGCAGCTATTGATAAGAGTTTTGTGATTCAGAATAGAAATACATGTAAGAATAGGCAACTATAATCCAAAAGGAAAATACAATCTAATTTGAGAACGGTGTCACGAAAATAGGCAGTTCACATATCTTTTAGCGAAATTTCGGTGCTAACTTCTTTTTATAGCTATCAACCATTTCTATTGTACCCCAAACAGTGATACCTTCAGGAACATCTTTTTCCAATCATCTTCTTTTTTTCTGCTTTTACAACTATTTAGTTTAATTTCTTTTCACTTCTTTTTCTTCCTTTCTTTTTATTAAAGAACTACATATACAGACGATATGGTCCCATCAACGAGCGGAACTGTTCGACAATCAATTGCAGACCTTACAACCGATATTAGAGCAACCAAAGGTGAAATACCACCTCCTTTGGTTGGAAGTTCAACTACAGTGATGGGTGACGAACTTTACATATTCGGTGGAAGAGTAGCATCTAGTCGACAAATGACGAATTATCTTTATATCCTTCATCTTCCAACCTTGATGTGGACAAGACATATTGCACCTCCTGATTCAGCCAAACCACCCACTGCTAGATATTTTCACTCTGCATCACTTTATAAAGACCGCTATATTGTGATATTTGGTGGTATGGGAAATAATTCTGGGAGACGTACTCGCCAACAGCAACAAAAGAACGGGGAAGAGCAATTATACGCACTGGATGATATCTCTGTTTTTGATATAGGCACAATGTCTTGGTTAGATATCAATGTGCCACCAAGTATTTTCACACCTCAAGCTCGTTACGCACATTTGGCCACAGTTTGGAATTCGGATAAATTAGTCATACTGGGTGGACAAGATATTGCTAATACACACATTAACGAAATCAATGTGTTTGATTTGACAGAACTTGCTTGGGTACATGGTGGATCTATCAATGGACCTTATGATGCTTATCGTGCTGTAGCATTTAGTCCCTCATCCGAAAACGATACGACATCTTACGGCGGTAAGACATCAGACCCATTTTGGAAGGTGAACACAACTGATGATAACGATAAGATGGAGAATGAACAATGTAATCCCCCTGTCTGTATCTACTCAAATTATAACTTTAACGACTTGACACGTGACCTACAAAGCTTTGTGCCAATGAAATCAGCTCACAATGTAGAATTTCATGATCATGCTTCAGAAATGGCCACTTCTATATTGCCTCCTGGTCTTCGATTCCCAACCGGTCAATTAATGGGACATTATTTTATCATTTCCGGTACTTTTCTAAGCTCCACCCAACGTGGGTTTCAAATTTGGGCACTTAACTTGGCTAATTTATCATGGACTCATGTTGATACCGGTAACAGCATGACTGGAGGCTCTTGGAATCGTGGTATTCTGTCTAAGAAAAAGTACTATATACTGGGCCATAGCCATCGTGACTTACGGGATGATTATAGCTATCGTCGAATAAATTTTGATCATGTTGCTACCATCGATCTAGAAGCATTTGGTGTATATCCTTTACCACCATCTACATGCTCCAATGCTGCTCAAGAACTTGGTCTGACCATGATGAATGAACCTGGCCTGTCAGATCTGACAATTTGGACTACAGACCAACAGTCTATCTCTGTTAATTCAATTATTTTAGCTGAACGATGGCCTGATTTTGCACAACTTTTAAAGGAGCAAGATAACACTAAACATGAAACTCAGGTCCAAAAAAAGCAACTATTGTTTCCAGAAACCTACGCTGTAACACTTGCATTTTTGCAATACATTTACACAGATCATCTGATTACTGCACAACAACATCAACCCCAAATCTTGTCTAGGCTCTTGTTCTTGGCAGATATGTACAAATTAGAAAGACTGAAGCAATTGACCACTTATGCTTTACATCAATTATTGACGATATCAACAGCTAGTATGGTGTATGAAACTGCTACACTAACCTTTCAAAGTGCGCTTCAAATCAGAGCATTGAGAATTATGATGAATGCAAAGCGTATGCTTTTAGGTCAACAGCAACAGCAACAGCAACAACAGCAACAACAACAACATAAAGAAACATCTCATCAACCTGTTCCTGAGCAAGAATGGACTCCAAGTGCATTGCCTCTATCGCCTTCTTCTAGTTTATCGCCTCCTACTAGTGTAGCAGCCTCTGGTGGGAGTGCAGGGTCATTTTATTCCTCTTCGGAAGAACCTTTATCACCTTCATCCCCGCATGTTTATTCCAACTTGAGAAGATTAGCTCAACCGGGTATGTCACCTTCCAATTCAGAAAAAGCTCAGCAACAAAGATACATGTATCCTGTCTCTTCAAAAGCACCTTTATCGCCTCCACTCGCTGGTAAAAAGCAACAAGGATATTTCGAACAGAATAATCAATTCAACAACACAAATGGAAGATCTGTTACTTCCTTTATTTAAAAAAAAACCCTTATTACACTAGTAATTATACCTTCTCTCTTTCCTTTTAAAACAGTCTGGTACTGTCCATTATTAAATTATTATTTTTTTTTCCTTTCCGCAATAAGCCACTGCTTTTCTCTTTCTTTTCTTTCTCAATGTCGAATAAAGCTCAAAAAGGTACAACATCTCACTTGGACACCTTTCTAAAAAGAAAAAGACTAAAATATACAAAAAAGTGTCGGTTCCTCGTGAATCGTGGCCTTTCGTGGAAGTCCTGGCGGACGAATACTATCGCTCATTAGAAACCGTTTCCGTCTATGCAGCTGAAATCATTCCACAACAAACCAACTTGATTTTGAAGTAGGTGTGAACCATTACTCCAAGCATTAGTTACTTATTTTTTATCCAGGTTTGCACAAAAGCATTTACCTGCTTTAGAAGGGTTAGAACATGCCAAACGAATTAGAAAAGTTCCTGATGCTAGTAAGAAATAATCATCTCTCATAAAAAAATACAAGGCAATTAATTGATATCAGATAGATTACAGGTTTTATTATGCATGCAAACATTTCTGTCAGAAAACGAATTAAAAACGCTCTTATCAACCAATGGATACGAAGACATCCAATTTAGTACAGTCGAAATATCGAAATATGCACCGTTAAACCGTCAACAATATGAAGCATGGAATAAAAGCTGGCCTTTATCCTATAGAGAAGATACACGGTTGGACCCCAAGTTCAGTCCAGAAGATTTCGACACAATCCACCAGAATATGTCTGCTATTTTAAAGAGCAAGTCAGTAGTCTGTCGAATTGTGGATCCTTCAACAGATCAAGTGATGTCGGAAGAGTGTGACACAAGAGAAAGACATCCCCTTCACCATGCTGTCATCAATAGCATTAATTTGGTGGCACGGAAAGAGTCTGAATTGGCCGGCGGGGTAGGACGTATGAAGCGACCTGCTGATCAGATGACAGATGAAGCTCAGAAAACAGGGTATCTTTGTACGGGTTATGATATCTACCTGACTCATGAACCATGTGCCATGTAAGTGAAGATAATCCCATCATTCTTCTCGGCAAACTAATTATGTCCTTTCTTTTTCAGGTGTGCTATGGCTCTTGTTCATTCAAGAGTAGCTCGCGTATTTTATAGCATACCCTCAAAAACCGGTGCCCTTGGCACCAACTATAAAATACATGCTCATCCTAGCTTGAACCATCATTACCGTGTATTTAAAGACGTTTTAAGGGATGAGCATCATGTCTTGGAATCCAGTCTTGTAGACCAAGAATTATAACAATAAAATAACTACAGATATACAAATCGTTTCGGCCAAGTGTAGAATTGATACTTTATAAAGCATCAATGGGGATGTTTTGAATTTTAAAAAGCGTCGTCATTCGGGCACAATCTCCGTTTTTAGACAAACGAAATAAAAAAAAATCTTTTTTCTCTCTTCATTTAAAAAACATGTTCAAATTGTCGACCTGGACAGGTCTCTCTAAATCAACTTGCATCACTAAAAGATTATTCTCGGCTAGCTGCATTAGCAATAATAAAGTCGACTGTTACATTTCCACCATCAATGATGCTTATACTAACTTGGCCCTGGAAGAATACTTACTGCGAGAAACTAAACCAGAGAGACATATTCTTTATTTATGGAGAAATAAGCCTTGCGTAGTGGTAGGAAGAAATCAAAACCCTTTTCAGGAATGCAACTTGAGATTCATGGCTGATAATGATATCCCACTTGTTCGTCGTAGATCAGGAGGCGGTGCAGTTTATCATGTAAGAAAGAAAAAAGAAAGAAAAAAAGAAAACGAGGAGGAAAATTAATGAAAAACAAGGATATGGGTAATTCTATATATACTATTTTTATGCCACGTGAGGCGTTCTCTAGAAGAACCAATGCTGAGCTAGTAGCCAAATCTCTTAATCAATTGGATATCCCAGCTATTGTGAATGAGCGACATGATATTGTTGTCGACAATCACAAGGTGTCTGGAAGTGCATACAAAATTACGAGTGCAAGAGCATATCATCATGGTACCATGCTCATTGACGCTGACACACAGACTTTAAAGAACTGTTTATCCAAAAAAAGAATGAATAATGTAAGTATTTCTTGTCCTTAAAAGGCCCCAGAGTAAAATGAACCCAACCAATCATGATATCTGTATATTTAGGCTGGCATTGTCTCAAAAGGAGTAGAGTCGGTCCCTTCACCAGTCACAAACCTCAGAGACTATTCATTTACAGTAGATCATCAACAATTTTGTGAGTCCGTATTGGCTGAATTCGTAGAAGCGTATAATGACGGCATCCCAGTAGAGGTAAGAGGCTATTTTTACTGTGTGTGTGTGTTTACGCACTGAACGATAAAACTCATATGACTATGCTGTAGCCAATCATGTTTGATAATAACAGTATGCTTCCAGATAAAGTAAAAGAAACGAGACAGGAGCTCAAGACTTGGGACTGGGTTTATGGTCAAACTCCCGAATTTACAAACACTGCAGAGACACAATTGGATTGGGGACACGTGGTAATGCTGCATACAAATTCCCGCACTTTTTTCTTACTCTAAAACATGTATTAAAATTATAGAAAGCAATCATACATTCAAGACACGGTAAAATCACAAAGGCTGATATTACAACGGACAATAACTTGATACATGAACCAACAATCGCCGCAGCAATATCTGTTGCATTAGAAGGTAAACAATGGGCTTTTTAAACGCAGACATAAATATTAACATTTTTTTTACAATAGGTTTACCTTACTCTAGATTTGTCATAGATGAAGCAGTCGAGAAAATAAAATTACAGGTACCCGGTCTCATTAATGCTGATAATGATCATATATCTACCAGCCTTAGTAAATGGTTACAAGATAGATTGTAAAAAGGTCACGAATAGAAATAAAAAAAATTCTTTGTTACAGCATGACGTTTCCCTTTTTGACATCACTTGTCTAATTTTCGAATATATAAAGAACGGTCTTGATTTTCATCTTCTCAATAAATTATCAAAATCTGAACTTTAAAATTAAAATGGGTCTCAATCATAGTAAAGACATTCAATACATGCTAGTCAACGTCCGTGGTGAAAAGGTGTCTATCCCTTATATTCGTTTGCCTGATGGTCAATGGGCTCCACTTCAACAAAATTGGATCCTCCAACAGCAACAATGGAATGCTTCAAGAACAAGCGTGCCTAATGCTTATATGAATCCAGCACTATTTCCTTCTCGTCCATTATATCCTATTGCTAACCCGTAAGTCTTTTTCATGATCCGATGTATGTCATACCTTTTCCTAACACGTATTCACAGATTTGACTATTATATGCCAAACCCCACTTATTATAGCGGTAACTTTTTCCGATAAACAAGCTTCGTTAATTTTGTCCTGTACTATTCTCTCTTTACTCTTGCATAAATTATACTCATTAAATCACACTAATAAATTTTATTTTTGAATTACATGTCAAAAACCCTTTTTTTTTTCCTCTTCTTCTTCCTTTTTTGGACTGCTAAAAAAAGAGAGGGAAATATGCTGTAGATCTTTAAAAATAGCATTAATAAGAAATGACATATACCACGTTTCTTTATACATGTTTACGTAGTATCACTAGTACAGTCACTGTAAGGATTACCTGTCTTCCCTCGTAATTATGCATACTGCATATGCAGATATCTCAAAAAGTAAAAAGGTTTCATTCAATGATTGGTTTTATTATAAAAAATGGTCATCTTAAACTTGTGCTACGAAAATATATGGGTGATGATTACAGTAACTAGGGAAAAAAAAATGTCATATGAAGTAGATCTAAAAAATCGAATGGGCTTATTTTCAAATAGCACATGGGTTTTATCTATACATCTTTAAATTTTTAATTGAGGTCCCTGATACGCAATAAATTGCATGATGATTTCTACGTTTTTCACATTCAAGCATTTTAAATCGCCGTTCAAAACTGTCATGACTATATATTCGACTCTCTTTTCTTCAAACGCATTTTTTCCTTCGAGATTACTTTTTCATCTTTTAACATGGCACCCATCACTACTACTACATTTGACCCCAAGGAAGTCACCGTTGTGTTTGTTCTCGGTAAGTGAGTTGATGAGATAAAGAAAAGAGGGGTAGGCGTTTTAAACTAACGCTATCTTGTAGGTGGTCCCGGTGCTGGTAAGGGTACTCAATGTGGAAACATTAAGCGCGATTACGACTTTGTCCATCTCTCTGGTAAGTTTTATATATAGATAAAAATTGACCTCTAGTTGGCTTACTCTTATATTGGTGCTAGCTGGAGATTTGTTACGTGATGAACAAAAGCGTGAAGGTTCCAAGTATGGAGAATTGATTCAATCTTACATTCGTGATGGATTGATCGTTCCTATGGAAGTTACTATTGCATTATTGGAAGCCGCTATGAAGGAATCTATTGAACAAGGTAATAAGGGACGTTTTTTGATTGATGGTTTTCCTCGTAAGATGGATCAAGCCATCAAGTTTGAAGAATCTGTGGTAGAGTCAAAGTTCGTTTTATACTTTACCTGTTCCGAAGAGACTCTTTTGGATCGTTTATTGAAGCGTGGTGAGAGTTCTGGTAGAATTGATGATAACATCGAGTCCATCAAGAAGAGATTCCAAGTTTTTAAGGAAACAAGTTATCCTGTCATTGAAGCTTTTGAAGCTAAAAATAAAGTGCGCCAGGTACAGACAGACAGACACACACAAATTACTGCTTAAAATTTATTGAATATTTATAACTAAATCTTAACTTTAGATTAACTCTGACAAGCCCATTGAAGACGTTTACGATGATGTTAAGAAGATCTTTGATGAAGCTCTTTTGTAGACTATGTTTATATGAAATAAAATATTAAAATTAAGCAAATGACATCGATTTTTCATCATAATTTTTAGTTCCTGAGTTCTTAGTCGTGTGTAACGCATATTTATTTTTGCAGTTACCCGAACCATCATCTTGTCAATGTTAATTATCCTGATGATATTGATCAGCATCCGCGATTCTTTGATCTGAGCAGACTACCAACTTTCCAGTAAAATAATTGCACATTCATATCTTACATCGACCATCAGTCTTTTCATATTACTAAATTATACAAGTGCTTTATAATTTTTTGTAAATTATGATCTGAGAACAACTAAGATGGCGATGTTTGCAGTAAATCTCAAAATACTTGGGCAAAGATCTCAATACGCATTCTGCTAAATATATCTACCTCTAGAGAAAAAATATCGCCCTTCATAGTAAGTGTAGACTTCACTGGATGACAAATATGCTGCACTATCGGTACACGCTATTACTGAAACATCATTACCAAGTTCAGCATTACTTGTTTATGTAATCCTAGGGATATTTGCAGATGTTTCTATTGTAAGTAAAGACTCAAACATTACAGGTAATAAATATGTCGCTCCGACGTGAACCAGCTCTTTTTTATCAGTTCTGTTAATAAAACTCGTTCATACTCTTTTTTCCTTTAGTCTTTCCTTTTTACTGTACAAATATATCGAAACTTTATGGCATAAAATAATCGTGCAAAGGTTAGTTAGCAATCCCCGTTTTTGTGTTTTCAATAAACCGCTAATATGACACTGAATTCGCGCAGTATATTTGTGATATTACGCCCGTAAAAGCCATATGAATGATCCTCTTTCGACCCGAATCCGTTTGGTTGAAGAAATGGCGGTCACTTTGGCGGACACGTGTATTTGCAGCAGGATATACGTGTCCTCAATATGTGCTGTTAATTCCTCTCCTTTAAAAAAAGTTTTGAGACGACGATTTTCCTCATTAAGCGCAATCAAAAATGCTCACAGTGACATGCAGGGTAAAAAGACAGCTTGATTACCTGCAACGTTGTAACGCATAGTGAACTTATTTCTAAGATATCATTTCCTATATTCTTCCAATCAGACTGGTCGTCATTAATTAGTCTGGTTTGGCAACATTGACCCAAGATCTGTTGGACTTTGTGGTCTTTTTTTGATTATGGGTATCATTTTTATTCCCTTTTTGTATGCTTATCTAAGTCATTCTCAATGCTGAAGTCCATTAGTGTAAACCATAATCATTTATTTGAGACATTTTCAAAGGAAAATAGCGATTATAAGTAAAAATTCGTTTGTTGATATGTTTTTCGACCCTTTCTTTAATAATAAATCGCTTTTCTTAGGGACAGCCAATTTTTCCTTAGGGACAGCCAAAGTGCACGTAGTCGCAACGTAAGATCTATGGTTTGGATGTTCTGTAGACATGGGAACAAGGATATACAATCAAAAACAATGTAAAAATTACAAATAAATGTACATCAAACGATTTATACTTATTTTGACAATTCTATTATCACTCTTTCGCCTTTGAGCTCGTTTGAATTAAATCTTACGCAGAAATATTAATGTTAAGTCCAAACGAGAAGCTGAAAGTTAGCTTTAAAATACATATACTGGTTTAAACTATGTTAGTTGTGATAAATGTGTATATATTTCAAGTTATTAAGTTCTATTGACCTCTTAATATCTATTAAAGTATCATAATCCCAACATTACGACTACGTGCACCCTGGCTGTCCCTAAGAAAAATGGCTGTTCCTAAGAAAATTTGGCTGTCCCTAAGACACCCGATAATAAATTACACCCGGTTAATGTAATTTTTATGTAAATGAGTTATTCCATATGTGCATGCACAAGACTAAATCCATGTTCGGTACCACATTGTTATGTAATGTTTAATTTTTAAAAAACTTGTATGACAAACGTCAGTTCCGAGCCAGAAAAAAAAAAACTAAACTTTATTTTTGAGATATATCAAACGCCATTAGTTTTTATAAACCACATATCGGCTTTGAAAATTAACAAAAAATTTCTTACAGACCAAAAAAAAAAAAAAAAATGAGAGAAAGAAGGAAGGTGGAGATGGCGAGCATCTGATGCAGTGTCGGATTTATTAAACTTAAGCCTTGTGCTTTTTATGATGATGCAATGAAAAGTGGCTTGCAAACCCTTTTTTGCAGCATTAAGTTTTGTAACACTATCCTGCACCCTCATTGTTCTCAGAATTTTCATTTGCGTCATCCGTTTTATCACCACCAACTTATCGTTTTTTCTCATCATCAGAATCACTACAATGGAAGTCACCATATATAGTTATCATCACTGGCGTGATTATTCATTGTTCCAATTCGTCCTTTCAGAAATGCAGGGCATAAGCGTTCCTAGTATTTGCACCACAATATTCTTAGAGGTGTTCTCAAGGCTTAACTATAAAAAGCACACTGCAGATATAAGGAGTCTCGAAAATGGTGATGGCAGGGACTCACTTTGAAGATGGCAACATTTACAGAAAAAATGTGCTTCTCGCTTATCAGCACTTGGAATAAATTCATTTGATATAACTATCCGTATAATATATGTTGCATATTTAACTGGGTCTATCACATCGTACTGACAATGTCTACTTTTTAAAAGCAATAGTATTTGGAAAAGGATTACATCCAATAAGGGGACGTGTCACAAGGAAATTTAAGCTCGCAGAAAGCGGTGTATAAATTGTGACTTCTCAATTATAACGATCATAAAAGGGGACCGGGAAGAAAATTTTTTCTGTTTCGCCAAGGTTTCTTTTCGTGTTAAATATTTTATTATGGTAAGTTTATATTCTAAAGCTGCAAGGGGAAGTAAAAGGAGAGGTTTTATGTTGAATGATGAATTGCCGTTGTCTTTAACAACTTGAAGAAAATTAATGATTCAAACACATCTGATTTGCTAACTGATATCAACAAAAAACCTTTTTTTTTACTTTTTCCATATTTCCTTACGTTGAAAAACAAAGTCTAACTTATCTTTTTTACTTTGCAGGGCTCATGGTCTATTTAATATAAATATAAACAAATAATAAAATCACTTTTTTTTTAAAAAAAAAATCATGTCTCTATTTTTAAAAAAAAAAAAAAATGTTTATTATGTTCGTGTCATATTACCGAGGGTGATCTACATAAAGCTAGGGCTACATGTCATTGAGTGGAAATGGATAAGCTTAAATTATTGACGTAATTTGGTTACACGAGATGTTTCTGTTACAGTGTGCTACATGAGTATAAATAAGAAACAATAGCTTCCTTTTTGTCTTTTTTCTTTTTTTCTCAAATCAATTTTTATATATTTACATGCAGCGCTCTAATAGTAACCCAACAACCTCGTTAACAAAAAGGAGATCCTTTCGTGGTTGGCTCAAACGAGTCACTCTTCCTAATGGTAGCCAAAGAAAGGTCGGACCAGATAACATGCCTAAAGGTAAAAATGATTTGAATTATTATCATAGTGTAGTTGTCACTAATCACTTTTTCTCAATAAAGGGGGTGTATTTGGTATCCCTCTAGTCATGTCAATAAAATACGCAAAGACGACTGTGGGATATATTGATGAAGACAACATAAAACACACAAAAGCTGGTGCCATTCCTATCATTGTTGCAAAATGCGGTTCCTTTCTCAAAAAAAATGGTTTGTTTGCAAATAATTCCATGCACTTTATCACTGTACTGACTTGCTCCATATACTAGCTCTTGATGTCGAGGGTATCTTTCGAATTTCCGGTAGCGCAAAGCGTGTAAATGCTCTGGAATTTCAGTTTGATCAAAGCACTAGCAGTTATGGGTTGGATCTAAACTGGGAAGGTTACACTGTACATGATGCAGCAAGTCTTTTCAGAAGATACTTGAACAGATTACCTGATCCGGTTATCCCTTTTCAATATTACCAGCAATTTCGTGATGTGATGAGTAAAACGCGACAATCAACTATAATTTTGATGGTGGTTTACTAATTTAAGACTTATTTCTATAGGTAGTAATCCACCTAAAGACACAGAACAGCGTATTGAACTGTTTCAAAAGTTGATCCAAAGCCTGGAGCCTGCCCATCAACATCTTTTACTCTATCTTCTCGATTTCTTGAACTTATTCGCCACTGCTGAGGCAGAAACCAAAATGGATATACCTAATCTCGCTGCAGTCTTTAGCCCTGGTATTCTTCGCCATCCAGATCACAATACCCCTATTCAATACAAAATTTCTCAACACGTCATTGAGTTTTTAATTGAATTCCAAAAATTATTCACCATGCAGTTGTTGGTCCCTTCTAGAGTAAAGAAGACAGCAAGCAGTATAGTACCTCCTGTTCCTTTACTTTTACCCTCATCAGTGGGTAACCAGCTTTCACCTCCTCCAGTTCCATTACATGTTGCCAACCCTTCTGCCCCATCCATAAAATCATCTCTTGCTCCTAGCAGTATCGACAATAACTCCTTTATTGATTCGCCCCTTGAGATAACTCAACAACGCAATGTCCAATCGCAACCACAACCACAACAAACCAACGACCTTGGAGATAAACTCATTCGATTAGCCACACCTTATTATCGCATTTTGAGACAGAAAATTACCGAATTAGGACTTTATGTGGAACCTATTGTTGGTAAGTAAAAGTACAAAACGTTCAATTATAGTTACTAACTTTTTTTCTGCAGCCAAACCAATTGCCCTTTTAGCTTGCTTCTCGATACTCTTTGTTACTGTTGCAGTTGTTATTTATGAATTATACTTGGCTGCTACTTTGGTTAGCTTTGAACCTTTAATGTTCTTTACTGGACTAGCTTCTTATTGGGGACTTTTATATCACAGTCTTACCGCTAATGAGCCTATCTCCGAAAAAACACTGACGTCTATTGACCCACTTGAAAATACCGTTAAACAACCTACAGAACATGCAACTCAAGAGGATGAACGTGAAGTTTGTGATATATATCCTGTGATGGATGATGTCACTGAAGAAGCTATGATGAAGGATGAAAGTATGTCAGAATGGCGTGATTTACTTGCACGTTCTTGGAAAGATGAAGAGCCTTCGTCCTCCTCATCCGCCTCCATTTTTGCAGCAGACAATGATTCAGTTATGAGCAGATCTAGCCGATTTAATGAAGAGGAGGACTTTGCCCCTCCTAGTGATGGTAGCAGTTCGAGCGATGAAGATGAAGATCTCGGATTCGATCCCGCTACTCTTGAAGCTTATTTTACGCAGTATGACAAAGAGAAAACAGACCAAATTAAAAGAGATGCTGAGTTAGCCCAAAAACTTCAAATTGAAGAACAAAAGGCGCGTGATGAAAATAATCCCTTTGTTGTAGAAACTATGGCCGTCGGTAAAGCTCCTATTGATGCTTTCGACGATGATAAGGTAACCACACCAACTGACAAAGAAGCTTGGAAAATCAGAGTCTTTCGCGACCAATAAAAAATAATCATATATGCTTACATGCCTGTGCCCCCTCTCCCATGTACAATAAATTATCACCCATTACTATGTCCAATATCACTTAAAAATAAATAAAAATCGTCACATTGCCATGTAATTTGCTTTCTCCTTACATCATCATAAACATTTACGTGCTTTAATATAGATCTTAAAACCTTAATTGTGGCGTGACAAAAAAAAAAAACTAGATTTCGTGTATAAGAAATGGAAAAGAGGGGTATATAATGTGGTCTACTGAAGCAAAGGACGACCAAAAGGCTCTTGAGCAAAAAGTCCAGCTGTTTTATGATTATATACAGTGGTGCCACGAACAATTGTACGATCAACGGCGCCAAAGAGTGTTTCTCCAATATAAGGAGATAATTTGTTTTTAAAATGTACGTCGGCTACATTGATCTCAAATGCAGATTCTGGACGCCAGATAACAAGATCGCCATCATTACCAACACGAATTTCTCCCTTCTTGTGGTCCAGTTTGGTTCTCTTGGCAGGTGCTAAACTAAGCCAGTTTGCAATTTGTTGAAGGCTGACGCCACGTTTACGGCCCTCACTCCAAAGAACAGGTAAACCAAATTGAACACTAGCAATACCACCCCAAGCTTGTCCAAAATTGCCGGTATCTTGCTTCTTAAGTTGGGCTGTACAAGGTGAATGATCACTAACAACATAATCAATGGTACCCTCCAACAATGCCTCCCAGAGCTTTTCACGATTAGAAGCCTCACGAATTGGCGGACAACACTTGTAGTGTGTTGCACCATCTTCAATGGCTTCCGAAGTAAAATTCAAATAATGGAAGCAAGTCTCGACAGTAAGTGGTGCTCCAGTGGCTTTAGCAGCACGAATAGCAGGAATGGCACTGGCAGCGGAAAGATGGACAATATGAGTATTTACTGATCGGCCCTGTTCATGATATTCTTGAGTAAGGCGGATAATCATGTCAATTGCAGTGGTTTCCAGCTCTTGTGGACGAGAATTTAAAAAGCTGGCATATGTGCGATTATCAATATTTTCTTCTTCGACTTGGGGCTTTCCGCATCCATCCATTTCAGCATGGAACAACAAGACGCTGTCAGAGTTGACAAGTTTGTCCATGGCTAAACGTACCTCAGTCTCATTTACACAAGGGAATTCATCCACACCACTTTCAATTAGAAAACATTTAAACCCGCGTACTCCCTTACCAATTAAAGCGGGCAACTCGTTCGCGTTATCAGGTACAACACCGCCCCAGAATCCTACATCAACATGACACTGGCCTTTGGCTGCATTGAGTTTGATATCAAAATTTCCGACAGTAGTGGTTGGGGGAATCGCATTTAAAGGCATATCAACAACCGTTGTAATACCACCAGCGGCAGCTGCTTTTGTACCTGTTTCAAAACCTTCCCATTCTGTTCGTCCAGGCTCGTTTAAATGCACTGTCAAAAAAAAAAGGTTAATTTTGATCTCAGTCGACCTTTTTCAATCCTTGAGTAATATTTACCATGTGCATCGACTAGGCCAGGCATTAATAACTGATCGTTGTCCAGCTCAATGACTTCCAAAGCATTCTGGTCAACAATGGTGGTGCATTGCTTATTGTCAATGGCAATCTCGACGACTTTACCAGTATTTTGATCGATAAGGACTTGAGCAGGGCCTTGAATATGCTTAGGAGAAAGGATAGCTTGCTGAGCTTTTACAAGCAAAAAACGTTGGTTTTGAGGGATAGTCATGATTGTAAGAGAAGTGATAAGAAGCAAAAAAAAAAACAAAAAAAAACAAAAAAAGCAAACAAAAATACGGATATACCGTACATCTCTTATTTAAAGCACAGATGTGCCAAATATACCATATTTCCTGCCGACAAAAATACCCTCTTTTTTTTTATATATATATTTAAATACATAATGTTGAATAATAAATATCTGTGCTACTTTACTTGCTTTATATATATATATATATATATGTACTATATTTATTTATTGACTACTGTTGTTATGTCACCTTAACATGCTTTACGAGTATATTGATAGTGGGATCAAGTAGAAACTAGAAATAAAGTCTGTACGACACATTTGATAAGCTATCAGTGACCACCGTAACTCCCGACCAACCAGCATGTGATCAATTAGCTTTGAGTGTATCTTTAAAAGTTTGCAATAAAAGGTATTTTATCACAGATATCACTAATAAAATAAATGCGATGTTGCATTGTTCGCCTATATCTCAATGCTGTCTAATAGCATATGCTTCATAATAAACAAATGCTTTACGAATGGCACATACGATACGGTGACCCTGCCACGAAAAGAAGTTTGAAACATGTGTGGCAAATCCGGATTTTCTCTGCACAGGACAGTTTAGAGTTCTATCACATCCGGATTATGAGTACATGAGGCTGTGTTTTTATTCTAAAAGGCGTAAAATGTTGTATCATGCACATCTGTCAACCCAAGTTGCTTCAATGTCAATTACAAGTAAAATCGACTATATTACGTAATCATTGAAGAGATCAATACAGTCGTACCTGTGAAAATTGCCAGGTTTTAAAAAACATTGTCGATTACTATAAATGTATTTGTCGATTATAAAAAAGCATTGTTGATTATAAAAAAGGAGATTTTTATATGGCAGAAAGAATAAAAAATAAAAGTTGAAAGAAAAAGATAAGAATAGACGATCAAGATGATCTGGGCGATTGTTGCTGTTGCTGAGATTGTTGAGATGAGCGAGTAACTTGAGACATGACTCTTTGGGAACATTGCCTAGTGTTATGTCCCGGCTGTCTACAAGTTCCATTTTTTTTTAAGTTGTTCCAGAGCTTTGGTCAAAGCGTATAAGGACACTCTTCTTTTGACTCTTATCATCATGCTCCGCTTTTCAACTTCGGTAGTAACCTGGAGTTTTTGGTCCTTCAAACGAGCTTTAAATTCGCTGGCATCGACTTCAACTGTACTCTTCACCAAGCTTCCCACCTTGTCTAAATGACCCGTTGATACCTTAAGTCTTCGCTTCAACTTGTTATTAGCACCTTCAACCCTGGAAGTACATTTAATATATTCTCCAATCGCTGTTAAGCTGCAACATTTAGATAATATCAATGTCATCACTACTCTCGTACCTAAAATTCATATTTAAGGGCGGTATAATTTCAGATATATTCTTTATCAACAAATTTTGTCAATCTCATCATTTCTTTCTTTTTTGTGTTTGATTTTTAGATTTTATTTAATTTTTCAAAGAAAAACGCTTGTTTCTACGCCCCATCTAGGCAACGTAGCCAATGTATCCAAGGATACCGTAGTTTCCTCGGCAGGTTTGGGTGTGCGAACACAGAGTTTGTTAGCCGATGGCTTCAGCTTCATGCTGGGCTTATCCAACTCATGGACAAATGCCTGGAGCTATTAAAAGGTCAAGTCAATAATTAACATACATAATTGTTTTAGTTTTATAACTAACCTTGTCAGTTCTCCAGATTGGCACTCGGTTAAGGAATGTCAAAGAATTTCCATGCTCGTCCAAGATGTCTTCATCTTCTTCGAACATATACGCCCGCTCGACAAATGTCCCACAATCATCGCCGTACTTGGCCTCAAAGGCAAGCTTGTATTTCGCAAAGTTGTTGCGTCTTCTTCGCATCTTCTATAGTAAGGGGTAAGTAAAGTGCCACAAATTATGCATAATTATATAACTGACCGTCTGCATACGAGATTTGCGTCGATTGGCCGACGCAGCAGCACGAATTCTTTCAACATCCCATGATTTCTGCTTCTCAACATCCCGCAATTGCTCATAGTGATGTCTCACTTTTTCCTTAACAAACCTTCTTCTTGCGGTAAGAAAAGGATTGTATGTAGTGAAGACCCACCATCTTGCATACGCGCCAGTATGACACGTAGCTCCACCCTCTTGTAGAATGAAGCTTCTTTCGTTATTCTCAGTCATTTCTTTGAACCAAGGATGGAAATTACCTGCCAAAATATTGATGTAATCATTCTGGCCAACAGTACCGTCAACGATACTCAAAGGTAAAAAATACCCCAAAGTTTGTCTTATTTTGCTGGATTATAGCTACCACGAGTGTTCTTTGTTGAGTTTGTTAAAGGGATACTTTGTTGAATAGTGCTGTATGAGAGAAAAAACGATTTAATTAAAAGGGTAAAAAAAAACGTCAAAAATAAGGTTCCGCTAAAATTAATTGTGTGACCGTGGTAATGTGACGTTATTAAAGGTCGCGTCCTCTAGCCATCCATCTCTTCTTGTCAACTATGCCCGTTAATTATTAACCACATGTAACCAAATACTTTAGTATCTTTCTAACTCCATCATCTTATCCATAATCATCTTTTTAATGTCATATCCGAAATCATTTAGTATAAATATCCCCTACTTTTATACTCAATAAAGATCAGTTCAAGTTTTAAATAAGAAATAAAAGTGTTCTTTTATTTTGAATTTATCTTATTATACATTTTAAGTCCGTTTCTATTACAAGCCACAGCCGTTACAGGTAATCGCCAATGTTTTATAAAACCCGACAATTTTCACAGGTAAGACTATATGATATGTACATCTTTTTGGCAACTTATTTGTCACTTTTCTTGATGAAATAGAGTATACAGTGAATTTATTTTCACTTTGCGAACTAGCTGAAAATTTTCATACATGTGACGAAGTTAAATCCAATCAAATGCAGAAATAAGCTTTTTACTAAAATACAGTCCGGCTGGTGGACATTGTCGGTTACAAGAAAGATAACTGGATTTAATTTGTTAATTAATATAAAAACAATTGTCGGTCAAATACGAATAAAATATAATAAGAGGAAAAGATGCTGCTAGGCTTAATTCATAGTGATTAGCCATTATTTAACTAACAGAATCATACACTGTTTCGGTTTTCGTTAAAATTAATAGATATTTATTCAATTACAAGCTTTGTCAAGACACTTCTTCAACTGAATTTAGAAAAATAAATAAAAATTTAAGCCATAACTTATAATTATCATTGCAAAAAGCTATATAATAAACCCAAGTACAAACTGTTTGGGCGTAAAATGTCACAAAGATCTATGGTCGCTTACGAATGAACGTTTTTGATAATTTTATATGCTATTTTTATAGATGCTATACAACTGTGGTCACGGAGAAAATTCATAGCGTGTCTTTCCAATACTTTAATGTTTTACCATAAATATACATATACTATTATTATATAAGAGAACATATTAAATGAAATAATTTATTTTTGTAATATAAATTTAACAGCAAACAAATAGTGTTTCTCTTAACAATAAGAATAATATTCGTTGTGAGAGGACTTAAAATGATAAACGAAGCATTAAAAATCCTCTAATCGTCTTAACTTTTTCTGTAATACCTCAACCTCCTGTAATTTTCTTTTGATTTGTTCTTTAATTTTTGATTTAGCCTTTTCAATATCCTCGTTATAGTCGTCACTTGTACTAATAATAGTAGAAGCTGTCGTATATGGATTAGTATTTGTTGATGCTGTACTAGATTCATGATTATTTGCATCAGTTGTAGAAATGATAGGCGTATCGACGTTACGGTTGCTTGGATTGGCATTAGATGTTGAATTGTTGCTGAAACTTGCGGTGGAATCATTGCTAATGTTAGCACCAAGAGCGATAGAGCAATGGCACATCAATTTTGAGGATGAGCTAATTCGTGGTTGTACTTGAAAATTATTCTAAATAAGAATGTTAAGTATACTCTAATTTCACTTAATAGTAAATAGTGAAGCCTTACTTAATTAATAGGCTTGTTATCTAATAGACTTGGGTTTACTCCTATTCCTTCAAGTCTTTTGCATATAAGCTTTTTCTGAATACGATAAACATAGTAAAAAGTCGAAGCATCAAGTTCAGATTCGAAATGAATGAGCGCAAAGCTACTACAGTGCATCTATTTTATAATGAACAATTTTCGTTAAAACGGACATTTTCAGAACTAAAAGGTCCATACTTTCTGACAGAGGAATCTAATTTATCCCGGGACAACGTTTAACCGGGATATATCTGATAGATTTTTATGAATTTTTGCACTGTAAAGCACCTCCCGGACATCTTTGGGTCTCGCCACTGTAAATGGCAAATTTTGTTTTGCCATCTGTAAAAAATTTTGTGTGAAAAGAAAAAAATCGGGCTCTATTAGTTTATGAAGAACTCTCTAATAAAGAAGATAATAGAGCCAGATTTTTGATACATGTTCATTATAAAATAGATGCACTGTATCAAAAGTTAAATCTTAGTCAAATACTGTGATATTTTGCTTACTTTTTTTGCTCCGTTTTGATAACATGTAGGGGCTTAACAATAGAACATTCTTTCAGAATTTGTTTTAAATGTTCACTTTTGATGCCTGTTATGCTATCACCACAAAGCTGAACGTGGCATTTTCTGTTACCACACGTCTCGCACATGAAAGAAATCTGTGGGAAAGCAAAAAAAAATTAATGTAGTTTTGTTCTTGGAAATGTCTAGACCTCCGTATTTTTTTCAAACGTATTTTTTTTATACCACTTACAGGAATTCCGGCCAGAAGACCAGCAGACCAGTATAATTGCACCTATTTACAGTGCAATCACAGCCATTCACGGTTCGTGAGTTCCAAAAACTCAAGAACTCTGCCCTCCTATAGCAAAGACTAGCCGCAGCCGCATTATCACAATTATATATCTTTTTCAATTTAGCTTCTTTTCAAAGAAACAAGAGTCACTACTAAACAAACCTTTTTACGTGATCGGTTACTTTCATACATTAAAAGAAGTATGTCAAGGGAAAAGAAAAGGAGAAGAATAAAGTGTGTGAACCAGCTTTATTTATAGATAAACAAGCTTATGTCAGGATAATTTCATTTGTCTATTTTATCATCCATAATGTTTGAGCCTTTACTTAAAATAGAAACACTTACAAAAACCTCCCAAGCAAGTCAGAGCTTGGTAATTGTCTATCTGCATTCCAGTAGTAGCTTGTAATGACAGCGAAGCAGATTTTATGGAAAACAGAAAACGATCATTCTATGAAGTTTAGATGATATGGCATGTCGACCAACGCGTAATTCTAAAAAATACGTTTATTTGAAAAAAATACGTTTAAAAAAAATACGGAGTTCTAGACATTTCCTTTGTTCTTGCTATTTCACAAGACTGTAACTCAAAATAAGTAATGACGTAATTAAATTAATTTTATTATAGTGACCTTGCGTTTTTTTTTACTTTCGTGGTAGGCATTTTTTTATTTCTTTTGGGTCATCTTTCGTGGGTGGCATTAGGTTTACTTTCGTGGTAGGCATTTTGGATATGAATTGCTAATCACCTCCTCGTGGTCATATCTGGACTACTACTATATCTATGGAAGTAGTAGGCTAAGTATTAGCATTTTGATTAGTTTAGCGCTTTTTTTTTAAATAAAGTTTATTGGTTATTGTTAGAGTTAGAAAGACAAATGATTGCTTACAAACATATGATTTTGGTAATTTTATATATACTGTTTTTATAGACGCTATACAACTGTGGTCATGGAGACAATGTCCACCAGCCGGACTGTATTTTAGTAAAAAGCTTATTTCTGCATTTGATTGGATTTAACTTCGTAACATGTATGAAAATTTTCAGCTAGTTCGCAAAGTGAAAATGGATTCACTGTATATTCTATTTCATCAAGAAAAGTGACAAATAAGTTGCCAAAAAGATGACTACCATTTCAGGCGATTATATTTTTATTCGACGTTAATCCATGTACGCGTCATAATAAACTTTTACATTCCAACGTTCATTTTTTTTTTGGCACAGTTTCATTCCTAATTAAAAAACACAAGCAATAAGCCATGTCGGCTTGTTTTCTTAAAAAACACAAGCAATAAGCCTTGTCGGCTTGCTTTTCTTCTGTTTTCTTAAAAAAATAATAACTAAGAATATATAAAAAGAGGGCCTCTCGATAGACGAATAACGAGAAAAGCTAAATTCAAAAATGAAACTATTATCCATTACATATCTTGCGTTCGGCATATTTGTTCGTAATGTGATAGCACTGAATGTTACCACCATAGCAGAGTGTCCCACACTTAGTCCTAGAACTTCTCCTGCAAAAGATATAACCGATCTCCGTGTGGATGATATCAAAATCTTTGGAGCATTAGGTGATAGGTAAAGGATCGTCATAAATCCAACCTAATTATATTCTCAAAAAAAAAAATATTTTTTTCCTGCAACCGGAATGATAGTATTATGGCGGGATTTGGTATGATACCTATCAATCCAGGGATTTTGGGCTTCTTAAATATAAATGCATTGACTGAATACCGTGGTTCAAGCTATCTTATGGGTACGGACAAGGATGCTATCACTGTCGCAAATTTTATCAAGCATTATAATCCTAACCTCCACGGTCCATCTACCGGGAGTCATGTTATGAGTTACGTCCGAGGAGATTTTCCAGGCTTATGTACGTATCATCATGGTATTTATAAATTCACTGTACTCACATATATGTCAGATTATGAGGACAAAGACTATTTAAATGCTGCGCAAACGGGAGCTATGGCTATGAACTTGAATCATGAATTGAATTATCTTCTTCCAAGTATGCAAGAGCTTTGTTCACAGTAAGATTTTACCTAATGTCATTTTTATAGATTTGAAGGACCCGACTGTTGTTGGCACATCGGCAGAACACGATTGGAAGATGATATCTATTGCCGTCGGGAGTAAGGAGATTTTGATGATTGATGAAAATTGCTTGGACTGAAGGCGTATTTTTTTTTAGGCAATGATATCTGCAGGTCCTGTAGTGAAGAATTCGATGCTGCAACCACAGCAGATTTATACGCACATCATATAGAAACTGCAATACAGCGTATTCAAAGTGAAGTCTCAAACGTGATTATAAATCTAAGTAAGCCCAGGGATACAAATACAAGTTATAAGGATATGGAAGGCTGATCTATGTTTGTAGTGGGCATGTTCAAACTGTCGGATCTAGATGACTTTTACAACAAAGATCCCGAATATTGTAGTAACAGACTTCTATTAAAACCCTGCGACTGCTTTTATGCTCCAAACGGTTTAGAAAAAGTGGAGGCAATGGTCAACGGTATTTGTACTGCTATTAGTTGTATAAGAAAAGACTATTTACGTTCTCAACATAGATTACAACATAAAGTTACAAGAAATTGCTGACAAATACCCAGCAAAACCTGGATCCACATTTGGTGTCATGTTTACGCCGGTACCATTTGATATCCTATCTTTTCCTGCCAATGCTTTAAGGTAATATAATCCATTTGTAATATTTACAAGAAAAATAATATCTCTTTTTAGCAACATTGACTGTTTCCATCCTTCGGTTTTGGGTCATCGATGGTTCGCGAAGGTGAGAACAGAAATTGAGATAGCTGCTTTGACTTTCTGCTAACAATAGAATAGGCTTTTTGGAACCAGATCTTTTTAAATAAAGAGTTGAAACCGATTACCGCTAAATATGATATGGAAGAACAGGTAAAGTAAAATCTTTACTTATATTTAGATCTTACTCTCACATGTGAGCAAATGTAGATTTATTGCCCTACAGACAACGACAGAATACAAGTTTCATAAACGCTGACGGAACAAATCGACTTATGTATTTACATCATTAGCTTTAAAATTATAACATTACATGGGCTCATACAACTTCTTATTGTATAAATAAATTATTATCCGTGTAACAGAATGTGTACAATAGAAGAGTTGAAAGTGAATTATTTAATTAATTATTATGATGTAAAGTGTAGAAATTTGTGAAAAAAAAAAAAAAAATGGGACCCAATTTTTTCTCTCTGGAACTAGCACTGCTTCCATGAAATAGGAATACGACCGTCAAAAAAGTCTCCTACTTTAGCATAAACAGCAGGTGATAAATCGACAGATCCTCTGCCGCAACCAGCCTTGGGGCACTTTACAAGAGAAAGAAGTGTTAGTAACCGAAAATAAAAAAGAAGTTAGGTCTTACGATATCTTGAATTTGAGCTTTCTGGGAACCATTTGGACCTGTAATCATGACACAGATACCACACGTGGGACTAGTGTTTGGATTATCTGTATAACCAAAATCGTATTCATTCTATAGATCAGAAAGGGAAAAAAAAAAGATTTGAGCAAATTTATTTGAAGTGCGATCTCAATCCAAAGTACCATGGCTACAATATAATCTTCAGATGTAAATGAAGTACCACACGCAGTTAGACCTACACCGGGATCTTTTACAAATAAATTAGTACAACGAAAATAAAATAAAATTCTATAGTATTTTATTTCCAAGTGATCTTACCATAGTATGTACCATCACCTTGTCCACTCATATCTTTATTTGACCATGTTCCTGAACTATCCCCAGGATATTTGGTCGTGCCGATAGATATGCCTGCTTCGTTTTTATACCTTTGGTTTTTAAAAACACCCAAGGTACCAATCACAATAAACATGACAAGTATAATTCCAAATGCTCCTAGTCCAACTAATATCCATTTTCCAAAACGAAATTTTGCATTGAATCGAGACCATATACAACTCCGCACCGAAAATATTCGACACTTTTCACAAAAATTTGAGTTCCTTTAGTCATGCATTTTTTTAAAACCAAAAACTTGTTAATAAAAGGTATCTCAAATTCTACCAAACTTGACAAAATAGCAATATATATATATATTTTGTAAAAAGAAACTTTTTTATTTACGTTAATAAGTGGTATTTGAGCCACGAGCTTTTTTTACTGCCCGGCATCTATCGGGCATACTTTCTACAAGCTTATGACACACTTCATCCCCCAACAACTTCCATTCCTGATGAAGTGCAACCTCCAATTCATTAAGATTTTGAAGCTGGGCTCTTCTTTTAGCAATCCTTTGTCCCAGGAGGCGCCAAAGGTTCTCAATCGGATTCAAATCGGGACTTTGAGCGGGCCATCGCTCAAAGCCTGCAATCCCAGCCTTCTCTTTCCACCACCTCGTATATCCTCCTGTATGGCATGGGGCACCGTCTTCTTGGAAAATAAAGTCATGACCATATTTCTCTGTCAATTGTTCAAGCCAAGGGAGAAAGTTTTGACTTAAACAATTGACATATTTTTCTTGATCGACAGACCCTTTTAGTGTCACCAAAGGGCCCAAACCGCCTGCCCAAAAACATCCCCATACCATCACTGATCCCTTACCAAATTTAAATGTTGGTAAAACAAATCTATCCATATACCTTTCACCCTTCTTTCTAATAACTCTCACACCACCGTCGTTGTGCCTGAGTGCGAATCGCGACTCATCGGACCAGATTACCTTCTTCCAGTCATCTAATGTCCAATTCATCTTGTCGTCGACCCATTCTCTTCGCGTTTTTTTATGTCTAAGACTCAAAAACGGTTTTTTGGAAGGTCTGCAAGAATAAAAACCGTTTTTGCGAAGTGCATTCCTCAATGTCGTCAGGCTGATTGGATCGGTAGCCTTCGCAAGATTTTGCATATGAACACTTAAAGGTTCAAAGGAGTCCCTTCGAACTAAAAGCGTCAGGTGATGCTCAGCTCTTGCTGTCAGCTTTGCTGGTCTTCCTGGACGAGGTTGGACAGTCGTGATCCCTTCAGTTCGATACTTTTTTATAATCGTAACAACGGTTGTTCTAGGAACGCCCAATTCTTTGCTGATTTGGGTACCTGTCCATTTGGCATGCTCTGCCAAACCGCAAATGACTCCACGATCGAAATCTGAAAGTTCCTTGCTTTTTCTAGAGACTTTGTTAGTAATGTCAGTAAGTGGCATGATAAATTGTGTAATAAAATATGAAAGAATCGTTGAACGAAGAAAGAGTAGGTTTATTTATTTTTTTGGCTCAAAACGGAAGTGTCGAATATTTTATGTGCGGAGTTGTAGTAGGTGGTGGTGTGATCAAGGGTGTCCTCTCAGTGAATTTCGAAGATGCTTGACTACTGCTGTCCTGCATCTCTCCAAATGGGTGAATGACGGTGCTTGGTAAGTTGACAATGTTACTTTCGACATCTTTAGGTAATGTTGGAGGTCCAGACATACTAAATAAAACAAAAGAAAAGGTGGTCTCTATTTTCTAAATCCCTGTTTTCGTGTAAACAATTTAGTTCATCTTTGGTACAAAATCAGTTAAAAGCAATACAAGTGTAGCACAAATTACAATTTATTTTTGACGTTACGCCATTATCGTGCAACCTTAAACAAATATACTAAATTAATTCGAAAAATTGAGGGCAAACCTGAACAAATTGTTTTGCATTGAAGATATCTACCTGTCAAAATACCGAGAAAAAAAAAAAAAATAAGACTATAAGATTTGATTGTATTATAATATACATGGAATAGATGATTTTTTATTTTTAAAATGAGGGTAAGCAAATAATATTTATATGGTAAAAAAGTGAGTAAAAAAAAAATTGTCTATAATAAAGTGTATGTGTGTGTTTTTGAATGTGCAAATTTTTTTTTAAAGTTCATGGAAATCAGTACCAGTGATGGTCTTTTTGACGTAACCAGCACGAATCACAAAGTCACCAAAAGGTTCACCGGCATGACGTTCAAGAGCATATCTCTTAATGATGGGATTGATTTCAGACAAAATTTCTTCTTCCTTTAAACTTTCCTTGTACAATTTGTTCAAACGTTCACCCTTGTGTCCACCACCAAGATACACATTATAGGTACCAGGAGCCTTACCGACAAAGGCAATTTCAGCAAGATAAGGACGAGCACAACCGTTAGGACAACCTGTCATACGAATGGTAATAGCATCATCCTTAAGACCAGCAGCTTCAATAGCACCTTCAAGATGACCGACCAAAGTAGGCAAGTAACGTTCAGATTCAGCCATAGCAAGACCACAGGTGGGTAAAGCAACACAAGCCATAGCATTCAAACGAAGACCACTGAAGGAAAGGTTATCCATCTTGTACTTGGCCAAAAGTGCCTTGGTCTTTTCGAGATCAGCTTCGGGAACATTAGCAATGACCAAATGTTGGTTAGGAGACAAACGGAATTCACCCTTGTGCCACTTGGCAAGCTCTCTAAGACCAGTCTTGGGTTGGAAATCGGGCCAGTCCTTGATCTTACCGTTCTCGATAAACATACAGAAGTGCCATTTGTCATCAACACCCTTGGTCCAGCCATAACGATCAGCGTTATCAGTGAAAGTGAAATCAACAGGAGGTTGGAACTTGGCGCCCATACGAGTCTCGATTTCATTCACAATAAAGTCCAAACCATGAGTGTCACAAGTGTACTTGAAACGAGCATGCTTACGGTTGGTACGGTCACCGAAGTCTCTTTGAGTAGTCATGACAGCTTCACCACAAGCAACAGCTAATTCAGCGGGAACATAACCGACCAAGTTGGCAGGACGAGGATAAGTCTTCTTGTTACCGTGAGTCATACCCATACCACCACCAATAGTGACGTTATAACCAATGACCTTCTTGTTATCATCAACAATAGCAATATAACCCAAATCGTGAGCAAAGATATCAACATCGTTGTTGGGAGGAACAGCAATAACAATCTTGAACTTACGAGGCAAGTAAGTGGGACCATAGATAGGTTCGAAATCTTGGACAGCGTTACCAGCAACTTGCTTATCGGCTAACCAGATCTCATGGTAGGCAGTTGTCTTGGGAGCCAAATGCTCCATGATCTCCATACCGAATTGTTGAACTTGAGCATGTACTTCAGGAATTTCAGTGACAGGAGTGATCATAATATTACGGTTAACATCACCACAAGCAGCAAGAGTACTAAGAAGAGAGTGGTTGATACCACGGATGGTGTTACGAAGATCCTTCTTCAAGATACCGTGAAGTTGGAAAGCTTGACGGGTAGTCAACTTGATAGCACCGTTAGCATGAGTCTCAGCCAATTCATCCATCATAAGCCATTGTTCGGGAGTAGAGACACCACCGGGCATACGCACACGAATCATGAAAGAGAAAGCCTTTTCGAGACCCATCTTCTTACGTTCTTCTCTGATATCACGATCATCTTGGCCATAAGAACCATGGAACTTGAGTAATTTACCATTGATTTCACCAATAGCACCAGTAGATTCATCGAGGAGATCTTCGGCGATAGTACCACGAAGGTAGTTGGAGTTAATCTTCATTTGATCATCAGTCAACTTAGGCTCATCATCTTCAGCACCAACATCCTTGACACCAAGAGCCTTCCAGAACTCAGGTTGCCAGAGACCCAAAGCAGTTTCAAAACCATCAGCATCTTGATCATCACCCAAACCCAAAGAAACAAGACGGTTGGCACCCAAATTTTCAAGCTTGGCATCAATGATTTTACCAGGACGGTTATAGAAACCAGCATCTTCAGGACGAGGCCAGTAATGACTATCACCCATGGCAAAGACAGCATAGTTTAATTCGGCAAAGCTAATCTCACCGACATTTAATGTGTTCAAGGCCTTCCATAATTCACGAGCGTTGGAAGGTAATTCACCTTGACCGGCAGTAGAGACAATAAAGACAACGTTGGTTTCATTGGCAAGCTCCTCAACATTTTCATAGTCATCCATGGCCATCAACTTGACTTGGAGTCCTCTGGATTTAGCACGGTTGGCAATCTTCTTGGCAACACCTTCAGCATTACCGTTATCGGAACCGAATAAGACAGTAAGAGGAGGACCATTGGCAGCACCTAAACCAGATAATAATTTAGCGAAATCTTCACGGGCCTTACGCTTCAAGTCACTATGTCTCTTTTGAACATCCTATATACATATAAAAAAAAACAATTAGAAACTTTTGATACGAATACATAAAAGAAATTAAACTTACGTTCTCTAATGAGCTAACAAGTAACTTGGAGATATCAGGGTTTTGAGCAACAATTTGAGAGAAATGATTTTCACGTTCCAAAAACTTTTCAAGATCCTTCTTGATACGTTGAGAATCCAAAGAGAAAGCTTCTTTACCTTCGGCTTCCAAAGCAGGGTTCCAACGATAAAGAGGCCAGGCACCGTTATCGACAGAGACCTTGGTTTCCTTCAAAGTAAAGACAGGGTTGCTTTGAGCAGTTTCTTGTTGAGGCAAGTAAGCAAGCACGATAGAGGGACCTTGGTAAGCATCAGCTTCCATAAGAGCATGCAAGACACCGGTATAAGAAGAGTAGACAGCAACAGAGGCAACATAAGCAGTACCAAAGTTCATGGCATAAAGACCAATATCCTTCTTACGTTGTTCACGATCAGTTTCAGAAGAATAAGGTAAAGTATCCACAATCAACATGTTGACATTTTCTCCTTGTGCAATCACATGATGAACACCGGATTGACCAAGATCATAAGCCCAAGTATCAGAACCAATCAACCAGTTGGACTTTTGAGTCAAGAGATCCTTGTGCTTGAGAATATAGGAAGCATTAGTAACACCTTGACAAGCAGAAACAACTGATTCAGCAGCCTTATTGATGGCCTTAATATCCGACTTGTTGGACTTGACAGCCAAAAGCCATTGAGACAAAGTCTTGTAAACATCATCGGACACTTGATTCTCCTTTACCAAATTCTCCACATGGTCAATGAAACGAGCACGTTGTTGGATTTGGTTGACGAGCTTACCATAACCAAACTCAGGAGCAGAGGCAGAAGCATCTTGTTCATCACGAGACCAAACAGAAGCACTGTTGACAGCATTGGCAATCTCAAGACGATCTTGGAACACTTGATCAAGCATCTTGATGTAAGGAGTCTCGACAGGAAGAGTAGAAGAAACTGCTTGCTTGGAAGAGGCAGCGGGAGCTTCTGTACCAGTCAACTTTTCCCAACCTTGAGGAACAGCCAAAGTTTGAGCATCGGCCAAAAGAGCAGCAAACCCATCAGCAAGAGACTTGGTGGACTTGACTACCTTGACACCATGAACAGCAATTTCACGCTTGACAGATTCAACCAAGGATTCCAATTGATCCACCACAACCACACCAGTTTGAGAGAGAGCATGGATAGGAGCAGCAATCGATTTCTTGATGATGATGGCTTGAGCTTCGTCAATCAAAGTAGGCAACAAGGGACCCTGAGTGTCACTGATGCGAACATGAGAAGCATCACGAACAGTAAAGACTTGAGCATTCTTACCCTCATCTACCTTCTTTTGAGCGTAGGCCAAAGCAGCTTGTTCATCACCGACCAAGATAAATTGTTCTGAACCAGCAGAGACATGAACATGCACAGGAGTTAAATCAGCGACTTGGAACTTGCGATCCTCATCAGACTTTGCAAAGACAGCCACAACTTGACCAGCCGTCAAATCTGCATCCTCTACACCGTATTGTCCACTCACGATCTCCACGGCATTTTCACCAGCTGTTTGATAAGCAGCAGTGACATCCAAAAACAAGGGGTTCCAGAGGTTGGTGAAATCCACACAAGGTTCCAAGACAGTCACACGCTTAACAGAGGCAGGCAAAGACTTTAACAAATCAGCATCGGACAAGGGACGATACAATCTGATCTTGAGCACACCAATCTTGTTATCCTTACCGACAGTAGCTTGCACGGTCTTTTCGGCCACAGTTGCACCAGCACCCATAGCTACTACCACATGTTCTGCTTCGGGATGACCTGTATATTCCAAAGGAGAGTATTGACGACCTGTCAAAGTGGCAAATTGAAGCATGGCATCTTGAACAGAAGCATAGACATCCTTCTTTGACTCTGATTCGTCCTTTTGTTTATATTGAATATAAGCGGATTGCACTGGTTCGATTTGATGTTGTTTGTACTGTTCCAACTCCTCTGAAGAGATCAATTGAGCCAAGACAGCAGGGCTGACTAATTCGATGGTAGCATATTCTTGAGCGATACGCTTTGAATCAAAAAAGTGCAAGACGGGTGTATGCGACTTGATGGCGACAATATGAGCAATGATGGCCAAATCATGAGCTTCTTGAACGGTAGAAGAACTCAACAAGGTGAAACCACTTTGACGAACAGCCATGACTTTGGTGAAATCGGCCAAAGCGGATTTGGCATTTTCGGCAGCGACGTGAAGAACGACACCGGATTGTTGCGAGGCCAACTTGTAGAGTTGAGGGATAGCAGCAATTAAGGAATCGGCAGAGACAAGTGCTGCAGCATGAACACCGTGTTGCAGTTGATTGAAAAGGAGTTCACCATTATCTTCCTTGACAGTCGTCCTTGTTTGATTTCCCCAAATATTACTAATGTCTTGTGTTGTCTTGACATTTTTGTAGGTATAGACGTGTTCACTCAATCCTTGAGAGGCTGTAAGCGCAGCTTTTTCACCAGTGAAAAGCATGATTTATATAATATAGTTTCCTTTATGAAGAATAAATAAAAAAAAAGTGGGGATTGGTATTTGAGAAGATCTCTTTTTTTTTATATGTGTGTATATATATATATAAAAAAAAAAAGAGACGTACACAAAAAAGAAATGTATGAAGAAAAAGATATAAACTAAAAAAAGAAAAAAAAAAAATAGATGCGTTTTTTTGTTATATACCATAAAAAAATTAAAATGACCCCCCGCTATATCTGCCAATATGTCGTATATGCCCTTTATTTGCGAACATTGCGTCTTATAGCACACAATTTCCTCATTGCCTCATTGGTTCAATCAAACTCCGTCTGACTCAATCTCATCATTTTTGCCCTGTTTGAAAAAAAAATTAAAAAAAAAAAAAAGTTCATCCATCAATTTGAGTCATCTATGTACATGTGTGTATATGTGTGGGGAATAGAGAGTGGCAAATAAACCTACTCTTTTTTTTATATATATATGTGTGTATATATAAATTATTTATGTAAGGTGGATTCATCAAAAATCATCATACTACTTCCACTACTACTGGTTGTCATGTAACTGATTCTATTCTTGTGTGGTTCCTGACCAATCATATCCTGCTGAATCTTCCGATGGGCCATATAACCTCCAGCAGCATGTCCACTTAAATTCAAGCGATCCAATAAGGTATGATATAGGAATTTGAATGCCCAAATATTACCTCGCGTACGCTTGATATCTACCACATATAATCCAGGCAAATTTTCAATTTTAGATAATTCAACACTAAATTGCACTTCCTCTCCATTATCAATCCCCTGTTCTCCATATATAACCTCTCTTTCGACGACCACCGTCGATTCTTTTGTCGTTGTGGATGTGGGTATGGTGGATGAGGTAAAAAATAATTTAAAAGGTACTGCACTGATCTTTCGTGTTCTCTTGGTGGTGACAGGAGCTCGTTTTCGCATCGGTCGTATACATTTTAATTTGAAATCGTTCGTCCTCTTCATCTCAATACCCATGGATTGTAACGATTCCTTGATCGTCAATAGCACCTCATTGGGTGCTTTACTAGTGAGCGCATCTTGATCTACAGCGCCTCGGTGTAATCGGAGTTTTGAGTCGTTGAAATCAGCTGCATACGAACCCAGTGGCTTACCGATCGACATGGCTCGCACAGGATTCGTGGTGGGTATTGTGACGGTTGGAACTGCGCTGGCCGGTCTGTCTGGCATTCCACCGCCAGCACGGTTTGACTTGTTAAACATGGTGCTTTGTGAAATGGAAGGTCGACGTTTATTAAACCAATCCATGAGTTTCTGTCGACTTGTCTTGACGACCTGTTGTTGTGGGTCCACACGTTCGGATACAGAAGGCAGGATATGTACAGGTAAAGGAGGCGAATAACGGTAATTTTCACTGGTAGTTCTTTCTCTATTGGATGATGATGGCTGCTGTACACTTTGAGAACGATTGGGTATTTTGTTGAATGGCACACTTTGTGGTATTGGTGGAGATGGAGATGACTGATTTAGGGTTGAGATGAATTTGGCTTGCAAGAAAGAAGGAGAAGGGGACGGTTGGTGATCCCGAGATTCCGGTATCCGTGCGTGTAAGGGTATGATAGTGTCTTTCTGAGTGACGACGGGCCGAGCGTCCAAGGTCATGTGTGGTTCTTCTAGTAAAAGCCAATCTTCGTCTAAAAGGTCTCTATGGTCAGACAACCAAGGATGTGCTCTGATTTGATCTACGGTGCATCTTTTGGTTGGGTCAGGCACCAACATAAGACGTAAGAGGTCGGTGGCGTGTTCACTGGCATGTTTCGGTATTTCAAGTGGAGTACTGAGGATATATTTGTACAACACATTAATATTGGCACCCTGAGGGTTACTTGGATCATCATCAAACGGTAAATAACCACACAACATAGCAAATAAGATGACTCCACATGACCAAATATCTACAGCTGTACCCACATAGTTATTTTCATCGTTAATGACTAATTCCGGTGCAGCGTAACAAGGTGAGCCACACGATGTAGCCATCAAATCTTCTTGCGCAACACTAAATCGGTTGGCGAACCCGAAATCCGTAATAATAATATCACGGTCCTTACTGAGTAACAGATTTTCCTAATTTTGAACCATCATAAATATAACATGATTTTTTTTTCTGCTTTTTGTTATTCACTTACTAGCTTGAGATCTCGATGCACAATATGTTTTTGATGCATGTAATGCACTCCACTGATTAACTGTGCGAATAATCGCTTGGCCTCCACTTCTTGCAAATAGTGATGCTTTAATATATAATCAAACAGCTCTCCACCTGTTTAAGAAAAAGAGAAAAAAAAAATTAATACAAAAAAGAAATAAACTAGTTTCTTGTATTACCTGCTGCACGTTGTAATACAATTCCAATGTAATTTTTAATTGTTAATACTTCAAATAACTTTACGATATAAGGATGACGGACCGACTACATATCAAGATCAATATCATCATCATCAACATCATCATCAGCAGCAGCAGAATTAAATGCACTCCTGTCGTCCCTACCTTTAATACAGATATCTCTCGTTCTAGTTTAGTCTCTAGTGAAGCGTGTCGAATATGATCCTTTCTCATTAATTTAATCGCCACCTATTTAAATGAAAAAAAAAAAGTTAATAATACTAACAAAGCGAAAAATGTATCTGTATAAAATTACCTCTTGATTGGTTTGGACATGAACACCGGATTTGACTTTGGCAAACTCTCCTTCTCCCAGAGTGTGTAAGAGTAAATAAGGACCAAAATAGGATGGCGTTCTATGTTTAGGTTCATAGCCGTATTTCTTATACACTTGCTGATACCATTCTTGTCGTTCTATAGGTTCTGTCAAAGGTGTGGACATGGCGCGTTGTTGATGAGTCACTTCGGGTGGTGTCATGGAAAATAAAATGATTATGTGAAATGAGAGAAGAAAAGTGAAATAATAAAAACTTTTTTTTTTTTTTTTTTTTTATTGCCAGAATATAAACGTGACAAACAAGGGGTAAAAAAAAAAAAAAAAATTGGTCACACATATTAAAAAGAGTTATCTATTTATACAACACAACCAAACTTCTTTTTTTTTTTTTTTTTTATTTTTTTGTTCAAACTTTTTTTTCTTACCAGAGAATTTAAAATGATGCTCTGTGTTTATCTAATAGTGCACGTTGTTCCTCCTAAAAATATGTAGATTAGCATTTTTCTTGATTTTTTGATTTCATTTTTTTTTTTTTTTTTTTTTTTGCATGAATTTTCTCTTTTCTCTCTCTATTTTTACCGGTGAAATTTCGTTATTGTTATAAATTAAAATGACCTTGGACGCCTTCTTTTTCTGAAGTTTATCTACAGGTGGTGAGGGTGAAGTGATAGGAGGAGGTGGAGGGGGAGTCACTTCACGAACCACAGACGTATTCTGAACAGCAACGGCAGGTGTACTAGGTGTATGTAGAGTCGGAGGAGGAGGAAGGGCAGACGAAAGATGAGGAGGAGGAGGCACACCAACGGTATTGGCACTGGTAGTCACCGGTGTTGTGGTTGCCACAACCGGTGTGGGTGCTGTCATGTATGGTTGATATCCCCAACCCTGTTGCTGTGGTGGTAACGGTGGTGGTGGGATCCTACATTATTTCATAATAGTGATATACTTGTTTAAAATTCCGGGTAAAAAATTGGCACATTTACCTTTTTAAAGATATAAATATAAGAAACTTACCCAGCCGGTGATGCATGATAACCAAAATTCGCTTGTGCTGATGTGGGGTATTGTTGTTGTTGTTGTTGTTGTTGCTGAGGAGGTGGAGGGGGTGGAGGTGGATAATAAGCATTACTATACGCTGCCCCATAAGCACCACCACCAGCGGCAGCAGTATAACCTCCATACCCATAATACTGTTGTTGCTGTGCTGTTGCTGTTACTGCTGCCGCTGTAGGTAAGGGTGGATAAGTGACGGCTGCGGCTGCTACTGCGGTAGGTATAACAGAAGAAGCTGTGTTCATAGTAGGCGAAATGGCTGTTGTACCTGCCTTATGGGCAGCCATTTGTTGTTGCAACTGTTCCAACGAAAGTTCGCCGTAATGTCCAGAACCCGTTGCCTTTGGTTTTTTATTCCCGTTTTGATTATTGGCTTGAATTCGAAGTTCATGTTCAATCATGTCTTGTTCTGGTATACCCTCCATTCCAAAGATCTCAATGTCTAAATTATCTCGACCTCGAATAGCATTAGGTACTCTAATAACGTTTGCAGGTGAGTATTTTTTAAGTTTTTTCTTTCTTTGGTGAATCATTTAAAAAAAATTTTTTTTTTTACTTGTAGATATTAATCTTGTGTACTTGTTGAGAATGAACCACCATACCACCTGCGGTAGCTAATACATACATGTCAATACAATGTCAATTACCAAGAGTTGGATAGACTTACTTAATTTCTTGTTACACTCTTCACATTTAAAATGTTTAGCCTTTTTAAGTTTTATTTTTTTTTATTTTTTAAATTAGCTCTTAATTTTTTTTTTTTTTTTCCCGTGTCCAATCATGCTTTTACCCGTTGATGAGTGACAAGCACCTTGTCATCCTCGAAATCTTTTTCGCAATACCAACACCATGGTCTCATGGGCTTTGACTTTCTTTTTTTACCCATTTACGTTTATCTAATTTAGATTAAGGGAAAAATAAATAGCTCACTGAGAAAAAAAAAAAAAAAAAAAAAAGAAGTAAGACGCGACAATTTGGGGTGTACCCTAAAGAAGAATGACGTAGTCGACGGAGTATGAATAAAAAGGTGTCAATCTTTTTGGTTGTCGTATCAATGAGAGAAAAAAAAAAGGTTAATACCAAGGTTGCATCATGTACATAAATAAGGAGGGGAACAAAGATATAAAAAAGAGGCTGTATATTAATTACAACGAGAACCGTTGGTTAGATTTCCAAAGTTGGGTGACAGGTATAAATAAAAATGTATCTATTTTGGAGATACTTATTATAGTTACATTATCGCGACAAAAAAAAAAAAAAAAAAAAAAGTTTGGGGATGTATGTGCTGTGCATTGTCAGTAGATGCAGATGAAACGAATGAAAGAATGGATTTGCATTTTTTGTGATGTATTATTAGTATATTTGTTGTTGTTCTCCTATTCTTTATAACACTATCCCCCTTTTTCATTAATGAAATTTTGACTAGTTTTATCCTATGTAACAAATGTCAATAAATACCTACTCAGTACTTTCACTGACAGTCTGTCGTTTTTGGGTTCCATTTGATATACTTTTCATTTACTTTATCACGTGATTGAAAGAATAAAGCCAGCACGTGCATCTAAAGAAAAAAAGCTTACGGTCAGCATGTAAGCCCCCGGGACAGGTGTTTCTATCATAAGTAAAGGCTCAAACATTTATTGTTATTGGTATGATTAACTAATTAATATATCGTCCCGTCAATCCTGTAAATAAAACTCGTTCACACACTTTAAGGTTCATCTTTTATGAAAGAAAATAATCGTGCTAAACTATGACATTTAATTTGTGCAGGGTATATATTACGACTGCGGCTAGTATTATTGCTGAGGGATGGGAGAGAGAGAGAGAGAGAGAGAGAGAGAGAGAGAGAGAGAGGGGGGGTCTCCCAAGTTGGATTTCCAACTTTAGGGCTGGTAGGTTTACATTATTTGTAATAGGCTGCACGATTCTAAAAAGAGGTTTCTGCTGCTCCCGGACAGGCAAAGTAGTAGAAGTAGTAGTAGTAGTAGTAGGTGCAAAACATATAAACCAGCATAACTTGCTGATATCTTCTTTTTAACTTGGTCCAACATTTAGATAAAAGCTCGTATGTTGCCAGTATGTCAGAAGGAGAGATTGTAAAACACTTGAGTAAGCCCGTAAAAGTCATTCGTAATAGTTAAACTTCAAAACATTCACGTGTTACGTATAACGAGCTGTCCAACTTTATCCTAAATTTCTGATATCGTCATAAAGTGTATTTGATGAGTCTAAACACTGTTCAGCTCACACTATATGCGCTGTATAGCTTAAATTGATGTTTATTAGTTGTGTTTATGTGTGGCGGATACCTGATAAATCCTTCAGATTAAGTGTCTATTGACAATATCAGTATGGTTTATGTTAAACCCTTCATAATCTGACAATAGAAAAAAAAAAGTAATAGCCTGCATTTACTCAGCAAAAACAAAAATGCAGTTAAATCATTTATATTTTCCCCTTAATCAATTATACTCGAGTGACAAGCAACGACAAATTCCTGTTTATTCAAAAAATTCTAATCAGCTTCGTAGGAGAAATGTTTTATGATTTGGCTTGTCAAAAAAAAAGTTTTTTTCTGGGCTGGGAATGCTATCTATCTTTTTTTTTTTTTTTTTTCAAAGTTTAAATTGTTTTGGATCCGCGTGAGAGATGATGGTCCAAAAAACCACAAAGGACAAGTGAAAGTGATAGCTACTTGTTTCTCCAAAAATATAGTTCAGCCTTTTTTATAAAAGTCGTCACATAAACAAGAGAGAGAGAGAGAGACCAATTGGGTTTCAAACACATGATCAAATGGTGCTCATCTCAAACGTTTTCAAATTGACAGTGAGTAACTACTGTACTTCAAATTTTGCCAACTAAAAAAAGCACATTACACACACTTTTTTTTTTTGCTTTCTTTCTTTTTTTTTTTTTTTTTTTGACTCTCGTAATATTTTGGTCATAACATAAACAAGTAAACAAACTGTTACATCTTTTGTTATATAATTTTTTTATGCATAACCCCTTTTTTTATTCCAATATTTGATTATAAAAAGAGCCCTAGTCTGTTTATCCTTCTTTTTTTTCTTTTTTTTTTTTTTTTTTTAATATCTATTTTTGACATTGACAAGACATATTAAAAAAAAAAAAAAAAAAAAAAAAAAAATCCAAAAATCCAAAATGAGTGTAAGTAAAGATGTTTGTAATGAATAGAGAATGAATACTAAAATAGATAACAACAGTGCCGTATGTTTAAACCTGTCATCCTATTCCACGACCATAGCTACAGTTCAGACCCATCTTCGGGTGTAACGCATCGTATTCATATTCCTTATGGAGATCCTTACTATACTCCGCTTATTCAAAAGAAGAAGCACAAGGTGGGACTGATGCTAAAATCAAATGGAAGAGCATGGTACGATATCATCCAGCACAGTCGCTCCCCTTTCACAAGGAGTCCGGATATGCCAATCTTATTAAACAAACCTTCCCGTGTGAAACAGGTTTTGAGAGAGCCAACCGTCGAATCTGACAACAATAGTATCATTAGTACTTGTTCCTCTTCTTCTAGCTGTTCTTCATCGAATAGTGATAGCAGCAGTAGTACTCCCATACCAACTACTCTCATCACACGCAAGCGTCGAGGTAATCTTCCCAAAATAGTCACGGCCGTATTGAAACAATGGCTTATTGATCACTGCCGTAACCCATATCCTACCGAAGTCGAGAAAACTTGTTTAAAAGACAAGACCGGTCTGACTTTGAATCAGATCAGTAATTGGTTTATTAATGCAAGAAGAAGATTGTTACCACAGATCTTGGATACCCTTCATCCTCATCACACAGAGATGCATCACATCTCTTCCAATACAGAGCAGACACCCAAAAAGAGAAAACGCTCCCGCATGAGCTACTTTTACAACAAGGGTAAAGTTTTCCCAACTTTCATCTATTATTAAAAACTCTGATAAATTAAAACTTATATCTCTTTAGATTTATCTTCTGTACTTCATGAACAGGAGCCAACCACCGTCGTGAGAAGAAGAAGACGTTATAACAAGCGATCTGTCACCCAAGTGTAAAAAAAAAAAAAAAAATTATACATAAAACACACACACACACACTCTCTTTCCCCCCAACCCCTCTTTTTTTTTTTTTTTTTTTACTCCCTCTCTCGTAAATAAAAACCCCGGTCAAATTTGTAATCGTTTTATTATTATTATTTTCCATGGCGTGTTTAAAACAATCCTTCCTGATTGTATCAAGTCATTCAAAAAGGGTAATCCAACCACGTGTGTGAGTGTGTGAAAACTATATATACGTGTTTGTGAATGTGATCTTTTTTAGTACATGATGGATTGGAGTTAGTAGACAGTGAGAGTGAGAAAGGGCGCAGTGTCCAAGTTTTATTTCCATGTTTGGTTAAATCACTTTTTTTTTTACACCCGCGCTGCGTCTTTCTGCTTTAAACAGTCATGATGGATAAATGCAAACCTCGACCTGTGGCGTTCATTAACACGAACTTTTATAGAGACAGGCGTTTAAATAAATACTCAGACACTCATAACAAGTGTTTTCTAACCCATCATTTTGATATATCTTTTTTTTTTTTTCATTTCGAGCTTCACTGCTTGGAGACAGGAACGACACTGCAGAATATTCACGTATAAAATAAAAAAAAAAAAAATTGTCATCTTGACACAACAATTCGATTTTACTGACGGCTCGAGATCGATTTTTTTTATATATATGGTGTGGCTCAGTTGATCTTTACTCATCAAAGAAAGTGGTAAAGGAACCCCTTAAGAGTAAAAAGGTGTACATTTTTTCAAGACTGATATATTAAAAAGATCACAAGCCTTTATACTTATGTCAAACCTTCTTTTAATAATAGGCTAGTCTTTGCCCAAAAATAGTTACAATACAATTTGTCAAGAATGAGGCTAGATGTACAACTTTTTTTTTGTTTGTTTCGGAACTGCCGTCCCTCGGTAGTTGTCATGACAACCCAACTCTGAAGTCTACTTACACACATCTAAAAAAAAAAAAGCCTTGTGTCTGTGTCTTCCTATGCATACATTTCACTTGTCATCGCTTTTTTTTTTTAAAAAAAAAAAAAAATCAAACGATAAACAGTTGTGGGTAGATTTATATATATATATATGAATCAATTAACATTTGTAAATATAGAGCTTATCTAATTGTTTAAAGTGTGATTGATTAAATAATCAGTGATCCCGCCATCATGGACAAATGAACTTGTTTATCATAACGTGCGATTTGTATGATCCAAACTTTATGTTCTTTTTTCCTCTCCCGAAACCATGACTGGGTTGTTGCAAAAAGTCTAAACGTGTTCATGCTACTCTCTCAAAGGTCCACTTTTTGAGAAAAGGGTGTGGTGTGATGGGGGGGGGGGAAGTATTCATACTCAGCCTAAGAGATTTTTTTTTTTTGAAATGTCACCTATGTTAGCAATGCATCATTAGGAAGTATTTTTTAGAGTGATATCTCGTCTAGATATAGATAAGAGTCTTTTGTGTTGAATATGATTTGAATTCCTATCAACAATTAAAGCGGGAACCTCGGGATTTAACTACTTTTTGATGTAGACCCGGGAAGTAAAGTTTAAAGATGTAATTTACTTATCTCATGTCTACTGCCAAAGCGAAGCAAAGAGAAGTTCAACAAAGCATTTAGTAAATAGTAAATTCTTTTCTTTAGCTGTTCAAACGAACCAATTGCTGTCATTTACTGCTTTTTTTTTTTTTTTTTTACTTAAAATCAAAAACACAATCCAAGTGTTTAATTATACATGTCACTGTAGCATTTTCTTATAGACAACCCCCAAAAAAAAAATCCTACTTTTTTTTTTAGATGACTTCATTTTGGATGATTGCAAGACGAGAAGGTTTCTAGCTAAAATCATTCTTTTAATACAATCTTACTGCAAAAAGCCATTGATAGTTTAGCAAGTCTTTTTTTCATTGCAATTTAGCCGAAAGGGAGATATTAAATTTGCTTCATAGATGACTCGTTGTATACTTGTATATTCATATGATCTATCTCTGTCTTAACCTTTCATGTTACTACACTTAGACCGAATACCTAGAAAAAAAAAGAATTCTTTTAACTAAATCAGTCTATATCAACTGCGCTCAATCAGATTGATAATCAACATTTAATTATATATATATTATATATATAAAAGGGCAGCTACTGACTATTCCTTTTTTAAAATAATGGAAAATTCCAACTGATTACAAATCCAGAGCGTCTTGTCTATCATTTCACTATATTTACTTTTTCTAGGTATTATTCATTTTGTTTTAAGGTTTTCTCAAGAGAATAAAGATTCGAACAGAGAGAGAGAGTGAGAGCTTTAGTAGGACCCTTTTTTTTTTTTTTTTTTTTTTTTTTTCACTGACTCGGGACGGGTGTATTCTGACTACAGCTGTGTGTGTGTGTGTTTTTGGGAGACCTTACTGCTTTAGGTTTGGGGAAAGGGGAGGTTATGATTTCAATCACGGATATAGTAAAGTAAACGTGTAGACAAAATGTCCAAGTAATAAAAAATGTATGTAGACACACGTATAAACTTTTTTTACCGGCGAACTGAGCGGTAACAGATTTAAAAAAAGAGGGTCGTGTGTGTGTGTGGGGGGGGTAGCTCTAGAACGGGCCTATAGGAAGTACATCACTTCTACATCATCCTCCTTAACATCATCGACTGAAACCGTTGACAAGTTTTGAAAATAAAGTTTACAATACCACTATTACTGATGTCAAGGCAAGGAGCCGGAACTTCTTAAAAAGTGAATAAAAGAAAAAAAAAAGGTTTCCAATCCCCGCATATAATGCAGATGAACAAAAAAAGAAAGTACCGCAATGCTGATGGTGATAATGATACTTATCTTTGAGACAAATATGATAAAAGGTTGAGAGAAAGAGAGAGAAAGGGAAAATTCTTAATTAGGACTCCTTGTAAGAAGATAAAAACCCCGATTGTAAAAATCCATGGCGTGTTTAAAACAAGCATCCAAAAAGTCAATTGAAAAAAAAAAAGAAAAAGGCAATTGCAGCACGTGTGTGTTTATTGTAATATGCTAAAAATGCGTGTGTGAAAGACAGAGAGAAAGAGATGGGAGATGAATACACAAGATGTTCTCTTTTGTAAATTATGGATTGGAGAGAAAAAAAAAAACAGTCGAGGCGCAATGTCCAAGTGTTTTTTCCATCTTTGGTTAAAACGTATGGGGGATGGAGGGAAACATTTTTTTTTTCCCGCTGTTTTTAATTAGAAAAGGTTGAGAGAGAGAGAGTGGGAACATTTTTTTGTTGTGTGTATAGTTTTTTTTTTTATGTGTTTATTTTTTCCTATAAATATACTAATTTTGGGAGTATCTTACCCTTTCTCCTCCTTCTTGTTTAAAACTTTTTCTTTCTTTTTTTTTTTAAAAAAATAAAATAAAAACCCTTATTATTACACAATGATGACGGATATGCAGCATCGACGTGTGGCGTTAATTAAACGACCCCCACTTGTACGTTCTTCATCGCCAGCGACATGTTATCAAAGTCAGAGTCGAAAGCCAAAGAAATCTGTGCGTTTTTGTGATTCATTGGAGAGTGTACGACTCTTTTTAAAAACAGATGAGCCCCAAGCCTGTCAATCGGACCCTTCATCGCCGGTTGTCTATACATACGGATTACGCCTGCCGAATTGGCCTTCTTCAGTTGATGTAAATACCCCCGCTGTACGCATGGAAGGGGTGTCATTGGTAGACAAACATACATTAAACGGTACATGCACCGTAGCCAATCTTGCGTTTGAAAAGCATGTCAGTCTACACTATAGCTTGGATGATTGGGTGACAGTACAACAAGTCAATGCCGTTTATAAGGAGCCGATAGCACATAGTGCACATACATGGGATCGATTTAGTTTCAAGATTGTTTTGGATGCATGTCATGAGACGACCACCATGTATTTGGCTGTAAAATATGCGGTGGCCGGTCGTATATTTTGGGATAATAACCATGGCAACAATTATACGGCTAAAATCATACCCAAGGCGCAATTGAACGACGAAGATTCTTGTTGTTCCTCTTCAGACTCAGATGAAGAAGAAGAAGAAGAGGAAGAACAGATGAAGCATGCAATTTCATTACCTTCTATTGTAAAGCCTCTCCTTTCTCCACCTTTATCTCCTACAACGCCAGTAGATATGAACCCCTTATGGTCTATCCGTCATCCACATCAACATCATCAACATTCAGTCAAACCCATCCATTACATTCATTCATTGTAGCATATTCCATTTGTGTACATTTTGTTATTTTTACAAAATAAAAAAAATTATATATTATCCCACACAACAATGACGTTTAAAATAACAATTAAAAATGTCTGGTGAGAATTTTTCTTCTTAATAAAAAAAAAAAAAAAAAATGTTTATCTGTTGTATCACTTTCCCACCCCAAAAAAAAAAAAGAAAAAGAAATCTAATCTTCTAAGGAGGGAGCAGGATTGATATTAGGTCTGGCACCTTTAGGTAAAGAAGCAACTTTTTTAGCCATGGCTTGTTTGCGACGTAAAGCAGCGGGTACAAAACCGAGTAATTCCTTTTGAAGATCACGAAGTTGAGGTTCCGCAGATATGGTCGGTGCAACAGCAGCTGACAAATTTTCTTCTTTCGGTTGTTGTTCATAGTGTACCGGTTTCGAAACATCTAAGTATAGATTTGGTTATGTTAGCCTTATTTCTTTCGTTCTCTCTCTCTCTCTGATAAAAACTTACATGTCGGTTGTTGAACGGGAGGTTGGTACACGGGTTGATAGACGGGTTGATGCTGATAGATAGGTTGTTGGTACACGGGTGGATAGTACATAGGTTGTTGTGGAGGAGGTGGTGGTGGTGGTGGAATACGACCACCGGGAGTATAGACAACAGCGTGAGGAGGACCTCCAGGTGGTGGAGGAGGAGGCATTCTACCCACTGGTGTAAATTGCTGCTCAAAAGGTCTTAAAGGAGGAGGACCTGGTGGTAACGGGATCTCATATTCATCATCCGATTCTGTCAAAATCTTTGGTATTTCCTCCCCCGAGGGCAGAGCAATTTCATTATCACTCTCCTCCAACATATCCGAGTCTGAGTCATCCTCACTATCAGATGAAGAAGAAGATGATGATTCAGATCCACTGTGTGTTGACAAGGAAGATACTTTCTTCTCTTTGTTGTTGTTATGAAATCTAGTTAGTCTTATTGATACAATTTAATATAGGGTAAAAGTTACCTTTGACTTTAGCGGGAACAAATTTACCGCTCTTGGGATCAAACACTAATTTTCTAGCTTCCTTTTCCGTCTTTTTCTCGTTTTCTTGCATGCGTGCAGCATACGCCGCTTGTGCTCTTTTTTTTTTTTTTATATTATATATTAGTTCTAGCCTTTTTCACACATCCAAATTATTTTTTTTTACCCTGTTAACTCTGTGGCCTAACATGCCAAAAAAAAAAAAAAGTTGAGTTTATTTTAACTTTTTTTGCATAAAAGTTTTTTTTTTTTACCTTTTTCGCTTTTTCAATCTTGCCGACTTCAGTTTTTAATTCATCAAGACGTGCCTGACCAATCCTATCCAACTGTCCCTGTGCAGCTTTTTTTTTTTTTTTATATGAGTATAAAAATGCGAGTAAAAAAAAAAAAACCAAATTCATTCTACATACCCAAATGCTCTAGTCTGGCAATATCTTGTCTCACTTTGCCAACATCCTTTTTCGCTAATACATTCTCACGCAAATTCTTTCTCGTCTCTTTATTCTAAAAACATTCACATTAGTCTTAATTTCTTTTTTTTTTTTTCTTGTCATGATTCATTCTTTTTTTACCTTTTTAAGTTCTCGCTTACGTTGCTTCTTACCTAACAATGAAAGAGAGCCATGAATAAACAAAGGTGATGAAAATAACTTTAACAAAAAAAAAAAAAAACTTACGCAACTCGTCTGCGGGATTCATCGATCGTTTTGATTTCGCCATGACTGTTTTATAATTGTCTGTTTTGAGTAAAGCAAAAAACTACAAAAAAAAAAAATAAAAAATAGGGTAAGGAACTCAGAGTGAGGGTTTTGGGAAAAGGACTGTTTCTTTTCAAACTCCGGTCCCTCTGTCTGCCCCCATCAGTGCAAAATAAAAAAAAAAAAAAAAGAGCTGTCATTGTTGCATGAAACTGCCCGGACAAAAATCATGCGCTTTTGTGTTATGTGTTTTACATCATTTACAAAAAAAAAAAAAAAAAAAAAAACCTGTTTGAAAACAACACATGACAGGAGATCTTTTTTTCTTCTGAAATATAGCTGTAAAAGGTAAAAGACAAACAACTGGGTTTTGTATTGCGGAATGAGGATGGGAAGAAAGTGAGAAAAGGGAAAGGGCGTAATTTTTTTGTTTATGAGGATGGGTGGGCGTTTTTATTATTATTTCACACGCCATTTTTCGATAGACTCTCACACCCGATCACCCCGGTTGCTTTAAAAGATTCATGCAAAATAGAAACAAGGTGGTGTGATTTATCTGTGAACGAAAAGGTAAAAAAAAAAAAAAAAAAAATATAAATAACACTACGACTTGTATAGCCATCTTCTTCTTCTTTACATCATATAATTTAAAAGATGGACTCACAATACCCAGTTGAAGAAGACTTTAACAATGCCGTGGATTCTTACTCTGTCACGGTCAATGGCTTTATTTTCTGTACCCGTCATGGTTTAGAAGTCTGTGAGAAATGTCCAACGGATAACCGGTCCTCCAATAACATGGTGGTCGAAGACATGCTTCATGAAAGACTGACAGAGGATGAATACTCTACTAAATGGAAAGGGGATGAAAGAGATCCCTTCACCATTGCTCATAAATGGACTCGCGTGTCCAAGGGAAAACCAGGTTGTGTCGCTCATAAAACCGTTGCTTGTGAAGAGTGTTTTAATTGGGGTGAACAACTCTATCGCGGTATTCATGGTAACCGCAAGACCAGGGTCTCTCGTCTTCATCGCAAGAGTAAAGACCATACCTCCGATCGACTCGAGTAGTCTCTCTTTTTCTCTCTCTTTCTTATTTCATCTCTGTATAATTTTTTTTTTCTCTTTTTTACCCTTCCTTTTTTCTCTTTTTTCATATATAAAAATAAAAATAAAAAGACACATTTTACATACACGTTAGTTTATTCAATGCATTGAGGCCCAATCGCTCAAGCTTGGTCTCGATATGCTGGGCCAATTGAGTTTTTCCCATGGCCTCATAAGAACTTTTTAATTGCTCATAGGCCGCTCGCAGCGGACCGCACACGGAAGAGTCATGTTGCACAAGCTTTTCCCAAATCTTGACACTCCTTAGCAGTGCGTGCTCACACACAACATATTGACCCGTCTTGTAGTAAGCGTCAGCTAACTGTGCCTGCGCATCCGCTTGCACTCGACGCAATTGTTCGCATTGTTGTTTGTAATGGGAACCCTTCTTCTCCAATTGTTGATTCTCTAGGATCTGCACTATTTTGGCTAAATAAGGGATAGAACCTGCTACGTCTCCACTCGATTGAAGTTGGCTTGACACTTGAGTGAGAACTTGTAATTCCACCAGATTGGCGGGATTCACACTGCTTGAATGAAGGGCTTGAGGTGCAGGTGGCATTGTGACTGGGTTGGAAGGAAAACAAAAGAGAGAATGAGAGAGTGAGAGAAAGAAAGATAGAGAGGACTTTCTTTTTATTTATTTTTTTTAAAAAAAAAAAAATTCATATCATACACACAATGTCAAAGGACGTCAATCAGTTTAAATCACCAGTACCTGGACTTGATTATGATTTAGAAGGACCTACTGCCGATCATTTAATAGATACTTCAGAATGGGACACAAAATCTGTTTATACTCATATTCATGCCTTACAGGACGAATGGGAAGTTGTCGATGTCAGGTAAGAATTCTACCCCACCCCCAAAGAAATATGTTTTTTTTAAAAAACAATTGACTTGATCATGTAGTGAAGCAACACCTTATTTACCGAAACGAAAGACTCCTTTACCTGTGATAGTGGGTATTGATGAAAAAAAGGAATATGACCTAGGAACCTTTGAACATATCAAGCTTTGTAAGTTTTTTTTTTTTTTTTTTTTTTTTTTTTCCCCTTTTACGTGTGTTACTTTTTTATTTATATATAAAATAATACAAAACTAACGCGCGCGCGGGCGGCACAAAAACCAACAACTAGCTGAACAATTAAAGTACAAGAAGGGTTATGTGATTAATACAGGTATTAATATATGGGGACTGGATTTCGTGCCAAAGACACCCGTGATGGAAGAAGAGGACAGCAAGATACAATACCTAGCTGTCACAGGCTATCGTGGGTCCACAGAAGAACATATTGGTATTGGTGATATTCAACCCACGGGTACCTATAAAAACGCTATTCAGATCTGGAAATTGAGTCTCTCTGTGCATGAACAGGTAGACCCCGTACTGGATATGTGTTTATTACATGATTTTGGTGTGATATTTGACCTTAAGTGGTGTCCCTATGGTACCTATCAAGAGAAAGAAAAAGATGGGTTAGGTAAGTTGGGTATTCTCTCTTTTACCTGTGGCGATAATACAGTGAGAACATTGGTCGTGCCTCATCCCGATGGTGTTAGAAGACACATGTTATCTCAGCCTAATGCATCGACTATCTACCGTAAGTTGATCCACTGTATACAACTATTTCCTCCTTTTCTCATGCTTTCAACTCTTTTTAAAAAAAAAAAAGTGAAGGTCAAATCACCAAGAGTGACGCTTGGTATAGCTAGTAGCCAACCACTATTTATTGCATGGGGAGGCCACAAGAAACTCGCGGTGGGGTGCTCCACAGGCAGTGTGATTGTATGGGACATGGCATCGATACTTCGTGACAACGAACGTAGAGATGCACAAGAGACGCGGGTGGATATATTACTGTCGATGCTTGTACTCGATGCAGCCGTATCCAGTGTAATTTTTAACGGCCGATACAAGGCTGATAAGCTTGTGGTGACAGGATACGATGGACGTACGATGTTGGTGGATTTGAGTGATCCAACGATAGGGTATACGGTGATGCGATCGCGTAATTTGATGAAGGCGACGACATGGGCTTCCCATGCACCTTGCTTTGTATTCACGGATAATGATAATATTTCGCGTGCATTTGGCGTGAATGAGGATGGCACAACGCATATGAGCAAGTATGGAGATACACCAGGTATGTGTTGGCAAATGGCCTCGTCGGAACATCATGGGCAGTTTGCTTTATGTACTTCTGTGGGTTGGGTAAGAACAAGCAATTTATATTATGCCAAGATGAGAGCGCTGGTAAGTTATTTTGGAGGAGGAGGATTTTTTTGTTTTGTTTTGTACTTAAGAATATTGGAGTAGTTCTTATCGCAGGTGTGTGTTTACAAGTTGGAATACTCGGAAGAAACACATAAATTTAGATATTTGGATGGTATTCCATCACAGGTAAAAAGTAAAAAAAAAAAAAAAAAAAAAAAAAGATAAGGGAGAGAAAGAAGACTAAAACGATAAGGGGGTGGTGGCTCCCTTGTAAAATAACATAGACGATGGAGGATAGTAAGAAACTAACTTCGTATGAACAATATGGTGATTCCTTCCATGCGATCCAAAAGGTAAAGAATAGTTAAAAGAGAATAGTTTTGAAGCGTGAAGACTAATGTTATTTAAAAAAAAGCTTTCGTGGAATCCAAATAAGAAGACTTCAGCGTTTTTAGCTTCGGGTGGTGCAGCAGGATTGTGTAGAATAGAATTCGAAGGAAGAGGGTCTAAATGGGAATAAAATGGATAAAGGTTGAGGCAGATATGGATCGTCGAACTCCTCCCCCTTAAACATCGTGGGGAAAGTTTTTTTTTTTTTTTTTTTTTTTTTTTCTGAGTTTGGGGTTTCTTATCGACATATTAACCAATCGGTCTTTCTCTTTTATTTTATTTTTCTGGAAAATAAAAGGAATCCCCCGTCTTAATTTTCACTCCCTTTCTTTCTTCTTTAAAACACATTGATAATGACTGCTATAGAAACCTCTGTTCCTTATGGATCAACATTAGACGAGCCTAGAAACCAAGAAGATATCTTGATTGAACAAGAAGAATCAATTCAATTAGTGACAGAACTTCGTGCTTCAAACGACTGGGAAGAAGTCATTGCCTATGAACATCTTTCGCCTTCTGCCAGAGCTCATTCATTAACAGCTACTACCTTACGTGGTCAAGATATGATTGTAAGACGTCCCGTTAAATTCTTTAATAAGAATAAGACTGCTTGTGTCATGGCAATCTATTTCGGTGCAAATTTGTAAGCATCTTTTTATTTATTTATTTTACCCCTTTTTTTTTTTTGACATTTTATAATCTAGATGCGGTCATGATGGTGTGATTCATGGTGGTTTAGCAGCTACTGTCCTTGACGAAATGCTCGCCTATGTGGTACGTATATCTCTCTCTCTCTCTTCTTCTTGTTTTGACGTATGTAAAAAAAAAAAACTAACCTTATTCATAAAAAAAGACCATTCCTAGTCTACCAAATAAGTCCGGCTTTACAGCCAACCTCAATGTCAATTACCGTCGACCCATCTTTTCAGAACAATGGGTGATTGTCCATGGTGAATTAGAGAAATTAGAAGGTCGTAAGGCTTGGGGTAAAGCATGGATTGATACCATTGATAAGGAACCTGTCTTACTTACCGAAGCCACTGCTTTATATATCAGTCCTCGTACACAAGGTCCTATCACGGATTTCTAGATCTTTTTTTTTTTTTTTTTGTTATTCCCTTTCTATATACATATATATATATATAAACTTTTTTTTTTTTTGGTGCACAGCTTATAACCTGCTTGTTCTACATTTGAAATAAGATCGTGTAACCATTGTCGGCTGTCTTTAAACAAAAGAAGTGTGTGAAAAAAAAAAAAGGCAGTGAATTGATGTAATCTATAGTTTTTGACACATTTTTATTAGCTTTCGTTCTTGACTAAAAAAAACTAATACCATTGCCTTTCCTCATTGGCTGCTTGACATGACTTTCATAGTGCGCAAAGACCCGCCCCGAGATACTTCACTCTCAATTTTACCGAATGTTTGAAAACTCTTCCTACTTTTGTGAAAGTTTTTGCACACACTTTTAAAAGAAGCTAAACATTTCCCCCCCCAAGTAAATTACACCACTTGAAAGAAAAATAATTTGACCCAGACAAACCGATCACAAAGGGATCTTATTTTTTTTTTATATATTTGTGTAGATTCGTCAGATTGGATAATTGAAAGGACGGGATCTACAACAAAAGCAGGTATAAAGAGAGAGAAGTAAAGAGGATTATCTTTTATTGTATAAATGGTATAGGAGGGTCTTAAGGTTGACATTTCTATCTTTTGTAGCTCATACTAATAGAGGGTGATAGTGGTGAGGATGATGAGGTTGATGTGCTAGGTAGCGGTGGTCTTTCCAAACAGCTAAGGACCCAGGGAAGTGTCATTCTGATTTTGTGTTTTGTTGGATATGCAGCAACGAAATAATAATGAAACAACCTGCCTCATACATAAAGTTGTATCGGAGAAGCGTAACAAACTCCTTCACCCTATGTAGAAGGCCCTGTCAAAATGAAGTGATTATTTAATGGATTCACCCAAAATAGACCGTTTCAAGCCTGCATTTAATACAACTCGAAAGAGATTGTATCCAGGACGCCATGCACTGGAACAGCTGGTTGTTCATCTACGTCATCTTACTAACTAAGGCAAAAAAAAAAAAAAAGATAAGTCATCATTATTTATATAACTTTATAGCCAACTACCTACGAGCAACTATGCAGCAGCAAAAGAATAATGAAACAACCCTGCCTCATACATAAAGTTGTATCGGAGAAGCGTAACAAACTCCTTCACCCTATGCAGAAGGCCCTGTCAAAATGAAGTGATTATTTAATGGATTCACCCAAAATAGACCGTTTCAAGCCTGCATTTAATACAACTCGAAAGAGATTGTATCCAGGACGCCATGCACTGGAACAGTTGGTTGTTCATCTACGTCATCTTAAATCTACACGTTACTAACTAAGGCAAAAAAAAAAAAAAAAAGATAAGTCATCATTATTTATATAACTTTATAGCCAACTACCTAAGAGCAACTATGCAGCAGCAAAAGAATAATGAAACAACCCTGCCTCATACATAAAGTTGTATCGGAGAAGCGTAACAAACTCCTTTACCCTATGCAGAAGGCTCTGTCAAAATGAAGTGATTATTTAATGGATTCACCCAAAATAGACCGTTTCAAGCCTGCATTTAATACAACTCAAAAGAGGTTGTATCCAGGACGCCATGCACTGGAACAGCTGGTTGTTCATTTCGTCATTTAGGTTGAGAGAAAAAAATAAATTAGTTGAGATAGTCCTTAGAAACTATTGTTATACTTACCCTTGTATTGAAAACAAGAGACAACAAAATGCTGCAAAAATGTTTCATACATTCGGTAAATTGACTCACGAAGAAGTGATTTGTAAAGCTTTTAAAAAACAAGAGGAAAACCAAAAAAAAAAAAATTATAACTTTTTATCTCCAAAAACGAGACTGCTTTTTATGTCGAGGATGTCAACGAGCTGTTACGAAAATGCACACTAAATTTGTTATTTGAACTATTCATACTGTGCTTCCACTCTCAACCATCAATTACAAGTCAGTGGGTTTACTTTGATAAAAATGGCGCGTCTTTTATGAGCATTTTTGACTTCAATTTAATAGCGATACCACGACAACCCAAATTTCAAAAAAAAAAAAGACCGATGCAGCATAGAAAATGAGACATGTGCTTTTAGAAAACTTAATCTTCTTGATACAAAACACACAACTTGATAACCCGGCGTATTTTAAAATAATGTCCCCCCAACTGTCAAATTGAACATGTTTCTATCGTTGATAGAAGAGAAATCCTGGATTACTTGATGGGTAAAGTTGAGAGACCGTGTTTGCTGTATATCTGTTGCAGATCAATTATGGCAATTAGAGGGTTGGGAGAATGGGGGAAAAGGCCCTGTGGAATTATTTAGTCATGGTGGAAGAAAAAGAAAATACTTTTATTAAATTTGTTTTACAGTCAAAGGGATTTTATCCAAAAGTGAAACATGATGGCAGCATGAATTTTGGATTTCTCTCTTTTCCAATGAGTGTCACACGCGGGACAAAAAAAAAAAGGTGACGCTTTTTTTTTTTAGGAGAGAGAGAGAAGAAAAAAAAAAAAAAAAACTCTTTTTTCATTTTCAATCATGGAGAAAGGTAAGACTGAAATGAGGAACAAAAGAAACAATGAAGCTCATCATGTTTAATTAGCTGCTAGTGTATATCAGCCGTTACCCGGCAGTAGCAGCAACAAAATTGGAACAGTAAAGTAACTGTAAAAAAAAAAAAGAAGGAAAAGTGGAGGGGGAAGCGATACGAGAGACTAATATAGAAATGTGTGTGTGTTTGTAGGCTGGAGTGAAAGAGTTTGTAGGAGGGTTTATTAAACCCACGTCCAATGTGGATACAGTGATAGACAAGATGAAGCCAGTGCATGTGGATCGATCCAACACATTTATCAAGGAAACAGATAAAAAGGCCTTGAAGAAGAAACTGAGAAATAAGAAGGAAGGCAGGCTTACGGCAAGAGAGAAACGACGATTGAAAGTGTATGATATACCCAAAGAAGCCCATCAGTATCATCTGTTTCAGCCATTGGGTGAATTATGGCAAGGTTACATGGAAAAACTACTGTTGCAGGGTACAGCTAACTTTGAGCAAAAGTTGATCAAGGCAGATTTTCATGGCGCACCCTTTACAGTCATTCAGAGCACAAATCCATCGTATGTGGGCACATCGGGATTAGTGGTGCAGGAGACTTTGTCCATGTTTAAGATCATTACAAAAGATAATAAGCTGAAGCGTAAGTACAGGCAATGAAAAAGTGTCATATTAAAAACTAAAGTGATTATTTATAGAAATACCCAAAAATAGCAGTATATTTAATGTACATGTGAACCAAATTAAAAAGGACTTTACAGTCTATGGTCAACAATTAGTTGCACGTCCATCCGAAAGAGCCGCCAAGAAATTCAAACCAAAACCATCCATTGATCTTTAGTATTTTGATAATTAAAAAAAAAAAGTTATTATTTATAGAGTATCGAGTGTGTGTGTGTGTGTGTGTGTGTGTGTGTGTGGTGAGAGAGAGTGTGTGTGTGCGTGTGTCAAAAGAATATGTTGTTTACAAAATGGCACATCCACGCTTTCCAGTGTTTTTCTTAGGGCCTCTCATCAAGGCAGCACGAGTGGCATTTTCGAAAACCTCACGTACACCTTCACCTGTCTTTGCTGAGCATTCGAGATACTTGTAAGCACCAATCTTTTGTGCAACACCCAAGCCCTATAAAATATAAAAAAAAATAATAAATAAATCTATTTTTAGCATGTAAAAAAAAAAAAAAAGTCTTCTTTCTCAGTTTACCTCCTCGGCAGTAACAGGTCTTTGAGAAGTTCTTCTCAATTCCTCAATCTTTCCAGGATCGTTTCTTAAATCTTTCTTACAGGCAACGAGTAAGATGGGCAATCCTTGGCAGAAATGAAGAACTTCGGAAATCCACTATTGGAAGGAGTTAGAAAATAGAAACTAAAATAATGTTATTTTTTTTTTTTTTACCTTTTCTTGAACATTGTCCAAGGAATCAGGTGAATCAATGGAGAAACAAATGAGAATGACGTGGGAGTCAGGGTAAGAAAGAGGACGAAGACGATCGTAATCTTCTTGGCCTATCACAAATGGGAGGTTAATTGAATTGCACACACACACACACACACACACATTATATGTTTTACCTGCTGTATCCCAAAGAGCTAATTCGACATTTTTACCGTCAACTTCAACATCTGCAACATAGTTTTCAAAGACAGTAGGGACATACAACTAATGCACAAAAGTCAAAATCATGTGATTATTCTATCATCTTTTTTTCTTTATTACCTCTGGGAAAGTGCCTCTGGAAAAGACAATTAAAAGACAAGTTTTACCGCATGCACCATCGCCTACAATCACGAGTTTTCTTCTAATTTCAGCCATCTTTTATATATATATATATATATATTTAAAAAATAGGAGGGAAAATAATCAGTGTCAAAAAAAAAAAAAGACAATAGTCCATAAAAATACTACTCTCTCCTTTCAACAAACGGAGCAAGTTTCTCTTTCTCTCTCTTTTTTTTTTCCCCAGATGATGAGAATTGACAAAAATAAAAAGGGAAAAGTAATGTCTCGTTACTGGATGGAAAGAAAAAGAGTGTTCCTTTTTGTTTGTGAAAGAGAGAAAGACTCTATTTCGAATAAAAGATACTTTACCTGTGGTATAAATAAAAAAAAGTATCTGCTTTGACAAAAAAAAAAAAAAAAAAAAAAAAAGGTAGAAAGACAAGAGAAGAGAGAAAAAAAAAAGCACGAGTAACTCTTGACCTGGGCTTTAATTATATATGTTAGAGGAATAAATGGGCTATGGGCGCTCTTTTAAAAACGGGACTTGTAATTGGTCGAGGCTTGTGCGTGTGGCTAAGGTCTACTCAGCTTCTCATCATATTAAAGAACGAGGTGTTTCTCTTCCCCCTTTCTTTTTTTTTTTTTTGTCTTGTTTTCTCCTCTAAGCTTAATTGTCTGTGCTTTCTTACAAAATTAAAAATAATGCGCAGATTTTTTTTTTGTTTCGGTACAAGAAACGGGCTTGACAAAAGGGAAGGGAGGGATTATCAACAAATTTTGGGACATCATGCAAAAAAAAAAAAAAAAACTAGCCGCACTTTGTGTAAAAAAATGTGATTTTTTCATTTTGTAATACAATAATTTATAGTATACGATCTAAAAACAATTAAAATGATGATTCAGCCTTTTTAGTTGTTTGATCCGCTCTCAAATCATACATTTTTTGAACTTGGTGGTACATATCTCGAAAACAAAATGGAACGTTCAACCAATTAAATTCGAACTTGATTTGAACTTAATTTGGAACACACTATGAACATTATTATTTACCTCTTCATTTTCCAACTTTTCTAATTCATAATTAGCTTGTTTTTTTTTTACGTGAAGATAGTCACGACAACTGGTTAATGCCTTAATTTTTATAAGAGACACATTGGACATCTTGGACGAACAGATATCCTGAAATGAAAGGATTTTATCTTATGGAGAATGCCTCCGATTCATTCATCGAGTGAAGTAAGTGAGATCATAGAGGATAGATCTCCGTATTTTTTTCAAACGTATTTTTTAGAATCACGAGATGGTCTACCCGTCGATTGACATGCCATATCATCTAAACTTCATGTGATGATCGATTTCTGTTTTCCATGAAATATGCTTCACTATCATTACAAGCTACTACTGGAACGCAGATAGACAATGACCAAGCTCTGACTTGCTTGGGAGGCTTTTGCAAGTGCTTCTATTTTAAGTAAAGGCTCAAACATTATGGATGATAAAATAGACAAATGAAATCATCTTGACATAAGCTTGTTTATCTATACATAAAGCTGGTTCACACACTTTATTCCTCCCTTTTTCTTTTCCCTTAACATACTTCTTTTATCGTATGAAAGTAACCGATCACGTAAAAAGGTTTGCTTAGTAGTGACTCTTGTTTCTTTGAAAAGAAGCTAAATTGAAAAAGATATATTGTGATATTGCAGCTGCGGCTAGTCTTTGCTATAGGAGGGTGACCTCCTAGGCAGAGTTCTTGAGTTTTTGGAACTCACGTACTGTGAATAGCTGTGATTGAACTCTGAATAGTCGTAATGATACTGGCCTGCTGGTCTTCTGGCCAGAATTTCTGTAAGTAGTATAAAAAAAAAATACGTTTGAAAAAACTACGGAGGTCTAGACATTTCCTATATTTAGTTGGGATTTATTTATTTTTAAGCTTACGAAACACAAATTTTAGAGCATTAAACGAGGTACTTCTCCTTGTGAAAAACCAACACTGCCAAGAAATAACAACTTCTATTGGAATTGCAAATTTGGCTTGTTATCACAAGGATTTAAGAAATGAATATTTAGATATGGGAATGAGAGTAGACAAACACCTTGTGGGAGAACTGGAAAGTGTGATGACAGTAAGCTTCGATAGAATGTCAGATAATTTGATGCACTTTTAACAAATTTATCAACTGTAGATAATTGAAGATTCAAGCCGAAAAAAGATAAAATGGCAAATATTTCAACTATACGAAGCAGCCGATGATCTTGATACGAAAGTATTAGACATCTTCTTGGCGTAGTAAGTATTATTGATTGCGACTCAATCGAAATACATACTGATTTCTATCATGGCTTTGCGTAACTAGTGTGGAAAAACTTCCTGCGGAGCCGTTATTAAATCACGAAATCTAGGAAATTGAATTGATCACCAAATATCTAGACCCCTTATTGAATGGAATGTTGATCAATCATGATAAAAACCATAGTTTCATGTGGTAAAACCGTTGTAATATCTGTATTAAACGTGTAAACTAAACATGTTTTTTTAGGACGAACACGCAAGGGACCGGCACAGACGACGAGTGTCCCGATGCAGAGATGTTCTTTTTGAAGCAAAGAACAGCGGACTATACAGTCGGTTACTGCGAAGTGAAAATTAATGAAAGTAACAGCAACTCTCTCGACATTCACTATGACATGCTATGTTTAACTAAATTTGGAAAGAATATTTGTGACGAAGAAAACTTGGAGAGTGCCCTAATGATTATGGTAGTTGGTAAGTTTGTCAATAAAAAAATATTCAGTTTTGTTGCTGTATCCAACATCATTCTGATCGTTAAATGTTATAACGTACCAAAGGATTTAAGCTGGTTTTTTATATGATTGTGTTGCGCAACAGCAACTTTTATACAATGTTCAAAATATACAGCATCGATGTTCCCCAGTCATTTAATTCTCTTCCAATTCTGATGATAAGCATCCACAAAATCAAGCAAATCATTCATATGTATGAAAGTCATTGTGTCAAGAGACCTCCTGAGTCCCCAAAAAGACGAATAAGCAGATCAATGAGTAAGAAAGAGTACAGCCAGATTATCAACTCTATGAAACCAAAAAAGATGAAACCTTCATTGAGTTTCAAGTGATACCAAAAAAACTAAACTTAGTCACCATAATAAAGATCATTGTGGTTGTGTTTATCATTGTCGCTATCTTTGTAATGAATATCTTCAATTTATATTAAATAAAAGTCATGCTGCCCAAATCGTAAAAATCATTAAATGAGCGATTCTGACTTTTTTTTATAAAGGAACGGAGGAGACATGTTTGGACAGTTATAATTGATGAGAGCATGCAGCCATTTTTTTTTTTTTTTCGAAACGGAGTATTTCGGCCAGCTATTAAAAATTTCTTTTCCCTTCCCTTCGTGTTCGACAAATTTAGAACCAAAAACAGACTGCTTACATTTTCGGGTGGGAAGCACCTAATGCTGAGGATAGAAAATATCCTTAAATCGGATATCCTAACATAAAGCCACTACTGTATCCATAATAAGATAAAATCCTTTCATTTCAGGATATCTGTTCGTCCAAGATGTCCAATGTGTCTCTTATAAAAATTAAGGTAATAACCAGTTGTCGTGACTATCTTCACGTAAAAAAAACAAGCTAATTATGAATTAGAAAAGTAAAAAATAAAGAGGTAAATGATAATGTCAGACTTAAGTTCACAGTGTGTTCCAATTGAAGTTTGAGAAGTGTTCCAAATTAAGTTCAAGAAATTTACGATTTGAGAGCGGAAGCACTGTACTTTGTTTTTGGGTTATTTCGCATAGCAACAACAACAAAGAAAAACGCCACCTTTTTTCTTTTTATGATTTAAGCCCAGATGATGACAACAACAACAACAAAAAAAAGTTTATTTAAACACGACGTTCGACATAACTTTGAATGAGGCCTACGGTGGATGCCTCATACTCTTTCAATGTCACATTCTCACCTTCGACAAAAGTGTTTCCCTGAACAAAGGATTTACGAGGTTGCTTGGACTGAATCACGGTATCACGAATGGTATTCCAATCATCTGGCACACGTGTTGTTTCCAAATAAAGCTCGGTTCCACCCTCTTCATCTGCTGTGGCCTTGTAAATCTGTAATTTCGTCAAGAATTCAGACACGGCGGGTGCTCCCACAGATCGAATCTTACTACGATCCAAATGGATCTCCAAACTCTCTTTATCATCTACCACACAAGGCTTGAACTCTAAAAAGCCCTCTCCTGCCTTCAACATAATGTTCATAATAGCATAGCGTGCTTGCATGTGTGCCTGTCCCCACTAGTTATAACATATATTAGTATTTATCATACACACATCACCTTTTATTGCGCCCGCTTACCTTCTTGGCCGTGGGGTTGTAGAACTCGAGTGCGGTGAGACCAGCTCTTGCCATGTTCAAATACATAATGTACAAGATATCCTCAGCTTCTTGTCCCTCATAATTAAAGATCTTGAGGATATCCTCGTGAGGAGAGAGAGAGAGTGCAATGCATTCAGCACGACATTCTTCATAACTGGAAGCAATACTCTTGAATTTAGAATTGAAGTTTTGTCCAGGTTTATACCAAGTAGTGATGGGTTCTTGTGTCAAGGGGTTCACCAAACTCTCCACATCAAAGTTCAACTGACCTTCTTCATCCTCTGTAAATAATTTACCTGTACCATGACCCAACTCATGTGTACCTACTTGAACCTCAAAGGACAAGTTACGATAATCTCTGTAAAGCTGTAAATCTTCTTCACGAAGGAAAGGGAATTTCTCAGAGGGGGATTGTGCAGAGATCACGTTGCCCAAGGACACATTTTTAGACCCATAGATCTGAGTAATGTTGGAATAGTTGGGGATATTAATACCAGCGGGAATACCAGCAGTGGCAAAAGAAAGCACTTCCAAGGATACAAAATCAGGCTTGTTCAAGGTCTCTCGTTCAAACTCGGCTGACCAAGGTAATCTTGCCACAAATAAGGGGGCGTTATCCACCAATCGATTGAACTTTAACGTTTGTTCTTTATTGATCATGGCCACAAAGCCTTCCCATTCAGCACGCACACCTTGAGGATCACGATAAGTCTCGATAAATCCAATGTTGGTTTCTACTTGAGGACTCAGGTCCTTTAACCAAAACCGTTGAGAGTCCATGTGCGCCTCAATCGATCCAGACTGGAAAGATGTGTGATAGGCCTTTAACATGTCAGTCTGTGTTTGGTTGGCAGCATAGGGGATGGCTTGTTGGATGGCTTGCGCTACTTTTTTCATGCAAGCTTGGAAATCTGTGAAAGTGACATGTACAGTGGATCCATTCTCTAACGTATAGGTCTTGGCGGGTACTTGTTCCTCTGCGGCTGCCACGGTCAATGTATAATTATTTTGTTCATCCTTGAACAATCGAGTGTTTAAAGGATCAATCTTTTCTTGTTCGCAGAAACCTTGAATGAGCAAGATATCGTCCTTGGTGATATTGGGTGAATAATAACCAGACAGATGACCGTCTTGAGGGAAACCAATTAAATTATGCGCAGTGGGCTCTACATTGTATAATTCATCTCTGCATTGCTCGAATAAGCCGATCGCTTCCTCGCTTTCGGATCCACGCACAATCTTTTCAAAGTCGTCTGCACTCAAACGGGGAATGAACTTTTCGTCACCGAAGGATTTGTAATTGCTCAAGTTGCCCAAGAATTGAGCTGCGTATTGAAGAAATTGTTCATACGTCTCGGCGGAAACGCCACTTTTTATATGTAGAAATAGGAAAGTAAGTACTTTATGTCTACATTCTTATTCGTTTTTTTTTTGCTGTACCTGGCTTGGAAGAGTGTGTCTGAATCACGCATACTACCATCTTGCAATGAAAAGGTCTTGATGATCATGTCGTAAATGGCAATAGCAGCAGGGTTGGTTTGGGCAATAATGATGCGCGTGCCTTCAAACGAAGCGCGTGACATGTAATGAGCATATTTCTTTTCTTTCAAGTCAAGTGTCTCAAAGAAAGGTTTGGCTTCAAGACGAGAGAAAGGTGCCTTCTCATCGGCATAATAACGGGAAAGGCTTGACATGCGTAAAGTTGCTTGGAAAACCTTAAGTTTTGGTAGAGGTCGAGTGAAAGAAGAACGACTTAAGAAACGATACATTATTTATTTTTATATATACGACAAACAACCCAAAAAGTTAAGCGGAGAGGAGGGGCGGGAGGGGGAAGGGGGGGGGGGTGCTTAGTGGCTCCGAATTCTAATTTTCATTGGTCTGATAGAACACTGCCTATTCAAGCATCTTTTACCATATGCAGTGTAAAAAGGGGGAGGGTTCCGCACCCCCGTCAAAGATACTGATCCTGCTCATATTATAGCATTTAAATTTTTTTTTCTCTCTTTTTTTTATAGACACATATTTTACATGATGTTTTTTTTGTGAGTAGGCGTACAAACCCATTCTTTTTTTGTTGATAAATACCTCTTTCAGTTTTTATTATGCGAAGGCTATTTAAGACAATTTCAGCTTGAAAAAGAAAAAAAAATTATTTCTTCAAAATATCGTGTAACCCTCCCCTCTCCTCTTTGACAACAGTCTCCGAAACAACATCACAACAAAAGAAGCGCGCCACAATGAGAGTTATAGGCTCTTGTTTTACTACCAACAAAGGATAAATGCTGTAACCTATGTACCACACTACTGGGTATGTTGTTGGGAGGAAGAGAGCGAAAGAGAGATAGCTTGATCATCACTACGAATGGAAATGAAAGAAACTCTTCCATAGAACGGGCGACTCAGCAAATAGGCCCCTAATTATCACTTTGTTCTAAACTAGTCGAATTCTCACACACTGTCAAATGACAGGTATCTTTCAAGAAGACGGATTAAAGGGGAAAGATCCCAAGATTTCATCGGTTTGGTTGGAGGACAGAATTCTCAATGAGCTTTAATTTCTTGATTAAGCAACCCTCCAGATGTTATGATATTCCCACGGGTGGGTTTCATCAGCGCTGACGGGTTTCCATTAGTTACCAAATTGACATGATTTTCTTTATGAGTTCATAAGAGAGAGTGGTAAATGTGGTACCTATCATTTACGATCGATGAGGTATTTTTTTGTCGCCAAGTGAGGTAACATGCAGTTATAATAGATTTAAGACGAAAAATCAATGGCAGCATTCATGACTTTTTTGATTGTATTCTATCTGAATGGTTAGTTTAAAAATCTAGTAAAATAAGCGCCACAGTTCATATAAATTATCATTCATAAGATCTTTAAAAAAAAAAGTCTATTCTACGGCTCCAAGTATGTGAGATGAAGACGTAACACAGAACAAATAGTAGGGCACTCGGTAGCATTACACTTTTGCCAAAATGATGTCGCAAAAAAAAAAGTTAAAGTGTCGCGCTTTTAAAAAAAAGAGTCGTATGTTTTTAGAAAAGAGTGTAGCACTTTAAAAAAAAAAGAGTGTCGTGCCTTTTAAAAAAAGATGTCGCACTGTATATATAATTGTTTATTAAATAGGACGGCCTGCAAGGGCAGTCATTAAAACGTCTAGTCGAATAGCGCGGAAACCCTTCAAAAGATGATTGAGCAACTTGGTTGCTAGCGTCTGCAATTATTTGAGGAATAGTATCTTTTTTGAGTATAAAGTCTCGGACGACTAGGATACTTACTAGAACTAAAGACTTGAGCTTTATTGTTCCCAATATTATTAATATTTATTCTTTTCTTGCGATATAAAATTCAATCCTGCTGATTAAAAAAACTGTAAGCAAAATGGTGGATCAACATTTTACATATTGAAAAGGCTCTATTCAAACAAAGATACTCTACTAAGAAAGTTTCAATACAGTCTCAGATTATATACAAGTGCCTCTTCCTATCTTTTTTAATTAATTAACAAAACTGCGATGACGCATCATCTATTCATACATCTATATATCCTAGATTATCCCTATAGAAAGTACAAAGTTCTAAATATAATAGATCAACCATTGTAAATCAGGAGTAGCGGCAGTAATCTATCAACTTAGGTTCAATAGATCTAAAAGGACTCAAATTATAAGTGATTTACCCAATTACAAGAGTATGTTTATTGTAAATTTAAACAATACTAAGTAGATACAAATGCAGCCAGTACACACTTCATTTTTCTATTCTTGAACTCTTTTTCTTTAGACTTTGTTATTGCTTTGTCTTTGTCGTTTATGTGGCCAAGTAGTTGGATGTTCAGAATGTAAAAGTCGCTCATTCAACGTTCGTTCAATCATCAGGGTAACCTTGATGTTTCTGCTCCTTTTCTCTTCATTTCCAGGGGCTAATTGGCTTACCCAAAAACACTAAAAACCACCTATGCCATCAATGCCAAAGTCTAAAGGTTACTAGAAATGAGCTTGTTGTAAACTACTTAAGAGAGAGATCTTCAAGCTTTTCCTTGCGAAAGAACCCAACCAAAGCGTTGCAAAGAGAAGCGTTCTCGTATGGGTAAAAAAGAAAAAAACAACATTAGTTCCATCACATTGCATACCAAGATTGAGTATAAAACGTATTACCTGCACGTGGCCGTGAGCGATTTTTTTTTTTTTTTTTTTTGAACCAGTTGAAAGAAGAAATATTAACACCTAGACGGACATATTCATAAACAACAAAGCTTGTTGGAAGCGATGTTCTTACAAATAAGTGGGGTTGTCGCTTCTCAGGGGATAAGTAGCCAAGTCTAGCTTATGCTGTGTTAAGCAGGCGGGCATCTTTTATCTTAAGTTCCCAAAAGGAATCCCTAAACGATAAAAAGAAGCTGGGTTGTCGAAACTTACCTCATGGTTGAATATGAGGTGAAGAGTCCTAGCCTGTCTCCTTGCTTTTGCAATCAAAACATTGGTAATATTAGCACCTAGACGGACATATTCATAAACAACAAAGCTTGTTGGAAGCGATGTTCTTACAAATAAGTGGGGTTGTCGCTTCTCAAGGGATAAGTAGCCAAGTCTAGCTTATGCTGTGTTAAGCAGGCGGGCATCTCTTATCTTAAGTTCCCAAAAGGAATCCCTAAACGATAAAAAAGAGCTGGGTTGTCGAAACTTACCTCATGGTTGAATATGAGGTGAAGAGTCCTAGCCTGAGCAATGTTTTGTTGATTCTTACAGAAGAAATGAAAAGCCTTTTTTTTCTATCTTGTTTGAATTGTTGAAATGGTGACGTATGTGTCGGAGAACGATTTACTTATATACCCGAATTTTTCACCACAGAAGACGACACTCAGACAAAAAATAAATCATTAAGACTGCTTTTGCCTGCAAATTTTTTGTAATCTAAATGATTGTTTAGGCCCCGAGTGTCATAAGTGTCATAAGTGTCGTAAGTCCTATTAAACTCAACCACACCTTGGAGGACTGCTAATATACAATAAAAAAAATTTTACATGGGAGGGGGGGGGGGGGCATACTACACCATAGCACCTTTTTCTGTTGTTACTATTTTACTATATTGTTATTATAATTCAAATGCCTTTGCAAAACTATTCCGAAGAAAGTAGACAACTCATCAGTGATTTTGACGCTCGAATGAGAGACTTGGTTCAAGAGACAGTTGAAAAGTTAATGCTGGCAGAAAACATTTCTAAGGCCGAGGCTGAAGAGGCCATTGAATTTAATCGTGAAGCAACGCAAGTAGTCTTTCGTAAACGTAAAAGCCCTTACAACGCTTTTACAGAAAAGTTGGCAGCAACTAGGAAAATGGATACTACTGCAGATGTTCAATCCGAAGGTATACTAAACTCACCGTAAATGCTAATTATATCTAATTGTTTGTACGTTTATAGGCTTAATCGCTTTTCAAAAAAATGCGTCTACGCTATACAAAGCATTGAACCCAGCAGAAAAGGCTGCATTGGTAACCGATTATCAACCTGTTAGTAAGCTTACTTCTGAGAAAAAGCACCTGCACCATCTGGAAGCAGTCTCAGAGATGAAGAAAATAATTCACTCCTACAATGCTCTCTGTGGTTCGGACTTCCTCGTTATCAGTGTATTTCCATTAAACGAAAAATCTGGTAATGTTCGTTTGATTATGCATATGCTAACTGCTGGAGGTAAGTCAAATATATTGGGGAGTGTATAGAACAAGCAGCTTACATTATTTTTAAACAAAAGAGCACTGTCTAAGTCTGAAAGACACGATGGGCAGCGAGTTGTCGGCTTTCTTGAAAAAGAGGAACCATGATGCGAACGAGAGAAGTATGTTTTCGTTTAAATTAGATTACTAAAATTATTACTTACATGTTAAAATAAGTATCTAAGCCATATAGTCAGAACGGCAATCTCTTGAGAAAAGAGTATAGTCAAAGAATTTTAGAGTTGTATCGTCAGTTTCCCCTACTACACAAGATTGACACTCTTACTGACATTTTACATTAGATACTCATCCAAGCGCAAAATTTGCTAAAGCATTTCCGTTCCAGAAGTTCAAGGATCAAACTGCTGATCTGAAGATGTTTGGGTGGCCCGAAGATGTCCCAGTTAGAAGGGCCCATGAGCAAACATCTGGCCAAATGCACCTCGTCCTTGAGGCAATTAAAGAAAATAAGATTTCTTTTGCTGTACCAGGTGCAGAAGCAGTTGATACAACTCCGGCTACGCTGGAAGTTTCTTCGCCTGACCTTGCCCATTAACAAAGGTAATTATATCCTTTCTTTTTCCTCGTTTAAATAAATTTAAATACATTTAATACTTGATTTGTTGGGATACTTTTTATTTTGCGTTTTACGTCTTGAATCCCATAAAGAATAAACTGAAATAAAGAATAAACTGAAATAAAGAATAAACTGAAGTAAAGAATAAACTGAAGTAAAGAATAAACTGAAGTAAAGAATAAACTGAAATAAAGAACAGACTGTGGAAATAAAGAACAGACTGTGGAAATAAAGAACAAACTGACATAAATTTAAGATTTTATTAATCTTTCCACTTATAATTTTTTTGTTATAAAACTGCTATGTACAGTAACGTTGCTTTATATGTTGGTTGAGGCTGTGATAGCAGTTTTTTAACGTTTTTCTTTAACAACAATATTTTATTTGACAATATATACACTATCTTATTGGGTATAATAGTACCCTGTAAAAGCTTTGCAATAGGCTTTAAGTAAACAGTTGAATTTAGACGTTGGAGTAGTCCAGAACTTCTGACAGATATTCATATGCTCGCGAGTATAGCTATTGCTGGAATAAACGGCGCTTAAAGGAGACGTCGAGTTAAAAAAAACTTCATGCTCGAAGTATAATTCGTAATTGCGTACTTCATGGGTCATGAGTGCGAAAGTTAGAAACTCCCAGTAGCTTGAGTCGCATTGCCAGTTGTTAAGAGTTGGAAGAGACATAATTTGTCTAGACTTTTGAAGTTGTAATTGCCATTGTTTAAGGCTGGTCTGGTACGATGACACTAAATTACTTTTATCCAAAGACTTCGACTCTTCCATTGCTGAAGTCAAGAACACTGCGCATTTGGGTCTGGTTTTTTCAGCTGTAACTTTTTTATAGTATCTATGGTTGGCTTGTTTCCTTCCACCTAATGAAGGTCGCCCAACATTTGCAGGGGGAGAAGCATTGTGAAATTTAAGTGCATGTCTATTTCGGTTAGAGGTCGAAGAAAATTCTCTTGAACAAACAGAACAACGCGACTTGCTTACGCTACAGTTGTATTTATCATCTTTCGTTGTAAGTGAAGTCATTTGGTTAAAGTGCTAATCTTGTCTATTTAATACATAAAAAAAAGGTGTAAAAAGCAAATATTTTAGTTCTTTTAAATGCTCCTTTATGACTGTACGATACGGTGGAAGAGCAATCGACTATCCAATAATTGCGTCTGTTCTTTCATGTCGGGAGAGTCAAAAGATGATTAACTGAGCCACATGTCATGAGTAATATAGCAGCCGATGCTGCATGTAATAATTACGCTGTATATTATAACTTAGAGGCGTATGACAAACGTTATGTTTTATACTCGTTTGTAAGTAAAGCTCTCGTAACTATCAAAACTAGATACGCGCAGTACTACCAACGTCTGCAATTGACACATAAAAGGACTCGTAAGTGGAGGCATACGCTGTGAATTTATTACAATAAAATGATCATGACAATATATTATTACAATAAACATCTCCGAGCAAGCCTATTCTTCTCTACATGTTCTCATCCGAAATTTCAAATAACAAATATTAACTTACAGTGGCAGAGACAAGGCAACTTGTTGTTAGCGAGATGGGTGTGTTTATATTATACGCATTGTGTACATTGGCAAAGGCAATACACTATCTAAAACAGTTTGTTAGTTCTAGAGGAATTGTGATTACAATTTGTCAAGACAAAACAGTATACTTACTCCAAAGCTTAATTCGTTAAAACAAAAATATTTTACTGCCTAGAGATAACACGACGGGAAGGATATTAAAGCAAAGGCGGTACGTTTGATCGGAACACAGTAGTTACATAATCGGTATGTTAAAACTACTTGTTGCTAGCAAGGTGAGATGCCATGTAAGTTAAAAAGTGTAAGGGAGAAAAAAGTAAACAATCACAGGGTATGGGGCTGTAATCTTTCTAATAGAAAAAAAAATTATCTAATTCTATTGGACCGAACAAATGATTCGATTGCGCAATTATTCATCGATTGGATGAAAAAATTTTACTCTTGTATGTCCGATTTTTTTTTGGGATACCCCCCTCACTTTTTCTGAATTTCCTTTTTTTTTAAAAAAAATGGGCGATCTCTAGCTTTATTTTTAGCACACATGATCATTACTGCTTTTCAATATTCAACAAAAACAAAGAATAATAAATGTTTTCAAGTATAGAAGATCTCAGTTTTTTTTATAGTTATATTCAAAATATACTATTTAAATGTGGATATAAATTTAGAGGTATATAATATCATTGGGTTGATCATACAACCAATTCAGTGATTTTTTTTTACATTTCCTTGCAAAATAAATTAGGGCCAATCAAATCCGAGGGATCTGCATATCCAGGAAGTGTCTGTATTGACCATTATACGATATTCTTCTTAATAAAAGTATACAAAAACTATACAGATCAAAAGAAATTAAGTTTCTATATACATGTAAATTTCAACTGTCTTTTTAACCTTTTGTTTTTGCATCTATTTTGATCATTTTCCGATTTCTTGGTTTTTCACACTGTAACATTGCAAATTAGTTTTTTACATGTAGAATAAGTCCCTTCTGATGAAAGTACTCTTTATTTGGTATTTTCTAAAACCTGTAAACATATAGTATATGATATAAGCTTTGAAATAAAAAAAAATATTGTCTATACATGTTTTTATATAAAAAACCCTTAAAAACGAATTATGTATTTTGAAAAATTATGCATAATATGTGGTTATACCTGTTGAAAAAAAAAAAGTATGTTTAATTTTGTATTCTTAAATGCAGTTATACTCTATTTTTTTGTAGCTTTCAGATGGTGCTAATACTTTTAGTGATTGTCTTTCCAGTTGTAGCATGAATGTCAAAAAAGAGCTTCAAAATGACAAATGATCCAAAAAAAACTTATACGTATACTATATACATCGCCCAAGCCATGAAACTTTTATATATTGATTTAAGTATAGTATTTAATTAATATTAAATGTAATTCGATGGTTTCTTGTAATATGAATTTAAATAATTCTGGTTTATAGTGTATTCAAATTCGACATTTATGAAATTAAGATTTTATTAATCCTTGCTGAAAAAAAAGCATGAGCCTAAAAAATGTCGTTTTATTAATCCATACTCGGGTGCCGCTTTTTTTTTTGCCCGAGCTTAAAATTAAATCTCTGGTAGAAGATCCATTTCCCCGGCGGCATTCAACAAATCCACCCCTTATCGTGATCGTACACGAGCCTAAAGTTTGTGCGTTTAATGATCCATGAAGGAATTAAGACATTGATATTAAGCTTAAAAGTTTATTATTTGTAATTTTTTTTTTTATTATTGGTTTTCATTTTCTTCTCTACTTTCACTCTCTTCCATGTCTTCTTCCCCATCATCTTCATCCTCCTCTTCACCTTCAGAAACCAGCACCAAGTCTTCTTCATCCTCAACAACATCATCACCTTCAAAATCAACGGTAGGATCAAGGAGGTTGGCAGTGTCAGACTGGGGTTCAGAAGCAAAATTGATAGGAGGGCTGACTCCAAGCAGCACCAAGTATCGCATTGAGTGACTTTTCCATTTATTGCTCTGTTCCAGCTGTCTTTCCAATAAAGTTTTTACACCCTCCGAGATCCCCTTCTCCTCCGCAACACCCGTTCTCTCGAAATCTTCAGCAGCCCAACGCTTTGCCCTTGTGAGTTCCTCGATCTCCACCTCTATATTGGAGAATAGGTTGTGCGCTTCACGCTGTTTTAATGTGAGATGTTAATTATATTTCACACATATAGAGAAACATATAGAGAGTTTATAAGTTCATTTACCTTTAAGAGCTTAAGTTCCTCGTTAGCGTTCCTCACGCACAACCATGGTTCAGTCTTGGGGTGGAGATCGATCCCCCAAAATGGGCTATTTCCATCCAGGAAGGTAGCTGCAGTTATACCTTCCTCTACGATAAAGACTTTAGTGGCCTAAACTTCTAATAACAATTTTGTACTTACGGAATTCCTGGTTGTAGATGTCCAGCAGGTCATCCAGGAGTTTTCGTTGCTTTCCAAGGGCCTTGCCATGTTGACCTGCAAGCTTTGTACCTTATAACGTATTACAATATTTAAAATTTAATTATAACAACAAACAAAAAATTAGGACTTACCAATATGTCCAGATTTGAACATCAAGTTGGTGGTAAACTTGTAAGCTTGCAGGTTGGCTCGCATAGCATCCTTGAAAAGCAACTTTTTTCGTTGGACGAAATCCTCCCACAAGCCAAGGGAGAGCTGGGCAGTTTCAGCGGACAAGTCGGCATAGGCGTGGGGGACGAAATTAGGTATTGTTTGCCTAATTTCATCAAGGACCTTCTCCTGCTTCTTCTCGATATCTTTAATTTGTTGCATGAAGAAGGTCTCCCCAGCTACCTTGATACTACCATCACTGGCCGATACCGTTAATACACCATCTAATCTGTCAATGGCTGCATTACTGGTACCGGTAGAGTTCTCATACATTTTAACTCTGTGATAAAAAAGACATGTTAAATTTAGATATTTTTAGTGATCGTTTCATTATTACCTAAATCTGAACAAGATCGACTCCAAAAGATAAAATCTTGTTACAGATCCCAATGATGGTGGCAAATCACTCCAGATTTTGCTGCACGACTTGCCGCTTCGAGTCAACGCCAGATGCCTCTCCCAAGCCAACGAAATCTCCTCCTGGTTCACACCCTTCAACTTCACTAATCCTGCCGCCAGGATCTTCTTCGTACTTTTGTACTTCCCGTACAAGACACTTGCTATAAACCAAAATAACGTCGTTAGTGATATGCACCATTTCCTTTACAAAAACAACATCTTACCCATTCCCCATTTTTTTTCCATGTTACGATGGCGGATGGCCAACGTAAGAGTCAGCCTTCTGTTGGCCTGAGACATCGGACGTGTAATGGTGACGAATGGTCTGAGTGAAGACCATAAACGTTCCGATGCCTCGCCGTCAGTCCTGCCGTACGATTCAATGTTTTTAGGATTAAAGCTGGACTGACAGCTAATAACATGCGCATAAGCATGAAAAACGGGGAGTGCAAGAGTGCCGTTAGCAGTCAAGTACGGGAAGTGAGTCTATCATAAGAATACATTAGCATTTATGCATCAACAATATTGAATGAGATGTTACCGTCAACGACTTCTCCAAGACACAAATGATGTCGTACATCAAGTTTACTGGCGTCTTAATGCTGTCCTTGTCTTCTTGAAACAAGTCGTGGAGAACAGATAGTGGATATTTAAATCTTTAAATAGAAATTGTGGTTAGTATAAAATAATTTTAAATGTATACAACATACCCTTCACCACTATCCATATCCACCATCTTTAGGGTGAGGTCATGGCGCGCACACGAAGCAGCAAAAAGTCCTTTCACGGGATACAGTTTGGACTTATATGAAGCGCCATTACCTGCAGCTCTGAATGAGTTTTCGTTTAAAAGAGCCTATTGATCGTATTTTCTTGTCAGCAAGCCAAATCGTTTCTAACCTTTCATAATACTTACATCTTTTGGTGGTTTTTCCTTTTTATAGAGCTCAACAGATTCAGGCTTCACCCATGCGTTCTCCACAGTATCAATCGTAAATAATTCATCAAGAAGACTTGCTTTCGACTTACATTTCATACTAAAACATCCATCCATAGTGATGAAAATGCGATCCATAGGATGATTGGAGTCCCTCTATAAAACATGAAGAGGTTACGATCTCATTTGATTTTAATTTATTATGTAAACATACACTGGGACAAGCAGGACAGCACATTGCCAGGTCTTTCAAATCTGTTCGTTGATTGACCTCTTTATCGGCGGCCAAAAGAAGTCGGTTGTACATGTATAGTACATTTCTGCATATATTAGCTGACAAACAACTCTACTCAAACAGATTAGTAGATATATGAAGACTATCTTTACGATAATAAGTACCTGGACGGGGTTTCCCCTTAAGTTGTTGTACAACTTCGCAATACCCTCAGAAGAAGACTTCAGGGTGTTTCGAACTTCATTAAAGAAGCCCAACAAACCCAAGTGGATTGCACTTTTGGGGCTTGAGGGAGAAGAAGGAAACATACCCATCAACATTAATGCTTCTGCCAAGGGCTTACAGCTGCAGTAACAGACTGATACATCCTTGATAGCTATTTCAAAATTATATTCAGGGTTAGAGAATACTAGTATTTTGTCGAATATTTTGCTCCTTACCATGGAAAAAGTACATTCTGACGGTCTTTGTCAGAAGTACTTTTTCACTACATTGGCAATCGAATGCAACTGGCGAATCAATCTCGGTGGATGGCAAGCCACCTTGCTTGCCAACAAAGATCAAGTAGCTGGTACACAATGTTTTAAGTACATTGTACCATTGATATTTCAAATCGACCTTTCTCTTTCTTTCAACAGAAGCCTTTTGCTCCTTGATTTCCTCAGGGGTCGGTTCATTAGAGTCATTACAATCGTTAGAATCAAAGATGTCCTCTTGTTTTTTTTGACGCTTTCTTCCGGGGCCGGCTCCCTGCTTGATTTCAATAACTTCAGATATATCTGTTGTCGTATGACGATCGTCAGGTGGGAGATCGTATTTAGGGCGACGAGTGTATTTGCGACGAGCAGGTTGCAACATAAAGATAGCATCTTCATCGAGTATAAGTTCGGGATCTAAAAGCGCAAGTCGTTTCATTTCTTCCAAACGTTTGTGTGTACTTCTTCTTGATTTTCCCATTGTTGTTGTTTTTAAAATTAAGTAAAGGTGAGAGGGGGTGGCTTCTTCCCGGCTGGGAGGTGCAAGTAAAGATCAATGGTCGTTCTTTAAAAAAAGTGGGTGGTGGTTAGTGTGCCAAAAATACCACTATAGTGTAGGTACAGTGCGTCCGCCCTCAATTGGACACTTTTTTGAAAATGTTGGTCGGATTTTTGAAAAAAATTGGTCACGTTTTTGAACTTTTTTGGTCAAAAATGTGAAATTCAATTGGACACTTTTTTGAACTTCAATTGGTCACTTTTTCGAATTTCATTTGGTCACTTTTTCGAAAATGAGTTGGTCAAATTATTTGGTCATTTTTCACATATACTTTAAATATTTTAGTTTAACATGCAATTTTTTTATGAAGACGGTACTGGAAACATTAGAGACAATAGAGGTCAAGAAGCACCTTCTTTTGTTGAAGAAACATCTTTTCGTTTAAAGAAATTGACTGATCTTCGGAAATGCATCAAAAGCAAAGACATTCAATTTGAAATGCCAATTTCAAATGACATTACGATGGAGGAAGCTTCTCCTAAAAAAGAACGGACTCTTCAATACAATGTTTATACTATTGAAGATCGTAAGCAATATTTTTATTTTTGAAAGAGAAACTTATGAAAGCTAAACAGGCAGCTGAGGCCGCAAACGTAAATAATGATACGGCACGCAAGTGGAAAAAGGCTTATGAGGACGACCCTGAAAGAAATATACCTACTAAAAAAACGAACCTTGGCTCCAACAGACCAGTTAGCCAATTAGACGAAAGGCATAAAACGAATTTGATACAGTTTTTTGATGAAGATGCTTCTGCAACAATCCAGGATGCAGTAGAGAATTTGACAGCGACCTTCGAGGGACTACAAATTAAAAAAACAAGAGTAGCCGAGTTTATGAGGGAAGAGTGCAATCTAAGCATCAAAGTTGTTAGTCGTCATCCAGTCGGTAAAAATAAGGAAGCAACCCTTCAGGCTCGTGCTAACTGGGTTGAGCATGGGATCGGAAATGGTATGGACTATCTGAACAATTGTATCTTTGTCGATGAATCAGGATTCGATATCAACATGCGTCGTAGTCGTGGTTGGTCTCAAAAAGGTACTGAAGCAATCATCACAACAACCTCAGCTACAGGTGTGTCTCGCACTGTAATTGGTGCTATATCAGCTATCGGTGTTGTTAACTTAAGTATGAGAGAATCTGGAAATGTTAAGAGGAGAAAAGTAGTAGGGACAACAAAAAGAAAGGCGCCTGAGGACAAGTTATCTGTCCCCAAAGGTACTACAGGTGGCCACTATCTTCAGTTTTTAAGCGATACCATGGATATCATGGATGAGTTTCCTGAAATGAAAGGTTATTTCATTATTATGGATAATGCTCTAATCCACGTCCCTGGGGTAATTGTCCCTGTAATTGTAAAAAGAGGTTATACTCCGGTATACCTCCCCCCATATTCACCAGAACTTAATCCCATCGAACAATTCTGGGCTATTGTAAAGGGAAAGGTCAAGCGCAATAAGCTGAGTGACGTAGAGTCCCTAAATACACGCATAACTGAAGCTGGTGAAAGTGTACCAGTTGAACACCTTGTAGCATTTATTCAACACTCAGTTAATCAATTCGATAATTGTCTCAAAAAAATTCCTATATAGCTCACACCTAACCAAAATAAATAATTTTCAAAAATATGACCAATTCATTTTATAAAAAGTGGCCAAACGATTTTCGAAAAAGTGACCAATTGAAGTTCAAAAAAGTCTCCAATTGAATTTCACATTTTTGACCAAAAAAGTTCAAAAACGTGACCAATTTTTTTCAAAAATCCGACCAATGTTTTCAAAAAAGTGTCCAATTGAGGGCGGACGCACTGTATTGGACTTATTGTAGTTGTCACATCTTCAAAATTAAACTCAAGTTATAGTGGTTAATGATAAATTTTAGAAAAACGATTAAATGCTTATTTAACGCATGGTATGCCCTCAGGTCTATTAAAATCATTTTAATCACAGAACTGGAGAGCCTTACGACACTTATGACACTTATGACACTCGGGGCCTAAACAATCATTTAGATTACAAAAAATTTGCAGGCAAAAGCAGTCTTAATGATTTATTTTTTGTCTGAGTGTCGTCTTCTGTGGTGGAATTTTTGAGCGGTTTTTAAAAGTATAGGACTGCTTTACTTTTGATTTTTAGACAGAGCGTTTATTATTAACTTTTTTTTTTGTTATCTTTGTATAGTAAAATTAGAATTGGAAGGAATGTTTGTAGAATTTATACGAGAGAGAAACCAGTGATTGAAGCCGTTAATTCTTCGAGCTCAGTTTCGGTCAAAGTATATTGCTGGCGTTTAATTTTATGAATGTTAGAAAGTAGAGTGTCGAAATCTATTGAAGAATTGCTTGGAGCGGTGAGAGGAGCTTGTTCAGTTGGAGTAAGAAGAGCTGAGCTATCAGGCGAGCTTTGGGGAATGGTTGAGAAAGTGAGATTGAAAGAAACTATTTAATTTAAGGTTGGTAAAGAAATGAAGCCGTAAAGAATTCAATAATATTTATCTTTACCTTCAAATACAGACAACCAAGACATATCACACTTCAACAAATACATGTGTTTGCATGCGATATTGTTAAGGCGGAAGTCAGGGCAGCTGCAAGTGATCATTTGTAGATCGTCCACCACAACATCATAACTTACACAAGAAGTTGAGAAAGAAGAAATAACATAACCACTTCTACCAGCAGAATCAGTTCTCGCAGTTTCGATGCAATACAGTGTTCTTTACTACATTTCAAGAGTATTTACTTTGGCTTAAGATATCGGGTTCCTTTTTTTTTTGTTTTTCAATATAGAATATCTCTTTTATATATCCATAAAAATATGACACTTCAAAAATAAAAAAACAAGAGGGGAACAGGCTACAGATTTTTGATGGGCAAAGCAACCATGGTGCTTCTAAACCGGTTTTTGAAGCTGATGACTACATTTATTCTCGCGTTAGAACAAACACCATCTAATTTTTAGGTCTTTTGGATGAGCCTTTGGTCCCCAAATAAACTTAAATGTCCAATAAAAACTTTACATATGCCACTTACTCCCGGTCAATCTCTCACTTAATTTGTAAGAGTTTTCGATTCTCAGACAGCTTCTTTATTTCAAGCCGAAAATCACTCACTTAATCTGTAAGATATTTCGATTTTCAGTCAAAATTCACAGTCTCATGTTTACGTTATCCTACAATTATATGATACCATTAGTAAGAACCTGGAAGCTTAAGACAGAGAGTTTTTTTCTTCTTCTACAAACAAAAACTAAATATAACTTAAAACCTAAAACCTGAATTGATCCTGATAGTGATATATTTACAAACACCTCCTTTAGAGCCATGTAAAACATACACATCAAATCAAAATCATAAACCTGGTTCCCACCATCACAAGGTAGAAAAACTATTTATCTCAACTTGTCGTCGAAACCCCTTATTATACAAAATGACGTCTCTAACAACATTTGATTTGATATATTATTATTTTTCAACTTATAAAAAAGCCTCTTGAGATTTTTTTTTTCTTTCTTTATTCCTTTGTTCACCAAAAGAAAGGGGAAAAGAAGACGGAAGTATTGTAAAAATAAGCAAGTATAAATGATACTTAATCTATTTTATTTAATTTTGTAGACAAAATACGTATCAAAATGTGGTTGTTTACTTTTGAGCTGATCGTGCTGACCTTTGGTTATCTTTTCCTTTTGTACTGCCCAATTTTTTCCTCATGAAAGGTTTTTTTTAATGGAGGCAAAAGGTTTTTACTGATGCCGGGGTTGGTACCAATACAAGATTTATCTATCGGAGGAAGAAGGCAGTCTAGAATTTGGTTTCCGTTACAAACAGTGTCTTACACTGCCACAGGTATGATAATTTTTATATATTTTCTATGCAAAAAGTCAGTCTTACAGTTTATTTTATCATTTTAAAGCATTACTTCATGATGTATAGCCTATTGGAGCTGTTCCCCCAGTGTCCAGTGGGTGTTATCTGATTAATTGGTAAGTGATATAACTTTTTTCTCTATCACATCTGTTTATGTTCATACTAACGCGAAATTTGTATTACAGCTAGCTCAAGACGATGCAAATTACAAGGAAACTTAGAAATGTTTCTATAGCCGCGGTTTCAACACTGTTCGGTCTTTCGTATCTCTACCAAGTAAGGTCATTCCGCATGTAAAAGCCAAAGGAAAACTCTGACGTCATTCTTTTTTTATTCGGGTATATAAGGAGGTGCGTCGGAGAATATATTATTAGGCTCATCATTGTTGACTTTAAACAATAAAGACAAAGTCTCTTTCATAAAAAAAAAAAAATATATTATTAGGCAACAATTGTTACAACGTGTTGCATAAGGTTTTTGAGTTTTGTTATTCTAAATGCATCCCTACAAAACAACTGATGTATAATCATTTTGGTAACGTCACTTCCCCTCAATGCTCTTTCTGTGGTACTGCTGAAGACTCAATTCTACATTTCTTGGTGGAGTGCCCCATAAAGCGACAGCTTTGGCATAGGGCACTGTCCCACTACTACCCATATCTTGAATTTACACCTTCGATGTTATATGAATCAATCTGCAATCTAAAACATCCATTGTCTGTGCAACACGAAGAATGGTATCTTTCCATACTTTCTACCACCCTCTGGCAAATATGGAACCTTTACTGGCTTCATGGCACCGACAATCCGCGACCTTTTGCTGCTGCCAACCTACCCAAATCAGTGTCCAGAATTATTCTCCAAATCAACAAGATTATCAATCCTCCTTCCAACATAGACTAATTCTATAGCTTATATGCCATCCACGATCATTCGTTTCAACAAGTTCCACCACTCCGCGATGTGTGACTTAAAAATTTGTATTAAATCATACCCTTAAAAAAAAAAAGTTGTTAAAGAGTTTAGTTTTTCAAAAGCATCATCGATACTGTACCTATGCACAACTATAAACATCTTAAATCAAAAGATAGTTTTTTCTCAGAACACCCTCTTTCTGAATGGGATTTGTCTAACTACATTAAATATTACGAAGAAAAACATTCACAAAAGAGCAAAAAAGCCCTCGAAAGTACATTTTTATACCATCTGAAAAGCATTGCAAGGGATCCATCAATCAGTGAGGAATTAAAAGACTCTGTAAACAATATTGTCAAAGAAAGTGAAAATAAATATAAAAACCAGGTACGTGAGAGAAATTTATAGCAAACGGTTAAGTCACTAAACATTAATTTGTAACAATGTCTTGTTAAGGATGAGTCAAGTAACTGTATAAAAATAACCGGCAATGTGATATCAAGCAATATTAGTTTTGGCGCTTCGTCAAGCAATACCACTATTGAAAGACAAACTACTGAAAGAACTGTTGAAGAAAGACAAAAATTGAGGTATTTGGGCAAATAACCACAACTTTTAAAGGCTAAAAAAGTTCTTAAATGATGTAGAGACGAGATCGATGACCTTTTTGCAAATATATAAAAGACAACAGCTATGTTTGTAAGCATAAAATAACTTCTTTGTGATTTTTTTTTATATAGGATCCGCTTCCAACAGGAAATGCAGTAAATAAAAGTATGTATATCCTACTTCAAAACTTGATGTCTTTTTCTGACAAGATTTTACTTTGTAGGAAAAATAAATCAAACTGATATACTTTATGACTCCGTCAACAGACCGATCATCTTAGCATCGCAAGTTCGCCACGAGGTATATATTCTTGGAGCAAAAAGGGTAAATCATTCATCTAGAGAAATAACTATGTTATTAGGTCGCTAATTTTTTATATTTACTATTAATATAGCTCCATGGTTCTTTAAGCCAAATTGAAATCTCCACTCTCAAAAAAATGGCAAAAAATTTAAAACCTACCACAATGGCCGAAGAACTGGATCTCATGTCAATTAAATTGATACTTGATCTTAATGATGGAGACATTAATGAAGTAAACGCCTTGAAGTAAGTAAACATTTAAAACCATTACTCTTTTAACGCTTAACATTATATCTCTTTTTTCTTAGACTCTCTCTATCAAAAACTGTGAGTCTCGTCAACTTTAACACTTTGAAAGTTTTTCAAAAATATGTCAAAAACGAATCATTTTGGGAAGAGGTCAACAGTGTAAATATAGAGCTCGCGCCTGCAATGTCAGTTACATCGGAGGAGACCTATAACCGTATGATTCAGGTAAGTTGTAATTCTTTGTTATGAAAGCAGACACTGACTTTCTTCCTTTATTAGCTTAGCAAAAATACAGAAGGTAGGCTTGCTCTCAAGCAGTTAAGATTGACCATTGCAAAAGAAAAAGTTAAGGCAATTGAGGAGAATGAGGACGACATTACTGCAGTTTTAGACATAATGGAAATCATAGCTAGAAATGTTATAGCTGACGATAAGTTAAAGCCAAACGAGAATGATTCAGAAATGACATGCTATAGAAAAGTGGCATCCATTCTTGATATTCTACTGAAAGATTCGAACTTGAACTTGCTAGAGTAAGTAGATAACATAAAAGTCCTTCTATTAACGCTGCCTCGAAATGTACTTATTTGCCTATTCCCTATAGTGGCGAAACAATATGTAAAGCTAGCAAATCTATTGCAAAAGACCATGAAAACATCTATGGAAATAGCATACCTTTAAATCGAGGCTTCGGTCGTCGAATCGATCTTTTATTGTCAACAAGAAATATTGAACTGTCAACTAACGAATGGAAGCGAAAGAAAGTTACTCAGGAGCAATGCCTGATTCAGCAAGCAAAAAATATTAGAATGAACAAAGCCATTCTTAGTAGACTTCTTGAACTACCCCTTTCTGAAAATGATTCTAAAAATGTTTATACGCTTGGTATGGACTGGGTTGGTAAGCTGATTCCCTACTGTTTCTAGCACATACACATACATATATCTAAATAATAGGGTTGCTGACTATTTAAAAAATTCATAGGCCCACGTGGTTACATGTTTGCTGTAAAGAAAATCAATAATATCTACGTAGCCAAACACACCAACAACCTTTCCATACCAGAATATCTACATCAATTGCCTTCGTTCATAGCCACGCTCAAAAACTTGTATATTTGGAAAAATCATCATACCAAGTTACAGGATACAATTTTAATAGGAGTGATTGCAAAAGAAGACGACGACTTTTTTTTAAGCATCGCTAGTGGTACTGATGATGCTGGTAGTGCTTCAAAAGAACTGTCACCAAATATATATTTAACTCCTACAAAGGCTAAAAAAAACAATTAAGCCTAATAAAATGATACATGAAGAAGAGAGTGTGTTGAGTTGCTTTTTCCTTTATGTACTAATATTTAAGTCTTGAAGTACACTAAGAAGTCAACAGCAAAGCAGATTATCGATGTAATAAGAATGTAGATAAATTAAAGATATTTATTAAAACCAGCTAAATATAATGTTAGTTGAATTGAGCTTGCATGAGTTAGATTAAGTATAAAAAGCATACCAGGCCACTACTGCTGGTTTGTCTTAAAACGTTGTAAATCGATTTGAAAAAAAATGACATTCCCTAATCTTCCTGTCAAAGTAAAGTCCCTGGATATTGAACTTTTGTTAACGTAACTTTATATTCAAAATGCCCAAAAAAAACAGGCCCATCTTTTGATATATTTTACAATGTGTTTTTATTTGTTGAAAGTAGACTTTGTCTAACACAGACTGTTTTTCTAGGTATGCACGCAATTAAGAAATTATGACAATAAAATTACTTTACAAATGTTACCAGTAAAAAAAGCGCATAATTTGAGCCTTAATTATCTAAGAAAACTTTTTATGGCACCTGGGGGGAAGGGTATCAAAAGGTACATTAGTGAAGTTTGTGATTTTTATCGAGGTATATCCCTTTGTGTTTTGGTTAATTTTGGGTCCTTTGAAAAAAAAAAATTAAAATCAAAACCTAACAATCCAATATGATATTTAAATAATTCTGAACAATTTTTTGGCTTGAAAGGACGTCCGGAAACGACAGCTTACTATATGAAAAATTCAATTCAAAACAGCCTGTTAGGGAAAAAAAAAAAGGAACGAAGCAAAAAGAAAGACAGATTTATTCTGTATAATTTGGAGCTTTCATTTTTGGTGTATCTTTTCCACTGTAATATAGCATCATAAAAGTCTTGAATCTGAGGATTTTAACTTGTATAAAACTGTTTTTGTGGGGTGAAGAACTAATGCATTGCTAATTCTTGGTAACGAGATCACATCACTGGATGCATGTTCTATCAAACAAGATAGACAGTTATAAAAATAAAGAATAAGGTATTAATTGTGAGACTGGGTAAAATTGATTATCGTTTTATTATTGAATTAGACAGGATGATTTATACAGGAATTGACAAAGTCCTTTTAGTACATATCAATTAATAGAGCTGGCTGAACGTTTTATGTGCAAATAGTGCGGTAAGCATGTGTGGATTATATGTGCATTGCAGACTGTTGTATTATTTACAGGCTGTTTTTTATCATTTGTTAATGCAAATGTTGCGTGTAAACCGCGTCTACGTGAGGTGACACAAAATAGACTTTTTTGAGCTTCTTCTCTAAAGTAACTCACAAAATAATGCTTGTATACAATAAGAGATATTTGTGTATACAACAATGCACACTGTGAAGAAATAAATTTTATCAACAGGGAAAAGAAAATTTCCTAGGTCGTCTTAACCTCACATTGACACACGATATCAACATTCTGAGTTATGCCTGATTGATTATGGGCGATTATTTATAAAGAAGCATGAAGAGAGCTGTTTATTTCTGCTACATGTACAAGAATCAAATGCCATCAGTAAGTGCCTTTAACTTAAATAGGGTTGTAGCCAATAGAAACACAAGAATACGTATTGCGTTCTCTTTTTCTTTGTCTGCTTTTTTTTTTTTTTTTGGTTGATGATGTCTGATTAAACTGTCTCATATTAATCAAATAAGTGTAAACCTAAATATCTTTGACGATACCGTTATTACTTTAGTAATATCACTTTCGTATAAAATTATTCGTATGTGCTATTATTTAGCACAGTAGACAAACTAAATTGTTATCATCTTCGAAAGATGAATATGACTTCCCTTTACGCTAAATATTAGCATTCGAAACTCAAAATGCATCTATACTTCATATGACACATTCGTTAACCAGATTATCGACATGTCTTAATGACTATGTGGTATTAGGAATTCGAAACCAAATCATTGGATACGACTTTGGCTATTACCATTATTGGTTCTGTTTGTAAATATAAGTTAACGGCTCAAGGAGTAGTATACAATTTTCAGACGTTATTAGTTTTTTATTTTCTCTGTATGAACACGCATAAAATAACTTATCCATGACCTTTACATGCCAGATAAAGAAGAATTTAGAAGACACCAGCTTAAAGAAACAGCAGCCTCTTTTTTGCTCTTTAATCACCAGGTATGAGTAGAATTGCTGACAATCTAACTCCATTTAATCACATTCACCCGCACAGGACAAGTCTTACTATCGCATATCTCAAGTATAAGTGTGTAAAACAACGATATCGCGATTGGTCTCTTGTATAAATTTTCGATCTTTGTGTCGAAGCACTCAGTAAAGCAAATCAGTACTGCCTAATCCTGTAAAGCTGGGTAATAATATTTCAAGGGTTTTAAATCCAATATGGTACAGCTGGAAAAGCACTATCAAATATAGACATTCCTACTTACAAAAAAATGCGTATTCCTCCAGCTGGTATGGACACTGTCGATTTTATACAACTCATGTTAGTATCTAAAACAGGAGATAATGATAGTCGATCACAGCATTTTTCAGATCTTTGCGGGCACTTTTTTTTTTTTTTAAAAAAAAGACTCTCCAACAATCCAGTATTTAATTGGTACCAGCAGCAAAACGTGCTATACTCGTTGTGTTAGCTGGGGCTTACGCCTCTTTATAGACTTATGCATGCATTAAAAAATACATGTAAGATCTGGTGTCATCCTCAGAACAAAAAATTTCCAGCAGCAGACAGCGGGACCTCACCAACAAGTCGTTCATCTATATAATGCATTCAATAAAAATATACTACAAAAGAAAAAAAAATTGGGCTATTTGCGCAAATCAAATAAAATGTTCATGATTTAATACGCACAACTACTTCGAAAAACGTTGCAACATACAATCGTCTCTGGCAGAAAAGGACCTTATATCAGACCTTTGGAATGCGATCGATCATCTACGAGAAGTTTTATTAAGGCGTACGCAGGCTGCCTTGGGAAAGCGCTCTCTGTGATGGCACGGGAAAAGTAGTTTTGTATGATAATCTTCATTTCCTTATGGCCTTACTCAATCCTCGGAAGTACAATGGTGAATTTCTCTTTTTATGCCGAGTATCTTAATAGCATCGCTTTAATAGAGCGAATGTTTAATATAATTTATTCGGTTCCCATAAAAATGAGATAAACCTTACATTGAGGTTGCAAAGACAATTAGAGACAATGTGAAAATAAGCTTAAAGAAGTGGATCCATTGATGATAGCAGATATTTAACGTACTGCAGAACACCAACGTCTTTTTGATAAATACTTTTGTGACGTTTATGCGAGTCATCAACCGTGATACCATCTGCAGTAATGGTGACGAATTTATGGCACAGCTGCCGAACCCTTATTGAAAGTTTGTTGTTCAGAAAATATATTTTCTACGCAGCATTGACCATAAATGTCCCCAGTATTGGTGTATTTTCTCGTTATGATCTTTGACCATCATTAAGCATCCAACTCTTTTTTTATTGCATGTCAATGATACTCAATCTTATAAAACTGAAAGATAATTTTTTAAGAGATGAACTGTAGCTTTGATTTTAGTGATTGAAGCCTTCTTCGAAAGTTTTGAATTACATATGCCAAATAATATTCCCTTCCAAACAGATGGGCTCTTTTGAAGTGTTTTGTTTATTCGTAGCCGTAATTGATTAGAATTAACGTGACCAGTAACTTATGGATTAGTCATTGGTTACTCTTATTGTTTTGGTGATGTTATTATTTGTGAAAACTTATTCTTACGGGCTGCTACAATTTATCAGCAATAATTATTATATATATCGTATACCACGAATTAAACTATGAATAGCTCACTATTTAAAAATTACTGTATCGTTATTCATTTTGAGATAAATGATAACACCAGTCTGTTCTTGTCTCTAACTGGATATATTAAAAAACGTTCATTGCCATACGATAATCATTGTAATTTTTTGAAATGGAAACTACATAAAATAATATCTAGTCGTAATTATTAATACTTTTGAAATTGCTGCTGTTTTAGATACTAACAAAATGGAAAGTTATTATAAAGAAGATAAGCAATAATATTTTTATTTTCAGTTGGTTTTTTTAACACACACATACACTTCCATGAATATTGTTTACTTGATTTACAGATTACAATTTGTTGGTTTTATTTTTTTTGGTTATTACCACTTGTCTAACGACTATTAGTACAAATCGGTCTTGATGATACTGCTTTAAAACGAAAAGCCATTGATATATCTACATTTAAGAACACAAGTTATCGACAGTAAACCTGGTATCACTAAACAAAACCTGTCAATACCATTGGTTTTAAGATTCATCTAGCATGTAAATGTCAGGGAAATGATGCTTTATAGAGCATAATAAAAGGGGTATTATAAAATACGAAGAAAGAATTATCTTTTATTATAACTACTGGCTTTTCAGAGGATCTCCTTATGTCATTTTTAAACCATACCTTCCACATGCCACTGAGAGATTTACTTCTCTACGTTAATCTATTAGTAAACTTTTCTACCTTTTTTATGACCTCGCCTAAAGAATGGTTATGTTTGAGTTGGCTAGATTAATTTCAATGATCGTTCAGCTGCTCCACATCTTTAGCAACGTTAACAACCGTAGTTCGACCAGTTCTTCCGGCTGATATGCTACGTCGTTGGAAACTGTTCCTTAGTCATTTATCTGTAGCATCCTCTTTTCACCTTGTAAATAGATTTATCTTGTCCCTATTGGTAGCTAAAATGTCTTCTATAAGACTTATCGCTTTTAACAGCCAAACAAGGATATTGTCAGCATTGTAATAAAAACCTTATTTCTAGACCAGAGTTCACCTTGTAAATAAACGGGAGATCCCGCGTCAAAGGTAATCTTTAACTTGACTACTACGTTATCAAAAGGCTCTTCCTCTGCAAAAAAAAAAAGCAACAGATCGTGTCGCTTTGTCACAAGTTAACCGCGATATTTTTAGCAGTAATACTCTGTTTTCTGATTCTTCATTGAGGCTGGACTGCTGTTCAAAGACTTTTTTTGTAGAGTTGACGGGCTT